ACTTCTAGAAAGGAGTTTCTAAAAGGATGCTTGGAAATGTGCCCTAGTGATATTACTGGAAATAAAGAGGTAACAATTATGGGACATCTCTGTAAAAAAAAAAATCCCTGTGCTCAAAATTCATGTGCCAGGTGACTATTTCTATGAAACTCATCCAAATTTCACAAGGAATATTTATGATGATGATGATAATGATGATGATGCTGATGCTGTTCTGAATCCCCTTTCAGGATAATTCTGTCATGTCCAAACACTATTAACAGAAAAAGGGCTGACAAAAAAAGTAACTGAAAAGAATGCTAAGATAATCACTAAACAAGACTGTGGGAGATTAAGATATCTGCCCTGGTTTTGGCTGGGATAGTTAATTTTATTTTAGTAGCTGGTACAGTTCTGCATTTTGAATGTAGTATAAAATGAGTGTTGATAACACACTGATGTTTTCATTGTTGCTACATTGTGCTTACCCTAAGCCAAACAGTTTCCCATGCTCTGCCAGTGAGCAGGTGCACAAAAAACTGGGAGGGAGCATGGCTAGGACAGCTGATCTGAACTAGCCAAAGGTATATTCCATATCACAGAACATCGTTCCCATATATAAACTGAGAGAAGTTGGCCAGAAAATGCTAATTGCTGCTTGGGTGTGGGCTGGGCATCAGTCAGTGGGTGGTGAGCAATTGGATCATGCATTGCTTGTTTCTTTTGGGTTCCTTCCACCCCCTTTAATTAAAATTATTAATATTGTCATTATTATAAATATTATTATTAGATTTTATTTTGTTTCACTTGTTAAACTGCTCTTATCTCAATCCACAACTTTTGCTTTTCTTTTTTTTTCCATTTCTCCTCCTCACTGCAAGGTGGGGGACAGGTGGGTGATTGAATGGCTGTGTGGTACTTAGCTGCTGGCTGGGATTACACCACAACAGGAACATTAAACCAGGAGAAGCAAAGCCAGTGATGGTGGTATAAGGTAACTAGCTATACTATGCCAAGCAAGTCAGAACAGCAGTGAAAAGCACAGCAAGTAGATGAGATTAGGGTGTATTCAAAGACCCTAACTGATGTTCAGAAATATGAAACACCATCAGCAATGAGTTTCCTTTATACCAAGATGCAACAGGTTTCTCAAGGTGACAAATGATGTTGTATAGGAAGCAGTTGCTTCAATTAAAATTTTCCAAAAGTAAAAGAAGTGCATTTTTACTTAAAGTACTGCATTGTGAGAAAAATCAGACAGTCTAATTAGGAGGAAATGATTAATTTTGATATGTTATTCCTAACACTAACTGTGACGTAAAGGAAAATTAACTGATAGCTCCATGAATGGAGAAGTAAATTAAATCTAGCTCCTCATTTCATGGTGTCTTAGTGTTGGTTGGCTTGTAAACTTAAGAAGATGAGAAGCTTTGCCTGCAATTCTGTGATTTTAAGGTCTTTCTCTCAAATGGTTTCACCATTCCCCTAATAGAGGTTCAGCTCCTGCAGCAGTGTTCCTTTCAACAGGAACATTTATGGGATCCTGCATTTTTTCCCATCTACTTCAATGTAACTGGTAGCTCCTTAATCTTTCTGTGGTCCCAATCTCTCTAGATTTGGTGATGGTGTACTGTGGTCATTGTGTGAAGTGCAAACACCTTCCACATGAACACATGTATACATATATACAGGGCATCATCCCACATCCCTGATTTCCTAACAAATCATCCATTTTTGCAGATTTTGTTTTGAAATTATTTTGGTTGTTTATTTTTACCAACAGCCAGCCATTTTCTGGCAAGGTTTCCAAACTGATCCCTGTGTAAGCAGCAGGGAACAATGGCCAGTCCTGGCACTACACAGGTCAATAAAATTGACCACGAACTGTTCTTGATCTGCAAACTCAGCTCAGCTGGTGTAGGAACAGCTGAACCCCACACAGTCTGAAATGAAGCAAAGAATTACTGGAAGTTGGAGAGCTCCCAGGCTGCCAAAGCAAAATGTAAAGGGTCTTGCATCACTACTGAACAATGGTCACCAGGCCTCCAGTGCTCTCCTCCCTCCCTTACAGTTGGTTTTGCCCATGCCCACATTTGTCTACAAGCAGGATAATCCCTCAAAGTCTATTTTCACAACTTAGTTCAGAAAGATGGGCAGCATCTTTCCAAGTTCAGGGCTCAATATATTTGTCTCGTCCACAGGAGAAATACATCTGACTGATCTTCCAATGCAGTGGCCTATCCACATGAAAAGTAACAGGAAGGGAATGTCCTACCCTACAGACTTCCAGTAACACCTCACAGAGCTGTCCCATGTGGAAATGAGCCCAATATATTTACAAGGAAGGAACCATTTAGAACCCATAGGCAGTCTGGGGTTTGTTTGGTCAGATCCATGGCCTTTTTAATTAGAGGGTGCTGGAGAGATGTGAATCTTACCCCTCTTGCTATTAAACACTGAATCCCACTGATGTCAGTAGATCTTACAAAAACAGAGTCACAGCCACAATGAGGTGAGATGCCACATAAGGCCCAGTGGAGATGGGGCAAAAGTGTTACAAGAAGATAATGAAAGACAGAATCTTGGAAGCCATTTACATATTTATTGTAGCGATGAGAAAAAGCAAATACTTGCAGTTCGGTCTCTGTTACACAGCACAAACCAGTAGAGCTAATTTGGTTCCTGTGTGAAAAATCCAGAAAAACATTTAGTCCTGCTCTCCAGGTTCACTTGCTGTGATTTAGAACATGGCCATCATACAGATTTGCTGCTCGTTCCAAAAATGGAAACATCCATATTGGAGGATCGAGCCTTTCATGCCATATTGATCATGATGACATTTGAAAGACAATTTGCTTAACGCTACTGGTAAAAGAACTGAGGATGCCACGTGAAACCAGAGTGATCTGCATTTCCTAATAGCTGCTTGTGTTTCAGTTAAGAAACATGATTTGTTTTCCAGTACATGTTATCACTTGTTGTGTTTACATTATGTCAAAAATTATAAAGAAGCCGAATCAAAATTGTATTAATTCTGTGTAATTAATACTTTAAATGCATGTTATTGTTTGAGTGGTTTGAGCAACATAATTCCTGAAGAAGTGCAAACAAAGAACACTGAGCGTGAAGCTCTGAGCAGCACAAGCTGTGGGTCTGGGCCAGAGCCCGTTTATATCCTTCCTGAGAAAAAAGAGTAATGCTTTTTAACAAAAAATACCTTTTTTTGGACAACACCAGTTCATTGCACTGAGTGGGGATGTGCTGGTTTTCATTGAGACTTTGCTTGAGAGGTTTATCATCTTTCACGTTGTGAGAAGTTGATTTAGGGCACCCACTTCAGATGATCAATAAATCAATAAGTACTGGTAGGTGTAGAGCATAAGTTTCTTTCTTGCTCTTCCTCAACAGAACATCTGGAAGCTCTTACTCGTTGTATAAGTAATTAGCAAGTTATTGGGCTACAGAGACTGATGCCCTAACCTGCTGTGGTGAGATTAGGACATGCCACTTGCACACCATGGCCAGCTTCTGTCTCTTCAAGGATATTCAGACTCCCAGACAGGCATCTAGACACCAAAACAGACATGATTTCACAGCTCAACTTAATAATCCTGCCAGACCAGACTTCCACCTGCTCCCCCTCCTTCCAATATGAACTCAGAAATAACTCCAAAATGCTGGTAATTCCAGAGCTCCCAAGCAGAGAGAAGAGTTCCATCATCTGTGCTTGGCTGTCTGGTCATTTCTGTCTAAGATACAGAAGGCTGCTGAAAACCATGTCTTAGAATGGTCATATCCAGGCAGCTCAGAGCACTTACAGCAAAGACTGCTTTCAGCTTATCCAGCTGTGGATAAAAGCCAGGAGAGGCTGGGCAGGAAGGAAAATTATTCCACTTTCCACAAAGGAAAACAGGGTAATTTTTAATCCTCAGGCTGGTTCTGACTTTTACTAAGTAATCACTTCCAGCATAGCACTTTGCCAATGTACAGCTCAAGATGGAAAGCTACTGTGCAAAGCTTCTAAAGTCTGCTGCAAGGTGTGCTGAGTATGGCTGCACTGCTGTCAAGCACATCTGAGTCAGCTTTGGCATCCTTTCATCTTCTTTCCCCATCTGGGGTTGCTAATATATGGCAAAGTGGCCAAATATGGTATTTGCTGTTAGTCCTGTGTCTACTGCTGGCTATAGAAATAGGCACATCTCCACCACTTGACATGCATGACCTTAGAATCCCATAGGTGTTTTTGAAGTATTCCTCTCTGGGTAAGGTGTGTGAAGCTCCATGTGTGATATTCCTGTGCACTTTGACTCCTGAACATGAAGATGATTAGTAAAACTTCTGTGAGCACAGTGCAGGTAGTAGGGTTTCCCTGTTGCACAACTGCAGTGTTCAGCAACTCGTCTTGGTAAATCTGATTCAGTGAGTTTCCTTCCAGATTGCACAACTCATGGAAATGTATATATTAAACGATATTTTCACCTGAGCCCTTTGGGGAGATGGTGCAATATGCTAATGAGCGAGGGTAGGTTCCCCATCCTGGGAAACTCTCGTGTGAAATGTCTTCCCTCCAGAAGCTCTGGACCGCGACCCAAGCTTGCGGTGTAAGCGCGTTCAGGCGGGGCTGTGCCGTGGCTCCATCCCGCAGCCCGGAGGCGGGGGCGGGCTGCCCTGGCCCGGGATCGCCGCCCCTTCTCGCTCCGCGGGGGCGCTCAGCGCCGCGGGGAGGAGCGGGCACCGGCACCGTATAAGGCCCGCCCGCCGTCCCGGCTGCGGCACTCGCACAGCGGCTCCCGGCGCAGCCCGCTCCCGCCCCGGGGACACGCGAGGGGACCTGCGCGGGGCGCTCCGCACCGCACCTGTCCCGGCGGCGGACACCGCACCGCACCGCATCTGTCCCACCCGCGGACACCGCACCGCACCGCTCCGCACCTGTCCCGTCGGCGGACACCGCACCGCTCCGCACCTGTCCCACCCGCGGACACCGCACCCCACCGCACCTGTCCCGGCGGCGGACACCGCACCGCTCCGCACCCGTCCCGGCGGCGGACACCGCACCGCACCTGTCCCACCCGCGGACACCGCATCGCACCTTTTCATTTCTGTCCCGCTGGTGTCACCGCACCGCGCCTGCCCCAGCCCCGGAGAGGGGCACCTCCCCGGGGGCCCGTTCCCATCTGCTTCTTCCTGCTTATGCCAGCCCTGCAGAGACAGCAGCAGCCCCTCTGATCCTTGGCTCCAAGGGTGAGATCCTCGGATAGAATGGGGCGCTTCACCGTGTGGGACTATGTGGTCTTTGCAGCTATGCTGCTCATCTCAGCCATCATTGGCATCTACTACGCCTTCGTGGGAGGTGGGCAGAAGACATCGAAGGACTTCCTCATGGCAGGCCGCAGCATGAGTGCCCTCCCGGTTGCGCTCTCCCTCACCGCCAGCTTCATGTCAGCCGTCACGGTGCTGGGCACCCCTGCTGAGATCTATCGCTATGGTGCCATCTTCTGCATCTTTGCCATCACCTACGGCCTGGTGGTGCTGTGCAGTGCTGAGATCTTCCTGCCCGTCTTCTACAAGCTGGGCATTACCAGCACCTATGAGGTAAGGGAGTGGAAAGAATCCCTCCCCAGCTTTTAGGGAGCTGGGAGGCTTCTCATGCCTACTTTCTACATGTCTGCCCCCCACTTTCTCTTCCCCCAAATTCCCTGCACTCTGGGCTGTCCTATGTCCTCACACTCCTGAGAGCAGGCTGCAACCCTCTGTCCCCAAGTCTGCCCACACTGTCTCTGCCGGCAGGTGATGCTCAACCCTGCTGCCTTAGCTCAGTGTCATACCAGGTTTATTTCCTCATGCCAGATACTCAGTTCAGTAGGTGGAGTAATCCTCATGCAGCTTGGATGGTGACATGTCATTAATCATCTGTAATTAATACCCAAACCAGAGCACAAAACCATCTACTATAGGAACCAGAGTTATCGCATCACATCATGCTCCCTCCAGATTGGTTTCTAAGCTAAGGTGCAACCACAAAAGTCACCCTTTGGCAGAGTATGTATTTGTGCTGTTCCTAGAGATTTTGAAGACACCCCTTGTCACCTGAGGCTGTTTACACTACTGAATGTCTTCTCCCTCATGATTATACAAGGAGGTCAGCTAGTGCTCTCTGTCTGTGAAAGTTTTCTTATTTCCACCAAAATAAGGCTGAGCTGGTTTTAAGCACAGCATGCAGGTTAAAGTTACAGCCATCAGCACAGAGACAGCTGGGGTAGTGGGATAATCACAGGTTGAGTCTGACAGTTTTGGGATGGGGAAGCATTTGGTCAGTGCTTTCTTCTGATTCAAAATGTCCATGCTATCTGTTTATCCTGCATGGAGATAGTTCCTAGCTGCAGATTTGGAAGCAAACTGCTCATTTTGCAGAGGACTTTGGGAAAGGAGCATCAGTGCAGGTGAAAGTCCTTGACTGGCTACTTTGATCTTTAGCATTTTATTACACTGAACAGAGACATTGCAGCACTGGAGGCTGAAAACAAGATTTATGCTAGTGAATTTAGATAAGAGTTCACCAACAGAAATTTCTGGTGTTTTTCAGTGTATTTTAATCTACTAATCTTTGGACTGTCATGATGATACTTAAATAGGGCTCTTTTAAATAAAGGCTTATGACCATGACTGGAAACTCACTGATTATCTTGGCATTGAATCAGTAATGCACCTATAAAAGATATATCTTCTGTTTCTGGACAGAGTTCAGATTTTTAACAACCTTTTGTGTCTGTTCAGGGGTTCAAGACTGCTTCCTTGTAGGGACATGCTCACACATCACATTTTAAATGCTCGGTTCATGAGTGAGCCCTTAGAGGTGCCTCAGTGTTTATCTGTGTTGATTGGACAGATTTGTCAGGGAAATGAGATTTCTTTTGTACAACCACACACCGAGAGGGTTTTTAGGACAGATGGTGGTAAGAAATTTGCTCTACAGTATGACAGACTAATTTAGAGGTTGTGCTGTTCCAGCCTTGATAGAAAAGTGAGGATTCCTGTTTCACAAAAGGATACATTTTGACGTATGACAGACTAATTTAGAGGTTGTGCTGTTCCAGCCTTGATAGAAGTGAGGATTCCTGTTTCACAAAGGGATACATTTTGAATTATCAGTAGAATATATCAGGCTGCCTTGGGCAGTGCAGAAGGTGAGGTTAACATGGGGAGAAGCTGCTGACAACTGAAAATGTTTTGCCCTCTCTTGCAGCAGTTCAACGATGGACACACATAATGCCAGAGTTTCCACATTGACTAAGATGTAGGAATAGTCACAATGTTTTCTTTTTCTCTCTGATTTCACAAAACTAATGGATTCTATTTCTTGGCTGCTATGTCATTTGTCAACTCTTAGGTGTCCCTGTGCAGAGTCAAGATTTGGACTTGATGATTCTTGTGTATCTTTGCTCCTTTCAACTCAGCATATTTAGTGATTCTGTGATATGTTCTTGTCTTTTCTGTAGACACCCTTGTATAGTGACTAGCTTATATCTGCTTCACTTGTTTGTGTTTCATTGCCCACTGGTGAAGTCTGTAAAGAAAACCATGTTGAAAGAGATATCACACAAGGAGACTGTAGGAGTTTTGGCCATTCATGAAAATGTAAAAACTACACTCTGCTTTTTCTGTATTGCATATCACTTCATTCTAGTCCTATCAACAGTGCCAAATTTCAATATAAGCATTTGGTTTTTTCTTCTTTTTTGCAGTATTTAGAACTTCGATTTAATAAATATCTACGCCTCTGTGGAACGGTCCTTTTCATAATACAAACGGCAAGTAAACGTCAAAGCTGTTCTGTGGTCCTTGGGCTGCCGGAATTATTTGGTTGGGTGTAACTGGCTGTTTTTCCTGAGCAGTTGATGTGGTTCCCACAGTGCCTGGGTGGCTGGGAGCAGGAGAAACAAAGCTCTTTCTACTGCACGGCAGTGAGGTGGGGAGCAGGTGCTGGGCTACCTGCCTCCTGGGTCTCTGTGGGCGCTGTTGAATGCCCACAGCAGTCACTTGACATCAGCACCATGCCAAGAGATGAGCAACCCTTCACACAGGGTAGCATTGTGAAAAGCAGTAATTCACTTGCCTGCTGGAGAACCTCACAATGAGTTCAAAATGCAAACGTGCACCAATCATCTACAGCGCAGTTTTCGTCCTCTGCTGCGTGAATTCTGGGAGTCTAATTCTCAAGGGCCAGTGAAAGGTGACAAAAAAGGCTGTCAGGATCTGTTATTTACTTACTGCACAAGGGTTTGCACCATTGGAAAAACCTTAGGTGTCTGCAAACTGAGAAGCAGAAGATTACTGCCCTGGGGAATGTTAAACTAAAGCAATCTCTTAAATTATTGTTGGTACAGTTTGCTTCATCTGGCCGTTTCAAAGAGTCAGTATGGGACCACAGCTTCTAAATGTCAGTGAGCATACGTCAAATGCACCAGAGCAAAAATGTGTTCTTTTTACAGTTTTGAAGTGGACTTTTGGTAATTCAAAGTAAGAATGACTATGCAATCAGAAAGCTTTTTAAGGTACATGCTTGTTTTTGTCCATTTTTGTATTTTTTAAGGCACACCAGAAGTCACAGGGCAATCACACTTGCACCAGTAAGATAGCTCCCAATGCAGTGCTCATTACTGATTTGAGCAGTGCTGCTTAGCTGGTTTTTACAGATACACAAGCTCATGGAAAAAGTAGAGTGCTGGCAAGTGTGAAACCTGACGCTGTTTCACCAGCACATATGAAGACATCACAGTTGCATAAGTTGGAAGAGCTAAGCATATTCTTTGCCTGCAAAGATGAGAAAAATAATTATATGCAACTTAGATATGTGCTTAAGGAAATTAACCAAAGATCTATATGTGGCTTTCTTTGCCAAGCACTTACAATTTAACCTGAATCAATTGAGTACTAGTGAGGAAAGAAAACCTCCCAAGATTTTAATGGTGCAATTTAACTCTTCTGTGAATATTAATACTTAAAATAAGGTAAAGAAAAGGATTTATAATAATACAACAAAAAAAAACTCTACTGAAGAAGCAGAAAGATTGTATCAGTCCTATTTAAATTGACACAAAAATGTGATCATAGTTGTGACAAATTTTAATTTCTGATGATTCAAGTCTTCTGGCACTTATTCGCTGTGTATGAGAAAGCCACAAGTTCTCTTGCTGAATCCCTTGAATTAAAAGGCTTGAAGAGTTATGAGTTTGACTGATGGACTATTAGAAGGAAAAAAAATTAACCTGATTATTGCATCCAAAGGATTGCAGTCAACAGCTAAATATTCTGATGAAGACCAATAATGAGTGCTATATGTACTGGAACCAATACAATTCAATACCTTCATTAAGAACATAGATAGTGAGAATGAGCTCACCCTTAGCAAGTTTGTGGATGACACCATGCTCAGTGGTGCAGCTGATTTGCTAGAGGGAAAGGACACCATTCAGAGGGACTTTGACAGACTTGAGGAGTGGCCCCATAAAGTTCAACAAACCCGTGTGCAAGGTCCTGCACATGGATTGGGGCAATCACAAATATCAGTATAGATTGAAGGATGAGCTGATTGGGAGCAGCCTTGCAGAAGAGAACTTGGAGATAGTGGTGGATGAAAAATTTGACCAAGCCAGAAAGTCTGGTCACAGCCCAGAAAGCCAATTCAGTCCTTCACCAAAAGAAGTGTGGGCAGCAGTTTGAGGAAGGCGATTCTCCCTGTCTACCCCATTCTTGTGTGACCCCACCTGAAGTACTGCATCTTCCTGTGGGGTCCCCAGCACAGGAAAGACATGGACCTCTTGGAGAGGGTCCAGAGAATGACCACAAGAATGGTCTTGGGGGTGGAACACCTCTCCTGTGAAGAAAGGCTGAAAAATGTGGGATTAATTGTTAAACTTGGAGAAGAGAAGGCTGTGGGGAGACCTTATTGCAGCCTTTCAAAGGGGGATTATGAGAAAGGTGGAGAGAAACTTTCTACCAAGGCCTGTAGTGACAGAATAAGGGATAATAGTTTTAAACTGAAAGAAGGTAGATTTTGAGTGGATAGAAGGAAGAATTTTTTTGCAAAAAAGATAGTGGGATACTGGACCAGGTAGTCTGGGGAAGAAGTGCAATGGTACAGCCCTGGAAGTGTTCAAAGTCAGGGTGGATGGGGCTCTGAGCAATTTGATCTAGTGGAAGGTGTGCCTGTCCATGGCAGGGGCATTAGACTAGGTGATCATTAAAGGACCATTCCCACACACACCATTCTATGAGTGTGTTTCAGCAGCACATGCTGACAGTCACTGTATGGACAGCAAGTCAAACATTGACTGGGCTAGACAGGTGTCAGGGGCTGGCTGGGAGGTGGTATAGGTCGTTTGAGGAGATATTAACCAGGGACTAGTCAGGACTGGCAGCCTTCTTTTCATGCAAGCTGCATATGAAAATCTGGAGAGGACTTATGGCACTGAGAGAAACAAGTATGCACACACAGTGGCAGGGTGTAGCACACAGGTAGGAATAACAATTTCCCCAATGGCCCCCCTATCCTTTCTGACATGTGCTTCTAGCAGGTGTGCAGCAGGGGGTCAGGGCAATTAGGTTAGGCTGGGTGAAGCAGCTTCTCCACGCTAATTTCCACATACAGCTAGAGAGCTGCTCACTCCTGTTACCTCTTGGCTCTGTCCCAGCATAGCCACTGGTCGTGTGGTAGAGCTCCACCTTGGCAACTGGCTTTGATCTGCTCAAAAGCCATGGCAAGTAATTGAGTGGTGTCGTGGTTTGACCAGGAAGTGAGTTTCTGGGAAAGTTGTGGTCAAACAAATCCTGCTCTGGTTTGCCACCTGTGCCTAGGGTGGACACTTGCAGGAAGGGCGGAACCTGGCTGAATCCTGGATGACATCTGATTCTGCTGTTTTTCCATGCCCAAATCCCATTCCTGTAAATCAGAAAGTCAGAAGAGTCCAGCCATGGACAGCTGATGCACATCAGCTCACGACCTATTGGTGATCCAGATGCTTTGAATCAAGACCACTGACCTTCACAGAAGTTGTCAGCACGTTGGAAACTGTATTCTCCTGACCCATGTCAGAGCTGAACTTGAGGCAGTAATAACAGTGATAAAGAAGCAAACAGGATTTAAAATCATATACAAAGAAATTGAGGCTATCCGTGTATGAATCCCATTGTGCCCACAAAGGTAGATGGACTAGCTCTTGATTTGTCTGTATCTTTACTGTGGTTGAAAATGTAATCATGTATGGCTTTGTTTTAGAGGCTGAAGGTTACATTCCCTGTAACACTATCCATAATGACCAACTGTTGTCATATTTTGTGTTCTTACTCACATGAATTATAGCTGGATACTGAAAGACATATTGATCTCAAGACTGAGAAAATGATATTAATAGATTCCTTGACAAATCATGTGTAAACCTCATTAACTTCCTTTTGCTCTTGTTTCCTTTGCCATTGTAAAGGAATAGGATAAGTTGATTAGAAAAGCCAGGAGAAGATGGATTTTATATTTAAGAGTCCCTGGTAGGGGACTCTCACTAGGCTGTGAGACTGTAGAGATTAATAGCCTCAGACATTTGTCTTCTAATTGGAGTTATTTGTCAACAATTATGAATTTAGAAAATATAGACTACATAGATACTTGAAAAGAAATAATCTCAGAAAGTTATCACCTTTCCAGGAATTTACATTTATTTTGATATTTCTTTTTTTTTTTTTTCCCTGCTCTAGACTTTGTACACTGGTATTGTCATTTATGCTCCAGCTTTAGCACTAAATCAAGGTAAAATGAGTATACTGTAACTGTTCCTCTACTGATATTATTTCTTCTTCATGTAGCATTGGTATGGTGGGGTATTTTTGGTAATGTAACACAGAAAAATATAGCTCAGGGCTTGACTGTGAAGTCTTTTAATGGGAACTCTGTAATCCTAGTCCCTTAATCCCTGCCTGTAAGGAATTACAGAAGAGATTTACAGGAATACTGGCTCTCATTTACTCTACTTCTGATGCAATACCTGTAGATAATGGCTTATTCAGAAAAGTTGAAAAGGCTTAAGTAAATTTTTAAGGCAATGCAGGCACTAAAGACAAATTTAATTCCTTTGGTTAAGTGCTGTTCTTCAAGATGAGGGCAAGGCAAAAGTTCTGTAAATATGATTTTGGGCTGCCTGGAACTGTTTAATGGGGTCTGTCCTTTTTGCAGGAAAACCAAATCAACAGCAAAGAGATTTTTAACTTAAGATGTTTATTGTGATATTTACAAAGTTAAATATTTCTATTTTCTACTTCACAATGACTCTTTGATTTGAAAATGAGCCACACTTATTTCTAAAAGGGCAAAAGCTTTTCTACAGAGCCAAATTAAACTTTTAATCTGACACCATTAATTTTGTTCATTTGGCAAGAAAAAGGAATAACAAAATCCAAATAAAAATTAATCATTTTGTCTAGAATCAAGTCACAGTTGTTCTGCTCATTGAATAATTTTTTTGCCCCATTCATTGAACAAAAAATAGAAAAAAACCTCAACTCTCTCTCTACTGGTTTCCTCCAGTGTATAAATCCCACATGTTTTGTGTCTTTGATATTTATATTTGCCTTGCAAATGCATGCTAAACCAAGCTATGACTTAGCTGGCTCCTATTTAGAATAACATGTTTTTCACTAGTTTTCAGTGTTTCTCATTAGCCTGAACTCTCATGCTAAACCAAGCTATGACTTAGCTGGCTACTATTTAGAATAACTTACATTTTTCACTAGTTTTCAGTGTTTCTCATTAGCCTGAACTCTCTGTCAGGAGTCCCCAACACCCTGGCTGGCAGCAGGTGAGCATGCCAAGCTGGGGCAGTGACAACCTGTATGTTAGCCACAGCAGAGTGTTGTATAGCAGGAACATGGATCCTTAAGAGAAGGAAGAATAGAAGAAAGGCTTTGAAGCATTTCTTCCAGACAATGCTTGAATAACCTTATCTCTGTGGGGAACCCCCAGACAGTTTACTTGCTTAAATCCCTGCCTAAAGGCTTGTCAGCAACTACACAGGTGTTTCAAGGAAGGACATGTATTTTAAAACCTTCCTGAGTTTGGCCATACTGGATGTGTTTGGGAGTGTTTGCAGTAAAGGCAATAGCTTCCTAGATCCTGAAATAAATCTCAACTTTTTAGCAGTTTCCAAATCTGTAACAATTGTTTCAGTTTTACAACTGGTTAGGGTGAACCCCATGGTTTAGACACACTAATCTTTTCATTGCCGTTTGTACCTTCTACTTTTGCAATTAATTTATTCCTACATTTTTCCAGTAATTGGCCTTCAGTGTTTTGTCCCCAGTGCCTCATTCACACTGGTGCCATTTCCCTCTCTTTCAGTCACTGGCTTTGACTTGTGGGGCGCAGTGGTGGCGACTGGCGTGGTCTGCACGTTCTACTGCACACTGGTACGTGGGCCCTTTGGTTGAGAAAAATTGGTTCCTTTCACACTTACATCAAATGTGGAATTTATTAAAAAGAAGCCTAATAATCAGGTTACTCCATGGAATTACATTTTACAGGTGTAGCCACAGGACCATATTCATCCAGGGATCTGTTTGAATGCATAGGCAGCCTCTATGCAAGTGAAATCTTTTTTGTTATCATACACTCAAACTTCTGTTGTTGCTGAAAGAATAGCAAAAAAAAAAAAAGGTAGATTTCCCTTTCTAAAAATTCTCCTGTGATTTTTCTTCTGATCTAGTAGGGTTTTGCTGTGCAATTTGTCAAACACCAAAACTGTAACAGTTTTGTGTGTTATTGAATAGAGCCACTGAAAATAGCATGCCACATGAAAAGATTGGTCTTTAATTCAGCATTGATTGACCAAGTGTTTAGATGAAATGATGAAATGGAGCCTCAGTGACAAATTTATTTGCATATGGTGGATTAAATAATGTTTATTTTTATTCAGATGAATGGTATACCTTCTGGAGTTAGTGGTACTTATATAAAATAAGATGAGCACTGTCTGAAAAATCTATCTTTTGATACAAACTTCTGAATCAGGTTATGTGGTGAAGGAAATACTGGATTAAACTATGCATATGGCCAAAGTAAATTCCTGTGCACTTCAGAAAAGGGTCAGGATGTCCTGAATAGCTTCCAGAATACAATACCTAAAGACATCAGTTAGACAGAATTAGTTTCATTAAAGATGAAGATTAAATTAATCTATTACCCATAATACAGATGGTAATGCTTCTGTTAATTGAGTGTGAGTGCAAAGCAGGAGTGCTGCTGCCTTGTTGTACCTGATATGTGCTCTTCCTCTTGCAGGGTGGTCTGAAGGCAGTGGTGTGGACAGATGTTTTCCAGGTTGGAATCATGGTTGCTGGATTTTCATCTGTGATTATACGAGCTGTGGTGGTTCAGGAGGGAATTGGACGCATTGTAAATGATTCCTACCATGGAGGAAGATTAAACTTCTGGGAGTGAGTTTGTACTTGCAGAGGCTGTGCCTCTCTATTCCTACAAATAGAGCTCATGTGACTAACTGTGAAATTAAACTGCTACTGTAGGAGAAGGACGGCAAAAGTTGTGACCCAGTTTCTTTATATTTTTAAACAAGCTTCCCTAGTTTGAGGGATATTTTTTTAGGTTTTACTCCATGAAAAATCCTGGAAAGAGAAAAACCTTTTTTTTACTTTGTCAAGTAGGTATTTTAAGGATTCATTTGGGATTCCACTGAAAGAGAACGGTAAATAGGAGAGCACATTTGTATTTATAATTACAATTTGCAAAGTGTTTTGGCATTTCAGTGACTGGACCAAAACAAATGGGAAAATAATAATTTTTGCCTAATCTGAAAAAGGGAGGATTTTTTCCCCTGAAATAAAAAAATAAAAGTAGTTTTAATAGTATTTTACCCTCCATTATTGTAAGTAATCTTAGCCTAAAAATATCACTTTAAAAATTCAAGAATATTCAATTTGACAATGTTGAATCAAAGACCATTTCAAATAAAAAAGTTATTGTACATTTGATGAATACAATATTCTTCTGAGAGCCTTCTCCCAGTGCTATTAGTGAAAGTTCAGTATGACACATATTGCTATTTGTCCTTTATCTATCAGTTCACAACATTAATCAGGTTATTCTGTAAAATTCTACACCAAATTCTTCAGTAAGTAATTCATCTGGGGGTAATTTTTTCTACTTATTAACAGTAATTTATTTCAATCTGTTTGGCTCATTTGAAGTGGTTGTATTGCATTGATTCTTCTCCCAATCAGTGAGTTCACAGATGGAAAAAGAAAAGGAATAAAGGATGTAATAGATGAAATACTACTATAGCATTCACCAAGATAAATAAAATTTATTGCTATATTAAAGTTTGATTTAAAAATAATAATTGTTCACGGCCATCTAAAATCTGCTGTTTACTTAGAGGTAAACCAGCAAAATGTTTTATAGAGGCTTGTCCACAAAGGATGGGATTGTAAACACACCTTTATACTGGTGTTAGACTGATGTCCCTCTAGATAAGCAGGAACACTACACTTTTTACTGCAGCATCATTTCATCACAACCATCACAAGCATCATACAACTTTACATAAGACTGTAGTTTATAGGCAAATAAAGCTCTCCAGCTTCACCTTTGGACAGTTCAGAGTGTTTCACTGGCTCAGGATGTCAGCTCTGAGTTTTCAAATTTGCTTTCTGTGACTTCATGTAAGGTTAGAGTTACTTAATGTTCAAAATCTGGCCAAATTAAGAAAGTTTGTATTGGAGCAAGCATGGAGAAATTATTTCTTCTAAGCATTACGGTCTTTACATATGAAGAAGACTTTCATACTCTGAATTTGCTTTCTCTTTTCCTTTCATTGTAGTTTCAATCCCAATCCTTTGCAAAGGCACACCTTCTGGACCATTGTTATAGGTGGGACTTTCACGTGGACTGGTATATACGGGGTTAACCAGTCTCAAGTCCAGAGATACATCGCATGCAAAAGCAGATTCCATGCAAAATTGTAAGTCTGTCTGCAGTTACTGTCTGAACTTATCAGTGGCTGTTCTTTATAAGAGAGATTTCTTTTAAAGGAATGAGTGGGTATTTTGTCTGTATAAATTGCATTTATAAAGGCTAACAACTTGTGCCTTCTGCTTTGTGAACCAGGTAGAAGAAATTTGGCACAGTAATTACTGGTATATGAATTATATGTGTTTGCTGTAGCACTGAACTTTGTGTCTGAATGTTTCACTGCACCAGTATTCTCATGTAGAAATAGCTGCATTAAGTTTATGTGCAACCTAAAGACCAAATATTGTAGTACTTATGCTGAAGTCATATCAACCCAATATCTTCAATTGCTGCTCTACAAAACCTAAATCATTGTGTGGGGATTTTGCATAAGTAAAGACTAAAATATTTTCCCATAACAAGGAATATAGGTGTGAGGAAATCCAGAAATTAGTTATTCAGTGATAAAATTGCTGAGCAATCATGTATTTTGTGTTCATAATAATCATGACATATTTTTTAAGGAATTAACTGTGGAAACTGGCAGAGGGTTATGTTTTCCTTGGGTGTAAAGATTTCTGATGAGCCTTTACTCTAGAAGGGAGTATATTTACTAGCCCTATTATCTTATCTTTATCTTTAGAACCATTCCATTAGCTCACAGATCAGGATTTAAGAATTACTAGTGATCGCATGAAAATAATTTATAGAAGAAATATAGAAGCATACATCATAACTATAGTCCCTGTACATTAGGTCATTCTATGGTACAGGGACATACAGAGAAGAAGCTTTATGAAGGCTTTCACTTCATAAGCTAGCAAATACCACAAAATCATGCACCATTTACAAGTGAAATATTTTGTTTATATCAGTAAAGAAAATCTGCTTTTCAGCCATTTGTGCTGCAGGCAGGAATGAGCTGATGCTCGTTATCAGGTACATCTCCAGCGTTCCTGACACATCTCCAGCATGCCAGGTCACTTCTCTGCAGGCCCATGGCTGGGTTCTAGGTTCTCAGCACTGCAGAGGCAGGAGCCACATCCCGCATCTTCCTGGAATGACTGTGTATGGGAGAACAGATGCATACATTGTGCCAGATTTGTGTGCCAGTCAGGCTGCTCTTCCCAGCACCGGCTCCACTTAGGGCTGTGCCCCTTTCTTGGGCCCTACCTACACTCTTTGAGAGCAGAAACACCTCCAGAGTGTTTCAGAAGCAGAGTGTGACCAGAGGGAATCTGACACCATGGAAGCCTCAGGGTAGTTTTTCTGAGCTGTTGCAGTGGCTTTTGCCAGGGCTGGAAGCTATCTGGTTCTGTAGGGGGTTGGATGGAATTTAGGCTCTCATATTAATGGTTGTGGAGCCTTAATCAGTAGAGCCCTGTCCTTCTGGCATGGGTGGTTGGATTCTGTGGCATCATGCTTTGTGCCTCGCTTGTGTAAGATATTTGCTCTGCATGGAGAAATCATTTTGCATAATAGTTGCAGCTTGTCACAACTATAAACACTGCTATTCTGTGGTGACTATCTAGTTCATATCAAGTGTAATTAAACATATTTGGCAGGTCATGTTGTTGGCCTGTACCTCTTATTGTCATTTAATCTGTACACAGAAGTGCAAAATGTCATCAGGTCAAAGTAATAGGGCTTTTTACCCTGTGCCATTTACGGTAAGGCTTTTTAAGAGACAGCACAGTAACACATCAGAGCTCAGAAAATAATTCCTTCACAAATCCCAACTTGCAGGTTTTGGGAAGGCCTTTAACAGAAAATTCCCAAGAACAGAAATTTTCTTAGGCTTTGGGAAAAGATTTCACCTATTCAAAAACACCAGTAGGTAGGAGCACCTTCTGTCATCTTCGAACAACCACTAGGCAAATTGAACATGTTTGTATCTGAATGATAAGAGGCACTCAGAGCAGGAGAGCTACACTGTCAGAAAAATATGGGCTACTAACACATTTTGCTCTCCTTTCAAGGTCATCAGCTGGCATGTTTCAGTGCTAAAAATTCTTAGAGCCAGACTGAAACAAACAATTGAAAATAAGCTTTCTGCAGTCAAAATGCCTACTTCACACAAACTCCACCCCATGTTACTCATGTAGAATTAGTAGAAACACCTCCCTCTAACAGTGCTACAATTATTATTCCCTAGTGCTTAGTCACAGGGTGTACCATGAGCTGGGATGTAAATCAGAAGGAAAAAAAAGCTCTCTGTCAAGCATTGACGCAGTTTATAAACAAGAATTGCATAAAACCAAGACAAACTATTTTGCTTCTGTGTGTTTCTCTTGACTTTCTAATCTTTACTACAGGCTCTAGGCTAATTCTTCTATTACATCTGTTCAAAAGAGTTGGATTGATTTACTCATTGGTTAAATTTTGTGCTAAATCAGTTTCTGGGTGTTCTGTGTCAAGATAGATTGTGGCAGTGCAGGAATGGCTTCAGCTAAGTGGATGCAAGATATCCAATCAATATGTAAGCATATATGAGTAGAGAACTACTTCATTTTTACTGAATTAGTTTAGAGAGACATTTAAAGTGCTGTTGGTTGTATGTTTAGACCACCTCCTAATTGCAAATACAAGACGAAAATGCAGTTTCCCCTACTATACATAAATCAGCTTTTATTTATATAGGTATTTTCTAAGAGTTTGCATTGTGCTTGCCAATAACTTTTCTATTGTATAAAACTGATAGTTCAATTAGTTAATCTACATTATACCTTTCTGAAAATGTCCATTTCAATGTCTAACAAGGCTTGTAAAGTTAGGTTTACTAATTTGTTCATCCTGCTGGCCCTCTACAGAAATACAAAGGTTGTTTCCCCTTACTTTCTTGGGAACCAAAAGCACTAAGAGACCTCCTGAAGCATTGCAAGCATGGACATATTTTTACAGAAACCAAATGTCCTCCCAGAGGAGGCCTTACCAATTGGCACAGCTCCAGGGTATGTGATCTGTCAGGAAGTTAAATCACTATCAGTGATACACAGATAACCAGGAGGCAACTGCTGGAAAGGAACGCTGTTTTTCAAGGCCTTGCTCCCAATGGGTATGTTTGCTTGAAATGACCACTCTAGGCAAGAAGAACTTTGTGACTCTGGAGATACCAAGAGTTTTGTGACCTAGGAGACATAAAGAGCTTAGAAACATTTGAGAAAACCAGAGACTAAGAGCGAAAGCAAAAGCCCTCACTGAGCAAGGAGAACAATGTCTTTTTCACTGCCAGTAAAAGCTGCCTGTTGTGTGGCAAAGGCAGAATTATTGCCTGATGAAAACACGCATGGTGTCACCATTATCTGAAGCTGAAGCTTGCATCAGGATGTGGAGAGGTGATGGAGTTTCTGGATGATACCAAACTCCAAGTTGTTTAGTTACTAAAGGGGAAGCCCTGGGCACGTTGAGAATCCCTACTATCAGGAAGAGGTAGCCAGAGGCAGCTCCAGACCAGGTTCCAGGCTCCAGTTTCTCATTGCTGCTTTCCACAGAGACTGTGTCAGGAGGAAACAGGAGATTTGTAGCTTTACAAGGACAACTCCAGGATTGTGTAAGCACGATACTACAGCTCCAGAGGCAAAGGAATGCTGGTGCTGACTATAAGGTACCCCACACTTGGATCTGGGGCACCCCGCCTTACAAATCTGCTTGGGGTTTGTCAAGGGGTGTGGCATGGGGGAAAGAGCATCCTCTGGCCTGCTGCTTGCAATGTGCAACTTGTACAGATGGTGAAATGTGGGATTGCTCTATCGCTCCCATCATCTCCGTTGTCAGGGGCCAAGTGCTCAGACTGTGACACCAAAACCTGAAGTGTCATTTGTACATTTAGAAATGTGATCTCTCTCCAGGTGAAATGCTGGGTGTCATATGGTGACTCCCTTGCCAGCAGGCAGCCACTGACCAGGGGCTCTCCTTGGTGCAGGCACGAGCGCGTCCTTGCTAGGCCCTGGCAGGGTCTTTTTGTGGGATGTTGAGCTCTAACATGGTGTTTCCATGTGTCTTGGTGCAGGTCCCTCTACATCAACCTGGTGGGACTCTGGGCAATCCTGGTCTGTGCCACACTGTGTGGACTGGCCCTCTACTCCATCTACAAAGACTGTGACCCATGGACGGCCAACCAAGTGTCGGCTCTTGACCAGGTATGGCCTCACTTCTCGGGGGGAGGTGGTGGACGGGTATCCTTCCTCTGCAGCCATAATAACCAGACAAAGGCAGTTCAAGAGTCAGGGGGTTAGAAATAGTGATGTGATGGAATCCTGTGTCAGGCTGAGACTACAGTTCCTGAAGCTGAAAGTCCCTCAGCACTTGGTAAGGTGGGGAGCAGGGAGAGCTGCAATGTGGAGAGCGCAGTCCACCCACCTCTGCGAATGTGTGGGTTTTTCACTCAAAATGGATTCAGGAGTGCCAGCATTGCATGGAAGTGCTTTGGAGAGAAGTGAGGGGAAGAGAGCAGCAGTGTCCTTGTGAGTGACTGTGGGTCACTCACAAAGGACACTGAGTGCTTTGTGTCATCCAACCCAAATTCCTCTGGGCTGACGAAGGCAAAATCCTTTTCAGATTCAAAACATACTTGTGCCCAAAGCACACACCTAGAGGAAGGCTATCAGCAGGCAGCTCTTTGCTAGTGATGGTGAATCCTTCCCTCCTTTGAAGGAGAGATGGGCAATCCAACTGCTGCAGAGAAACCACCTCACCACTGATGACATCTCCCTAAACAGACCTTGAGCAGCAGGTTTACCTGAGGAACAGGAGTTCTTGGCAGCCCATAGATTGGCCAGAGCCAGGGCCTGAGGAAATCAAATAAGTTTTATTTGTATGTTTAAGCCTAAGATAATCACAGGCTCTGGATAATGCTCCAACAGACAGTAGCTGGAAAGGCAGGAGAAGAGCACAGACCATGGAGGACCTGAGGCAGGACCACTTGGTCTTTAAGAGTAGAATAAAATAAGAGCCAAGGTGGAAACTGGAGGGAAATTAAGTTTTTCCTGTCAGTCAAATTTATTTGGTAGAAGCTGGAAGCAAAATACTAAAAATATCAACTCATCTGTGAAAAAAAAAAAAGGTTCACAGGAAGAAAATCTTAAAATTCCTCTCTCTTTCCAGCATTCAAATCTTGCAAATGCCAAAAAATGGCACACAGTTTCCTACGTGGAAATTGATCTCAGTCCGGGTTTATTGAACTGTATATGAACCCCTTTTTGTGGAGTTTTTCAGCAGAAAAAACATCTGTGGCACCCAGCTCCCCCAAGGGAGTGATGTACAGTACAGACCACCTGCTGCCCAGCCCTAGTGCTGCCCAGCCCTTTCTCTACAATTGTCAATGGAAAACAAGGTCCTAAGGACATGGCACCCCAGCTAGGTGGTCTCAACAGACTCTGTGTAGCTCCAGTGGACATTTTAGGGTTGGTTTTCTCTATAAAAAAATCAATAAATATAACAAGATAGGGCATTAAAAATTAGAACAGCTGGACAGAATGCCAGTGAGAAGGCTGTAAAAAAACAATACAGTGATAAGATGAAAAATTAGGGCAAGATGGTAATACTTCTTAATCTGAATTTTTCAGCTAATGCCATACCTAGTGCTGGATATCATGCGTGATTTCCCAGGAGTGCCAGGACTTTTTGTGGCTAGTGCCTACAGTGGGACATTAAGGTAATTTAATAATCTGGAAACTACTACCTTATTTTTCTCCTTTTTTTTTGTGGGAGCTAAAGTTGTATTTATACTAAAACTTTTGTACTTATTTCTTTGTCTAGCTAATTTCTAGTCTTTAAAAAAATCACTATGACCTCTTTGATGATGCAGCTTAAAAATCCATAGTTTCCAATATTTGGGTCACAGGACTCAAAGCTGTTTGGAATTCCCTATTAACAACATGAGGAAACAGCAACATATCATGTAAAACATTAACAAATCCCTCTCCGTGCTTTTAAAACCCCTCTGCTATAGGAATTTTTGAGTATTATGGTGGTTACACCAAATACCTACAGTTGGGGAAATTTCTTATTGCTCATCTTTAATTTTCCAGTTTCAAACCTGCATAACTTCAAAGCCATCTGCCTTTCCTTATCCCTGATCTTTAGAGACTTCTTTTCTAGAGTTCCCACGCTTCCAATTGTCTTGACTGAATCCCATGAGACAACAATCACTATGTATTTGTATAATCTGTAGGAGAGATTGATACCCTTCTATCCCATACTGGGGAGTGTTTTGTTCAAATTTCCCAAGAAGTATCTTTAAGAAACACTGTCTCTCTCAGTGAAGCCTCTGAACAATAGCAAGCAGATAGAAATGAAGAAACTTATAAATGTGACACCAGAATAATTTTTTTTTATTATTCTGAATATTTGTAGTTACATAAATAGAGGGAAGAGCCAAAATATATTTTTCACATGCTGAAGAAAAGCTGGTGGCTTGCAGGAGCAAGGTACACACAGACAAAGGATCACCTGGTTTGTGCCCTAGGAGTGCTGGTTTCTCTGATCCCACAGGGAACCTACAGTAGTTTGATCTGGACTCAATGCATAATTTTTAGGTGAACATAATTAGATTATCTGAATTTTCATCTGAGAGTGCATTAAAAGTAAACAGTGATGTGGGAATTTTACCTACCCAGATATATAATGTAGATAATTTGTGAAGGTATCATGTATACCAGTAGAGTTTACAGTCTAGCTATAAGTAACAGATATTTCTATTCACTTCTCCAGGCCCAGCCCAACTTTTCATTGGTATGTGCTTCGACTTCCCCAAGGATAATTACTTTAAACAATTATTCTAAGCTGTTAGCTGCATTCTCTGGAATAATAATTTATTTAAACCTATGCAGCAGTTACATTAGTTTTTGGCACTGTTCTAGACAGTGGCAGCTTCTCTGTGCCAGTAACCTACCTCTTATCTATGATTTCAGTTTTTAAGATTTAAAAAAATTGCATAAATCTTGCCTTCTGTAGTACGGTGTCCTCCAGCATCAATGCTCTGGCTGCTGTGACTGTTGAAGACCTCATTAAGCCCCACTTCAAATCTCTCTCTGAAAAGAAGCTGTCATGGATTTCCATGGGGATGAGTATGTCTGGAAAACATCTTTTTTGCTTTTGCTTTACAAACTAAAGTTTGATTCAGACCTTGCTTACGGTCATGTATGTCAGGAATAAGTAACTCACACCAGTGGGACTATGTTGGTGCAACATTTGGGGGAGACAAGATCAGCTGTGTAGGTTTTACACAAATGGGGAACAAGTGAGTTTTAGGAAAAAAAACAACCATCTTGTTTGGTTTTTAATAAGGAAAGATGTACTGCATCTGTGTTCAGTATTGATTCACAATTCTACAAAACCAAATATCTGTGACTTAACCACATGCTATTTTTCTTTCATCTGTTGAAAAAGAGAAGCAAAGGAAGCTGTTTTTTGACAATTTTTAAAATTGATATGCAAGCAGTAGCCCTGTGTCCCAAAAATATTCCAGAGAACAAGAAATTTCACATTTTCTCTGCTATACTCCCAGACTGTCACTCTGTTTAGCTCCTCTGCTTAATGTAACTCAAAGAGAATCAGAACTAGAGTGAGCAGATGGTTTCAATCTGTGAAGTGCAATTGTCACCTCTGCTACTTGTACTGTCTGTGACCAGCTGCAGGTGTAGCCCAATAAAATGTTTGCAGTAAGAATGAAAACACCTCTCTCCCAACCTGGTGTCCTGTTGAAGCCCATACCAGGGAGCACGGCAGACTGGTGGGAGGGTAACAAGGATTAAATATTGTCACCTGAGAGAAGTTTTTTAAACATTGCAAACAATGCTTATGCCAAAATTGTTGTTTGTGGTATCATGAGCTGCCTGACACATCACAATGAATAGTGAGATTAACCTCTTGCTAGAGCAGTGAAACTCCTCAGGGGCAGAGGTGGGAAAACAAGTAAGGCAGTGTTACAGCTCCTGGAAAGAGACACTGTGTCCTGGTGGCCTGGGATGTTCTCTGTCACTGTGCCAGCTCCCAGGGATCTGCCAGCATTTACTCTTTTGCTTCCTAGACTTCAGGCTGAGAAGTGAAAATCATTCCCTCAAAATAAGGACACAGGAGATTAGCTGAGAAATGTAAACAATAAGTGGGTTATTGCCACTATGACTAATCCATATGGCTGATATTTATTAACTAATCTTTAGAAATTCACAGAAAGAAGATTTTGTCAAGTTTGCATGATCTCTTCTTAATGTAAACAGAAACCTGACCTTTTGGCCAATTCAGGCTCTCTTAGACAAACTCCAGATGTTAGCACTTTTATCTGGGAGATGTTGGAGCCATGCTGGGTTAGACAGAAACTTTTCCATTAGTAATTTTCAAACTTTGGCAGTTTTATACATTGTTCTGCCTTTCACACACAGGCCTGTTTTATGGTGGAGTCTGCATTGCTATGGCTGCAGTGGCATCTCTTCTGGGAGCCTTGTTGCAGGTAGGTGCCAGACAGCTTTTCATTCCAATGTTGAATGACCCAGAATAAATTATGTAAGAAAATAATTGATGAACACCGTCATGAGATTAGTTTTTATTCTTTCTTGGGTACTGATGTGAAAACACCCATGGCTTGTGTTTTTAAGCACCCATGGCTCAGCCTGTTTTAAGCATCCACATATCAAATCCTGGCAACTGAGTACACACCACTTTAATTTAAAGTCTCATAATTTCTTTCTGAACATTTTCTCTTCTTGTCACTTTGGAAGCTTTACATTCCTTGCACAGCACCTGATAGCAAACTTTCTTTCTTCCTTCCTTCCTCAGGCAGCACTCAGCATTTTTGGCATGGTTGGTGGCCCCCTTTTAGGACTGTTTACCTTAGGAATCCTCTGCTCCTTTGCCAATGGAATTGTAAGTAGAAATTTAAAGACCTGTTCATCCAAAAATTATTGATAATTTTGGGATTCTCCTTCCCCCTCTCCCAATTTGATGTTGGGCAGCAAGGGAGATGTCTTTGGTACTTTCTGTGAGGACATTTCCCCTTGCTCCCTTTCTACTTTATCCCAAAGAAAAGACAAACAGAGCTGTACAGGAACTTGAATTTCCATCCCATTAAGAGATTTACACATTTGTATGGGGGAAAATAATCTGAATTAAAAAAAAAAGCTTTCACGAGGATTTCTTAAAACCAGTTTTAGAAGCAGGAACAATGCATCTCAAGATGTAGCTGAACAACCAGTAGGCTCAGAGGATGCTGGTCTGTCTGAGCAAAAGGGGGTCAGGCCAGGAAAATAGGGTTTAGGCACTTGCAGACCAAATTGGGGTATTCTCGGAGTGCTTCCATATTGTAAAGTTATAATTTCCAGATGAAAAACCTTTTTCATCAAAAAAATGATTTGACAGACTTTGTTGATATGGTCCATGGTTTAGTCTGGCAGGATTACTATTTAGTATTAATAATTGTACTGTTACTATTTACAGGTTTACTAATTTATTATAGTAATATTACTATAATGATATAGTAATATACTAATATATTAATATTAGTATAATATTTGACTACTACTATTTACAGATTTACTAATCACTGTTCTTTACCTCTTTGCAGTTGAAAATTGTATATATATACACTAAAGTAAATAATAAAAAAATTAGTAGCTCTCAGCCACAACCCCATCTACCTCTGATGTAGGAGAGACTTTTTTGCTAAAAGGGGTCACGTGAGAAAATTGAAAAATTGCTTCTGTATTTGTTCAAGGAGGGCCTCAAATAAAGCAGGAATTCCCCATATGACATGAAGACCAAAGTTATCCTTTGCAAAGACCTAGTGGCCAAATAAGAAGAGTTGTGCTCAGGAGCTGTGAGAAAACACTGTATTTCCCCAAAAGGGAATTAAGTAAACTTCCCAACTTTATATTTCATTTCTGCTATGGAGACTACTGTTTAGATTATCTTGACTATTTCTTATTAATCTAATTGTTGTTTCTTTCAAATATCTTTTGCTTTTCATCTAAATGCAAGCTTTATTTTTGTTTTGCAGGGGGCATTTGTGGGTCTTGTCAGTGGCTTCATTATTTCACTTTGGGTTGGAATTGGATCTCAGATTTATCCTCCACTTCCAGAGAGAACCAAGCCACTCCCTCTCTCGATTGTGGGCTGTAATATATCCTCAGGAAATTTAACATCAACAGAAATTCCATTGACAACGGTTTTCAGCACACCAGGTGCAGAAAGGTATATGAATTCATCAAGTGCAATAACAAAGCATGCATTTTTTTAAAGAAATACAAACATCTGCACAGTATTTGGGTTACTGTATTGATCCTTCTCTGGTTTATCTACCACACTGTTTGAGATGCAGCAGTTTTCTCTGATATTTTTTTTCCCTCTCAGACTGAAGTAGTTTGTCCAAGTTATCCCACAACAGAAGTCAAAGTAAATATTTCTATTGATCTGAAAAGCTTGAGTTCAATATTTGAGTTCAAAGGCTAGGATATGCCTTACTGTGGGCCACAGTTTTAAACAAAGATATCATTTATAGTTATTGGATTAGCTTCCACAATCTGTCACATGAATTAGAGTAATTGGCAGTTAAAGGGCAAAATGCCAGTTAGCAGCTCTACCTACAGCAACTTGTCTGTGCAGAATAGTTCTAATCAGTACATTCAGAATGGGCACAATATACACGATTTCCTCTGCTTTGCAACTGCCAAGTGCCTTACTCTAGATGATCACAGTTAAGTTTAACATGAATTGCAATATAGAGAACAGCAGGAACAGAAAGAAGCTGAAAAAGCACATTTCTAGGGTTTCCAAATCCTTCCACCTTAGAGCATTGTACAATCAAGAGATACCCTGCCACACTGGGTGCCCGACATCCGGTTTCATGTACCACACCTCTCACATGAGCCCTCCAGCATTGCTCCTGGCTGCTGGGAAGCACCTGTTGCAACAGAGCACATAGTCAGGGACAGCAGAATGGTGTAAAGACAGTTGCTCTGCTGTTTCTGGCTGTTTAAAGCTGTGTGGGGTTGATTCGCTTGTTGGGTTTTTTTGTGCCCCTTTCTTTAAATAACATCACCCTTGCTAAAGAAACTAATCCCATCATCCAGATAACGAGAGTGTTCAGTTCTGCACTAGATTCACAGCAGAGACAGGACTGTCCTGTTTTACCTGCTCTGTCTCATGCATTGCCTCACTCTCCCGGCTAGCCTTGTCTCATACAAAGGAACTTGTTCTGCAAATTTTGGAACAAATTTTCAGTGCACATATGATTGTATAGAGGTAGCTCAAGATTACCAGGTTGCTTGGTTCGATAGTATCTCTGTATTTATACACTGTGGGGAAACAAACACTTTGACGTTGTTTGGAACAGAAAATGAGAGATTAACACTTTTTCTGCTTTATTTCAGGCCTGCCCTGGCAGATAACTGGTATTCCTTGTCTTATCTCTACTTCAGCACGCTTGGGACACTTGTCACAGTAGTTGTGGGAATAATTATCAGCCTCCTAACAGGTACTAGTTTCAGAGCTGTGATTGAATGTGTCTCAGATCTCTTTCAAACTAAGATGTCCTGAGAGCCACAGGAAGTGCCAGTAACCTATTGCAAACACTGTGTAGAGATGTTTGATCCTAAATCAAATTTGATCCTAAATCAAAATTCCTGCCCTCAGTGTTTCTGCGTCCCACTACTGGTCTTTGCTCACAGCAAAAGTTACTACAAATCTCTAAGGAGAAAGAAGTTTCAGCATATTTTTAAACCTAAGGCACATAAAAAGAAGGGGAAAAAAGACACCTGTCTTTCCTGTTTTATTAGATGCCTGCAGGGGCTGGAGGTTTAAGATTTGTCCCTGAACATGGCAACAACTCCGAGCAAGGAAATACACCCATGCTTCTACAGGAAAAAAGCAGTTTTACTTTGAGTGAGTTCAGAGCACTCAAGGGCTGTTGTCTGCATCCATAGAGTGCATGCTTTTCACCACATTCCTCCAGAACATGCCTAAGAGCTGCAGATCCTCTGCATGGCTATTTTAGCTTTTTTCTCAGTTTCCCAGTACTTTTGTGCAAAGAGAAAAGGCAGTTTGCCATGGGAAAGAATGGGGAGTTCAGTTCCAGCCCATGGTCTCACTACTTTTGCATCCAGCTCAGGTGCAAGCTACACTTCTCATTCACCTCATGCATGGCAAAAACAGCAAAAAAGCAGCTGTTCTCACAGCTTTTCCCAGTATCCCCAGCCAGATTCATATAACAGCCTTCACCTTTGAGGCTGTTAGATTTCAAATTTTTACACTGATCCATAATGGCTCTAGGACTATGAAACTCCAAACCCAGTAGACAAACTCACTTCCATTATCTTCTCTCTGCCTTGCAACTAATAAGCACAAGCTACATTTATCTAATTTTCTTTTTCTTCTCAGTTTCTAGAAGATTTGCTCCACACTTCCTTTCAAGCACATGCTCTTCCCATTGCTACAGTGGTGCTTGAACCCAAATTTTGCTTTTTCCCTGGTAGGGATCAGGTTACCTATTGGCCATGGAACAAAGCATGAAAACCAGACAACTTACTAAATCCAGATGAGAAATACTCAGCCCAAGAACTGAAGCACAAAAGAATTAACTCACTCACAATATCATCCTGCTTCTCATGGAACAAGATTCCATTTAAGCCTCAGGTAGCAAGCAGAGATAATTCCCAGCACCTACATCTCTTTTGTTTCCCACCCAAGAATAGTTAATCTTCCATTCCTTTAAAAGTGCCCAGACATTCCATTAACCCTCATCCCCCCATCTTGGGGATGTCCTTAAATAATTAATTATAAAATTTGCTGGTGAGTTTGGAGACAGGAGTCTTGCTGATAGGGAGCTGAGAACTGGAGCTCAGGGTTCAGGGTAGCACTTGGTGCCAGAGCTCCTGGACTGGCACAGTAGCTGCAGATGCCATTTTTTCTTTTCTGGTGATTGCCAGATTCAGTTTTCTTTTCCAAAAAAGGAAATCCAAGGAGAATCTAAGAAGCTGGGAAATAGCTAAGGCATTTCAAGTAGACTTTGAGGATCATTTTATATATTGAGAGAAGTAGGGTATACACTTTTGTAAAGAAATGATCCCTAAGGTCTGTGATTGCTTGATGGCTTTTGCTGCATGACTCTGTCCTGCTTGCCTGGCCTGGTGCCCATAGCTGGGGTCTGACGCATGGTTTGCATGTGTTAAAGCTGGCTGAATAAAGCTTGTCTATTTTGTAGGAGGACTAAAGCAGAACACGGATCGTAAATTCCTGCTGACCAAGGAAGATTTCCTGTCCAACTTCTCATGGTCTGAAACTGAGCAAGTAAGTGTAATTGTGCATCTCTGATTTAAATCAGTCTTTTCTCCTGAGGACAAAGGCAAACAAATATCCTGGCTTACATTTTTCCAATCGGGATGAATAGCACCTGATGCTGCCTGATAGGACTATCTGCTTTAAGGCAGTAGGAGAGCACAAGGCAGGTGGGACTAAGACAGCTGCCACAGGCAACGAAGCAGTTTTGCCACAGCTTAGCTTCAGTCAATAACAGAGAAGAAACTGAGGAAAGGGACAGTTTTCTCTATGTTTCTGCTAAAATACTCTCTAACTGGCCTCTGGAAAGCTGCCCCAAGGCACGCCTTGGACTCAGCAAAGCTTCCTTTTTTGTGAACATGTGTTCTCTAAGGCCAGAATTTTTTTGTAACTTCGGCTACTGTTTGGGAGAAAACATTTATAGTCAGTGTATCTGTTTCCTAGCTCTCATCCTACGAAAAAAGAAAAGGGGGAATATTATTGGGTAAAAACATCCATTGGAAGGGAGAATATGGGGAAATTATTTTTTTAAATAAACTACAGATCACTTTTCAATCAATATCATCAGCTGAACATTCAAGCTCAGCTTTGTTCAGTAGTTCAGACAGTAATCATATCTTTAAGATGGTCCAGCTTGTAAAATGTTTTTCCTCGATACTTACAACTCCTTTTAAAATGGTCCTATGTATTTCAGCTTCTGGATAAGAACACCAGTGAAAGAAAGGAATATTTTACTTTACTATTGTAATGCTATTTGCCAATGTCAGTTTGCCAACTGGAGATAAGCTATCCAGTTACTGTCATTCACTGTCTTTAATGGGTCAACATATGTTTCTACTATCTGGGAATTTAATCCCTGAAGTCTTTTGAAAAAGAACAAAACAATCCACCACCCACATGGAAGCTAATGTCCACAGCCATACTGTTTTATGCCTGGAGTCAGAAACAAGTATCTGTCTCTTATATGGCTAAGAGCATAATAACAAGTGGTTGATACCACAAATACTGCAGAAAGTTGATGAGATAAAAATCAGGGCTAACTAAGCAAGTTTCTGCTCAGTATCTCATTCTATTTAAGAGAAATGCGACATCAAAGCAATGGTGCATGTTAATCTGCTCTTCCTGTCACAGATGGAGCAAGGGTGAAGGGTTGGGAGTCAATAGCTCAAAGACCTGATGGTGACATATCAGTAGACATGAAAACAGCAATTAGAACTTTGCACACCCAAACCAATTTGCAGGACAAGAACGTTTTGTGGGACAAGAACATTTTACACAATTAGTACCTTATGCAATACAAAACTTTCCCTGCCCCTAGAAAAATACCATCTACTGCAATGAGTAAGTATTTGTGCTCTGTCAGCAGCCAACATGTTTTCCTGCAAGGCACCCTGTACATCAGGCCTGACTCTGCTGGCCAAAGAGAGGTCAAAGAGAGGAAGACTGTTTCTTCTGTTTCACAGCATGACTTTTGTCTTTTGCTTTTTAGCCAGAGAAAGTGGAAGTGTTGAACTGGAAACCATTTACCATGGCAGACGAAGGAACTGACAACCCTGCCTTTAGCCACATTGAAATGGATGTTGCAAGTGACAAGAACAAAGTCAATGGTCTTCATATATGACACAAGGCCATGTCAGCCTATGAGGACAGTTTTGTTCATGTCAAGCACTGTTGATGTTCCTGTTCTGGGTCAGTTACCAGCTCTGCTGGGGTCATGGGCAGGCATCTGCTGAGCTTTGTGGCACTATTGCCTTTGCATGACCTTGACATTAGTCAAGAAAGGAATCAGGTTTTTCTTGCACTTCCACACTCTCTCTGGTTCTTGGGGACAGAGCCTAAAGCAATGTTTCTATGTGAAATATTTGCCTGATATTTTTTGATCCTCCTGGAAAATATCTGCTTTTTATCTCATTTCACCCTCAGAGTGAATTTTTCATTTGGAAAGAATACCGTTCACCCAGGGATGGCTGTTTTTCTGGCTTGTTTTTTTTTCCTTCTTCTTTTTTTTGTAAGGCATTGAAAGTATGAAGAGATTAGGGTGTGGGACCTTATCAGATTGTAAGAAACAGTGGTCTTTTTTATGTATAGGAGGCATATTTAGTGCTATCTGGTTCTTCTGTAGAACTGATTCTGAGAGCATATTTATTTTGCTGGTTTTGTCGTCTATGCTTTTTTTAACCCACTTGTTTCTTGGCTACCTGCACCTTCTTCTCTGTGCTCACTGCTCGGAGCTGCAAGAATGACTTTGGTGGTGGTAGAGGCAAGAGTCAGTACTGTCTTTCCCTTCATGCCCTATCTCCCTGTTCTCCTCTGTCTTGCCCTTGCAGATCTGGTCCTCATGAAGGAAATAATCTATTTACACTTTTTATTCATTGGCATAGACCAGAACCACCACAGCCTTCTGCTGCATGCCCAGCTTGCTGGCCTAGGATTGTTCTTGCACTGGGCTGGGCACAGTGCAGCAGAGATGTTAATAGAGAAGATTCCCTTTTGGCTGTACTGGACAAGAGTGAAGGCTGCATCTGCATTTGCCACAGCAGTTCTCTCCAGAGCTATGAGCTAAAACTTTCTTAGTCCTTTGTGTTCTTGCAGTCCTTGTTTTCACTCTGGGGATTCATGTTCATGGTTGGTTCAGATCAGGCAAGTGCATGTGTTTTGGCTTGCTTTTGGGTACAGTGGGGAACAGACTGACCCACTGTGTTGTTTCTGTGAATCAGACTTTTACTGTGGCTATACAGGAGCATTTAAAGTTCTTCTACAACAGCAAAATTAAGTTGGAAAATTAAAGCCATTGCAGGAAAGCTGAGCTGTGATGCTTGGAAGGCAGTCATGCTTGGGAATCAAGTGAAAAACTGACTGCATGCCTTAAATACTTTCTAAAAATAATACTGCATTTGTGCCAAGTATTGAGCCGCTGTAACTTGGAAAATGACACAGTGCTAGCTTAGTTACCTTGACTGGGGCCCTGTAGCATCTAAATCAATTTTTTCCTGTGCCCTTGTGACAGAGGGCACTTGATGATCTACTGCATAAGATGAACTGTTAGGATCAGAAAACAAAGGTGAAAAAATGGGCTCCAAGGACCAGACCAGAAGAAAAGGCCAGACAGACTCTCTATGGGTGCCACCAAGGCCATGACTCCATTGGCTAACCACCAGACCAGAAGAAAAGGCCAGACAGACTCTCTATGGGTGCTAAAGGCCATGACTCCATTGGCTAACTCAGCGCAAAACTATGTGGCGATGGAGGCAGAGTTCCCCCATGCCTCCTGAAGCATTTTTTTGCATTATCCAGTGCAGAGTTTAGAGTCAGCCCCTTTTCTCACTCCTCTGCTGTAGCTCTGGTTCAGGTCAGTGCCTAAAGCCACTGTGTGGAAGGTCTGTGATCAAGTGGGTTAGATCCCATGAGTTATGTTGTGTCCCTTTATCTGAGATCTGAGACAAACAATAGCATCCTGAATAAAGTCTTCTAGGATTCAGGACAGTCCCAAAACAGAGATATTTTGGGACTATCCAGGTTACTCTGAGACAATTAGCCCATTGACTGAATCAGCTGGCTATGCTTCTCAAGTCTCAGAAGATAAGTGCAGCTCATTCACGCCTGTGCCTTGTCTTCATGACCCAGAAACAGATACTGCATTCTGTGCTATGGAATACTTCTTCAGCCTTGGAATATAACAATTTATATTTACCTGGTACTCTCAGCCCACAGATCTGAAAGAGGGTAAGTACTGCTAACCTCATGCTGCTGCAAAGTGCTGGAGTGGGCTTGGTGTGCCTCTGTGTACCTGTGCTTGTGAGTAAGCTGGAACAGAGAAAAGAAGCCTGCAGCAAGTGCTTGATCTGTGTGCCTGCCAGTATGGCTACAGCCCTCCCAATCCAAATGCTGAATTCCCACCTGAATGTGCTTCTCCAGAGGGTGACTGGTCACTGCTGTGTGAAACAGCATCAGCATGTCCTTTCTGCGTCACTCTGTGCTGAAATTACTGTGCTGTAGCTGATGCTCCCTTAGATCATTTGTATCTTCGTAACTTTTGCCTGTTTTGTTCATGAAGACTAACCTTCCTGGCTATCAGACTTAAAAAATGTAGTTTTCGTCTTCATGCTTTGAATTCACTTAGTTGTTTAAAACAGAGGAAATGGGTAAATTACCATCCTACCTCCCCTTTATTGCTGAAGTCACTATTTAAGCACTGAGCAGTCATTTAACTTGAATTTTGGTATGAAGTGAAAATTTGGGCCAGGTGATATGTCTTGGTCCACAATCATAACATCAAGATGAGTTTTCACTGGGAAGTATATCTTGCTGTAAGCAGTTTAGAGACAAACACCCTTACACTTTGCAGGTGACCTAAGCAGCTACCCCATTTCTTGCTATCTAACCTCCCATGACTGCTGCAGAGCTATAAAGTGACTCTTTTGGCTTTATTTTTTCCTATATTCTTCTTAATTGGCATCATTAATTAAAACAATTAATTAATTGATTTTCAATAATATTTTCTCTGGGAAAATATACTGTCCTCTGCTAGCTGAACTCTAAGCCAGGGCCTTCCTTGTCTGTGTAAAAGCAAGATAATTCATGGAATCTCCACCATACTCCTGCACCCTGATCCTTCATCTCTCCCAGCTAAAAGATCACCTGATAAAGAAATGTGGGATGCTCAAAACTGACTCATTTCACAGGAGTGGGAGCACTCCACAGTGTCCAAATTACATGCAGCATCTGGCAGGGTCACAAGACAAAACAATTAGGAGCCTGTTTAAGTAAAAACTTTAAAAAACCCCAACCGTAAAACCTCAACAGTAACAATATTTGACTATGTGAATACACAAAAGAATCACAGAGAGAAAATAGTGACAGATTTTGTCTCTTTTTGGTCTGCATTTAAATTTTACTTCTATCTGACTGGTCAGTTTGCTTGCTGAACAAATAAGGTAAACAGAAAGAAACTCATGAATGACAAGCAGTAAATATTTCATATGCATAATTTATTTTTAAAGTTTATTACATCACATTATACAAGCATTAAACATGGCTTTATGTTGATGATTTTTTTTAAAGTGTGAAAACTTGACATTCTTCTCCATAGAATTTTTCTATTTACAAATAAACAATCTCTCTATATACTTTATATATATATATATATATATAATATATATATGGTCAATAATGTAACTCCCCTCAGAAAGAATTAAAATAAAAAAGAACTGATTTGTAAACACGGTTTCTGTTGTAGTATTTGGTGGCTTGAATGTAGATGATATTCTATTCCTAGATTTTTCTGTTGTCAGAGTATTCAGGTTGTTCATTTACATTTTAATTCTAAGATCTGTAAAACCAGCATGGGGCAGAATGCAAAAAACTTAGCAAACGGGCTGAAAAACAGTCCCAGTATACATTTTTTCCTTGGTTTTAAAAACTGACATGTAACTGCTCATGAAGTACATGCTGCTGTCAAGAATGGCCTATGGAGAACAATCCTACGCTGATTGCAAGATGATATCACAGTAAATCCACTGATGTGTGCTGTCCTGCTTGGTATGTAAAATGTTTGTGCCATGCACTGAGGTTGCATTTTTTTTTTCTCATTCTCTTGAAGATAGTGCTCTTGTGGAGCTGGAATAAGTAAACAACATACAGGACTGTCACATGGAGATTTAAACAAAACCCATCATCAGATCAGGAAGAGAATGACATAAATTAGTTCTCAAGAGACTAGTAAAATTCCATTTATTATTATACTATTATTTGTATTTTATTTTTCTAGTAAATAAAAAAGGGTTGTCTTTCCTGAGTGTTCTGCTATGTAGCTCTGAAGGACTCCAGGGAAATCTGTTCATCAGACCAGCAGCAGAGAAACCTCAATGGGTTGGCTGGTCAAACTGAAGTGACAGAGATGTACTCAGGGTCTGCCAGGGAGGTCAGAGCCCCTTGCAGCATCATAGTCAGCACAAGCTTGGCAAGCAGCCAACCTATGGTCTCATTTAGAGCAGAGTGGGATGCATCTTCTAGCAATGTGTTGTCAAAAAAAATTCATCCTAATGCAGTTATCTTGAAAACTACTCTCAAAAGCAATTATTATCTATTGCATTCCTGCTGCACATTATTTGTTTTGGCACATTTTATTGCAGTGGTTTCTCTGGAGTGGAAGTCAGTTTATATTCTACTGTGTTTCAGTTCAGTTATTGAAGTTACTGAGATCTAAATTGACAAAGCTGCACCTTACTGCAGGAATTTGCAAAGGTCCATTTTGCTCCTAGGGGTGACACTGATTTTATGCATGGCTCATGTCTCACTTTACTACTTAGTAAGCAGTTTCTAAGCTCTGGTCATCTGTTGGTTTAGACATTAAACAGAGGGTATCCAAAATAATCCAATTATTAACGAGAATTTGGTCTGAATATGGTTTTGCAAAGTGATCCTGCCCCAGAGCTGCAACTAGGTGGTGGATGATAAATACTAACCCATCTGGCATGTGTGTCTTGGAGATCAACACTACTTGATCCCCATCCCCTATTTACAGAGACAGAAATATTCCTATTTCCCCACTGTCCTGTGGGCTGTGTCCACAGCTGCTGTGAGCAGAAGCAAAGATGAACAAATTCACTTCCCCATTAGTCAGGAATTTACCCCAAAACCACTACTTGTGCTCCCCACTCAGTCTGGCACCAAGCCAACACAGAACAGACAAATCCTGAAATTCCTTCAGTGTTCATGCTGTTTCATGGGACTTTCAGGCTTGGGCCAGGAGCAGCTGATAAAAGGGAGCTGCTATGTAATTTATCCTCTTCAGGTAGGATGGTGGGTTGCTACTGGAGGAGGTTCCTTGCTTTTTTGTGTAGGCAGGCAGTGGCTACAGAGAGGAGGATGCTCACATCTTCTTCATCCCTCTCCTTCCTCAAGTCATATTGCCTTTCATCAAACCTCCCCCCTCATGCAAATAGCACAGTTCTTCTTTGCAGTGGAAAAAAGTTAATAGATCTAATTTGGTGATATTTGTCTTGGTGCAAATGGTCCTGTTGTATGTGGAGCTTGAGGTATCCATCTGTAGGATCTTGCATTATGTGGTCTCTCCAGAAGGGCAATTTCTACTCCTTCAATCAAATTACTTCCAGAATAACTTTTAGAAACAACTGATTGAAGAGCTTTCACAACACTCAGTATTTTGATTCATTGCTACATCCAACACTTATGATGTCTTCAAAGCTACAAGTCCACTCTTTTGGGTTAATAGTCTGGAAATTTTGAATTTCTTGATTAAATCAGAAATTTTAAATTGCTCAATATTAAAGAATTTGCTAAACAATATTAACAGTGGCTTATTTCGCCCAAGTCTAATTTGCAGCCTGTGTAGAATTGCACTGCATTAAGGATTTCAAGCTGTTTCATATCACAGTCTGTTGATTTGTTTTTTCCCTCCACCCCTTCATAGGTAATGGAATGATGAATACAGAAAGTGCTACAAGTGTAGATATTCCAGATGACTGTGTTTTATTCTGCTCACCTTGTTCATCTGCCTTTTTTGTTTGTTTTAGTTAGGCAGATAGGTCTATGAGATGTGTCTGACATGTGTTACGTGTGTAAGTACACCCTAATTCCTGACTAGGCCTCAATGTGATCTGGCAACGCAAATACATGGGCAGTTCTGGGCACGATGCCCTAACCTGATTTGATTCCTTCAGACACCAGACAGTCCTATAGCTGAAAAGGCACTGTTCAAAACTTTAACATGTATTACCAACTTTTCACAGTGTCGTTTCCAAATAAATGACCCTACAGCTAGATACCTCTGGCCACATTTAGATGCTTGGCTGTCTGCCTCCACTTCTGATGCCTACATTTTTCAGCTTTGTTTGGCCAGTTGATCAGACTCATGATCATACATCTCCTTCTAGATAATACTTCAGTGTTGTTGAGCAATGGAAATGATCCACCTAGGTGACCTTAACTGGTGGCAAATGCAAACTAACGCGGTTGGGTCCGCTGTGGAAGGGAGCAACACTGCCATGCACAGGTGCTGCAGGTGGTGGCCACACACACAGACAAACACTGCCACGTTGCCAAGGCGCAGTCACTGCTGATGAAGTAGCAACTTCATGAGAATGAGCTGTAAGATCACCAAGTTCTGTAAAGCACTGGAAGTTGTGTAACTGCTTTGAAGTTCAGGGCCTCGAATTTTAGTCAGGGCCTGGGAGCTTCCTGGCAAGAGTGCAGAGACTTAGTATTGGTCTGATGTGCTCATGTTGACATCAGCTCTGGAGATGACTAAGCCTTGGAAACACCTCTAATTTCAAAAGGCTCATGACAAAAGCCACCCTATTGAAGAGGGGCACACATGTGCTAAATGCACACAACACTACTTACTATTCCTCTCAGTGCACTCCCTGTTGTAGAAAACCAGGGTTTTTTTAAATAAACAAGAGTTCTTATCTTCTTTTAAGCTGTTTCTTCCTCATCCTCTCATGGCCATTCATTGTGATAAGATTTTCCATTCTTTTTTCTTTCCTTCCTCTCTTTTTGCAGACGTTCTAGCTCAGCTTCATACATCATTTCCTGAATCAGGTACTTTTCTCTCCTCATTCGATCTCTCAGATCTTTTGGAAGATCTGGAATTAAGTAGGAGATCAGATGCTTTATGCAAAAGACAAGGTGCTGTGAACACAAAAAAAGGAAAGAAAAATTTAAAACCTCAGGAAAACTGGTACTTTTCATATCTTCTGAAAACCCTGCATATCTTTCTGATATGCAGTATATGTTTAAACTAAATCCATTACTAAATTTTAAGAGAAAAAAACATGACTTTTTTCTCACAAAAACTCCAGCCAGTCAATGGAGTGTGGGTCACAGCAGAAATTATGAGCAGGTGGATTAAAATAAAACCTAAACATTTTTTCTTACACTGTGTCTCTTATCCAAAGACATATTCCTGTTTAGCAAACACCACAATTAAATACAAGTTGACTGATCCTTTGTCCCTCCTATTTTAAGCATGACACAGCAAAACTTGAGTTTGACTGCATGAGTGTCCTTTTCTGTTTGATCAAAAATGCTGCTTGAAGATTTACTCACTTCACTTAAGAGGAGGAACAGATAAACAGAAAAATCCTCCATCTCAGAAAGGACATACATTCTAGGTTGGAGAAATAAGGGTATTTCTTCTTCTCCAAGCAGAACCCTTCTTTTGAAAGCTGACTGAAAAGAGAATGTAAAATGTTTTCCCATGTATTCTTCCCTCATGATAAATAAACACACAAAACCCTAATTGTTTGCCTTTTTTTTTGCCAAACCTAAAAAGAGAAAAAAAAAGCCTCTTCTGTCTGTTTAGCCTGGACAAAGAATTCCTTTTGCAGTGATAGGAAATACTTTTGTTTGTTTTCAAAGGAGGTTAAGTTATTCAAAGCAAACCACACTCACAGTGCCAAAAGAGGGCCTGAGCCTTGGCAGTTACTTAATTTATGAAAAAACCTACCTTGAATCCCCCATCTCTTTGTGCAATCTTTATTGTAAGCATGCAGCAATCACAATACAACCTTTAATATTTTCAAATAAAAAGGTCTTGGTTTCTGCTGCAATTACCTTTTTGATTTCATAGATATAGTTAAGTTATAGTCATAGTTTGCAGTGTCAATAAGCAGAGGGCTCATGTTGAGGGAGGCAGATATGAGCCAGCCTATGACTTTGGTTGAGAAAAAGCAAAGTCAACTCAGATGTGCCCAGTAGCACTAAAAGTTATTCCTCAGTTGGTCACAAATTTGGTTAGACACTGAGACTTGAACAGGTCTCATTTTTCTTGCCTCACTTCTCTTTGTGCCTATGCTGGGCTGCCTTTATGTCAAGTGTGTATCAAGAGGCCAGACTCTCTTCAGTCTTTAAAATTCTTAGGCTGACCTGCCAAGACCATTCTTGTTGTCCTTTTTGGACATGCATACCCTGACTTTCAGTTCTGACTTCTCATGAAACTAGAAGGGATTAAGCCCAGCAGGCCTCTATCAAATCTTTCTCTCTTTCTTTCCCTTAATATTTCCCTGAGTGTGGAACAGATGATGGAAGAAATGACCTCCTTGGAAACCAGCTGCTAATAAGTTATCCAGTGTAAAGGAAGAAGAGAGCTCAACCTGCAGTGCCATATTCCTTCACCTGGGAAGGTCTGAAAATTGCAATCATGGGGAATTTGCTGAAGTCCTTGGGCTTCTGCTGAGCCACAAATAATAGAAATAATAATCTAGAAAATGCTTCTTCTCCACCTTTGCTCTAACACAAATGCTTCTGTCGTGTTATCCAAAGAGGTGTGCTGAAAGCTCAGTTCAGAATGAATTTGCACTCTTCTGTGAGTCAGAATGCAGTAGATGCTCATGAACATTACATACATACCAGTATGGTGACTACAGTTTCCATATCTGTGTTGAATACCCCATTGCAATGATTTCAGAGCAGAGGATTGAGTAAAGAATTTTTTAAAATCATGTGTTCCTTCTTTGGCTTCTTCATTGTGTAAAAGGCACCACGATTCTAGTGGGGATATTCAGGCACTTGAAATTAGGCCTTAAGAGCTGCATTTTTTCTTTTTTTTTTGGTAAATCATCCTGTTCCATTTTTCTACCCTTCTGGCTCTCTTTTTCAAAATAAGTGTGTGAATACCAGTCATGTGAAGTTGGTATTATCTCCTTTGGTTTGCCTTAAAGACACCTGAGATACTAACAGTAAAGACTAATATGAACATAGACAAAGGTATTGAATCCTTTCCATTGTCGTCATCTTTGTGATGCCAACCATTCTGGAGTAATGAAGGTCATTAAAAAAAGAAAGAAAAAGAAAAAGAAAAAGAAAAAGAAAAAGAAAAAGAAAAAGAAAAAGAAAAAGAAAAAGAAAAAGAAAAAGAGCTAGTTGTATAAATTCTATAACTTCAATTATCATTGTTTGTCAGTTGTTCAGATTTAATATTTTCTTCTCATGTTCCTTTACCCCTATCCTCACAGAACAGTCAGCATATGGCTTCCCAACCTAGACAAGTTACCAAAAAAGTAAATAAAACCTTCATTTATTTCCCCCTCTTTGCAAATCACTGCTACAATTTTCAGTGTTATATTCCCTTTTCTGTAAGAACCTACATTCCTGTGACTGTTCAGAAAAGAAAGCCGAGAATACAAAGCAAAGTGTAAGTAGAAGAAACTAAGACAAAAACCACCTCAACAGCTGCCATCATAGATCAGCCCAGTGCAAAGCTTCAGAGGGAAATTTGTTTTCTTTTTGGTTTTGTTCTGCCACCTGAATGGTCACTGACCTCAAACACAATAATGAAGGCCAGGCGTGCTGCTAAGACGTGCCAGAACTGCAGCGTGTAACCGTAGGGCACTGGCGAGTGCGGAGGGTCTCGGTAGTCCCTGTACCTGAAAGACAAGCACAGTGTGGGAGTTAGCAAGCTCTGCACTGCTGCCTGGGCCAAGGCAAAACCAAAACTCACCTGCTCTTGATCCTTACATTCTCTGCACCAAAAATGAGCTCAGTCTGATCTGCACAGGTTACCCTAATGCTGCTTGCTTCTAAGGCTGGGCCTGTGCCAGTGTTTTATTTTAGGTCAGGTGCTTGCTTTTGGAGCAAGTGTCCTGATCACCTCCACTTATCACACTTTTCTTCATGCAGATGGACTTACTTTCAGCTGAAACCTACCAGTAAGATGCACTCCAGGAGTTCTAATGGAAATTGGGTACAAAGAACCCAAACCAGTGTCTGAAGAAAACCCCTGAAACAAATACACAGGATGGGAGGTGCTTTGCCCCTACAGCATCTCCCTTGGCAGCACAACATGTACCTTTCAGGCATTTCATCAGAATTTGGAGAAGGGTGGGATGCTCTGCTCATTTAAGGAACACTTTATTCCCTTTATTCAAGGACATTTTAAACCCGTAAATGTCCCCAGTTTTGTTAACCTGATCATTCTCCCAAAATCCACATAAAAATGCCCCATGGACTCCACCTGGCCCTTGATCAATTAGTTGGCCATCCCTGGTGTAAAACATGACTCATCCTGACTTCAGCAGAGCCAGCACTGCATCTCTTGGTATATCAAGAAGTAAGGACCATGTGAGAAAGTGATCTAGTGTCTTTTCTCACTGTGTTATTTGGAAGACTTTAGGTCTCAGAAATTTAACTGTAGATTTCTACAGGGAAAGTTTGATCCAGGAATACTCCAAGATTGTATTTACAAACCATGAATCTGTTTAAGTCACACATTCTGGATCCATTTTACTAGCAGTTTGTTAATTCTAAAATAGAACTGTGGAAACCTTATTTAAAAGTAGCGTAAACATTTTTTGCTCCTTCATCTGTTTCCTAGATGGGACAGAAAACCCACTGTAAAAAGATATTGAAAATACCATAGTAAATAATACAGGTTGATCACTAAGTTGCTTTTAAGAAACTAATGAAAATGCAAATGAATAAAAGAAATAAACATTGTTTAATCTCTATGACAATCTGTATTTCTCCATGAAGCTACACCGTCTTAGATTGCAGAGGGTGCTATACAAACTGAAATAAACTGTCGGCATCAAATCTCTCAGAAATTTCAGTATTTCTAGAATAAGCTAAAAACTGAGATGGTCTTTCCTTGCGCAAGTAGCATTCTGTCTTCATAGTTTAGGATGTTTTACAATATCCTAAGCATTCCAAAAAAGAGAAATCCCTGGACCAAATCCCAGTAGAGTATATAGTTTCTTTTTTTAAACTCACTAGGAATCCATTGTTACACATGAAAAAATGGGGAAACCTTCTATAAACAACCAGAATAGCACAGCACTATCTGTGTTCCAGGTGATCAGAAGTTAATCGGGACTTTTTTTCAGACAAACTGTCTTCCTGGAAAAATGTCTACACTATTACACAGTAGAACGTAATATTTCCTTACCTGCCTATCAATATCTGCCCTGAAGTGCAATTAAAATGACTGATGCTTTAGTAGAATGCAGTTTGGTAAGAAGCTGATAAACTTAGATAAAGAAAGATGTTAATTTTTCTTTCAAGGGCTGCTGTATCACAAACCTTTGTGGTCTCACAGAGTATCTTTTGTTCTTCAGGCACTCATAAATAAAAGGATATTTTAATTCTTCACAGTGAAAAATATTGGGACTAAGTGTATCTGCTAAAGACTATGAGGTCTCATACTTGTAATGTAACATGGCAATTAAAAAGTGGTACCTGTATTTGTTTGGTATTTTTGGTTGGGACACTATTTAAGACCTTTATGTAGACCCTTGAGATTTTTTTTTTTGGCCATTAAATTCACTCAGGTATAAATCTGCCGTTACAGACTTTTTTCAGACTGCAATTTCTCCAATCTGTTGTTAAGGACAAAGATGGGCAGATAATTAGCTGCTCATCTTTTGATTCAAACACAAGTATATGATTATTACTAATAATTACACCAGTAAGCAATGACATAAATGTATTACCAATTCGACAATTTGGAAATGCTGGATTTGAAGTTTCATAAAGGCAGCTTATGACAAAGCCTGTTTATGTCTGGCAGACCTGTGACATACCCTAGTGTGGCCTCTCCTGTGCAACCTTGATTTCCTGTGCATGCCCTGTGATATCATCGCATCACAACTAGGTCTCACTGGTATCTAAGTAATCAGGCATCTCTTACTGGTCCTTTGATACCATATTTATCCATGATGATTGTGTCTGAGTCAAGCTATGACACCATAAAAATCCTGCATTAGGAACACACTCCAGATACCAACTTTTTTGGCTTCTCTTTTATCTGAGGAAGGAATCATTCAGGTAACAACTAAACAACACCAAGGAGAGCAAGACCCTGAACAGCACAGTTAAAACTTTCCATTTTTAACTTCTAAAAATCAGTGTCAACTCCAGATTTATTATGATGCTTCTCCATTTCGATGTCCTAAAGCAGAGAAGTAGGTTGACCAGAAACTTACCTGCAATATTTTAATGGGGAACCAGAGAATTCACTTCCATTTGATGTTGGCTCTGAACGGTTTTCAAAGTCAGACACCAGAAATACTGATAAACTGGCATTAACATAGCCAACCATACACCTAGAGGGGACAAAATGCTGTCAGCAGGACACAGCAAGTTTTTTCCATTAACTGTTTTACCCAGAGGATGCCCTTTGGGTTTCATAAAATCCAAAAGTACAATTTTGATGCTTATTAATATTTGAAAGGGATGTTGAGACAATATAAAAGAAATGCTAAAGTAGGTCAGATGAACAATAAAAGCGAAGCAATGGTAGATTTCTATAGGAGAAGGAATGGTGAAGATTGGGACTGGTTACTTTTGAAAAAGTCACCTAAATGGTGAACAATAGGGGCAGAGAAAATAATGAGGAGTGTTAGGAAGATAATCAGAATATTCCCACTGTTACACTCATGTACTAGCACAAAGGGACACTAAATCAGATGGAAAGATAATACACTTGAAACAGCTTTTTAGAAAATGTCCAGTTAATCAGAGGAACTCCATTCTTGAAGACCCCAGCATGACTGAACACTGTGAGGGCCAGGCAAAATTTAGAGAACACTGAGTAGAAGTTATGTCCCCATTGAAGAGCTGTGGGTGTCAATAGAAGGCTCAGGTTTGGTGTTAGTAAAGATAAGGAGATCTGGCCAAAATGTGTTATGCTGTTCATGCTGCACTGCCCAAACACAGCTAAGTGTAGGCACACAAGTTGGTGTAGAGTATAATGCACAGTAAGGGCTGGGGGATTTTGGTTTTGGGTTGGGTTTTTCTAAATATGGAATTTACAGTCTTTGAGAAATTATATTCAAACAACATCTGGCTTTGTCTCCAAACTGATTACATTTGAAACTTAATTTAATTCCAGTATTTTTCTAGTATCATTGTGTTATATGGATCTAATACCTACAGACGTTTTTGAAAGAAAAGTGTACTTCTCTCTTTTTAGCTATTCAATAGCAGATGGTCTTTACACCTTAATTTGAGAAAACTCACTATTCCTGTGGATTTTTGAACACCTTCCTGCTTTTGTAACAGTACCTACTAATAACATTATTCAGAATGCTGACATAAACAGTTTAAATACAGGTTAGCTCCTTCAAAATATTACTACCTGACAGCTTCATCTAGAAATTCACTCAAAGAAGCAGCAGAAGTGTGAAAACATTGTACTAGAGGTTTGTGAAAAGAAGATAAGAGCCAAACTGTGAGCCAAACTACTTCCCCTGTGCAGAACTTGTTTCAAAGCCACTGAGTCATATTTGAGTCTTAAGAGAAATATTTCTAAAGGTGTTGTTTTTCATCCACAGTGGTGCTGAGAAAATCCTTCCTTATGATTTCCTTAGCAATGAGAGTTTCTTACAGTGCCACAATATCCTGTCGATCTTTATACTGGCACGAGCAGAGGCACATGCTCAGGAACAACTGGCACCAGACCACTTTGCCCCTGAAGGGATTTTAACTCTTCATGAAAGTAAACAGAACATCCTCTCTAGCCCCAGCTAAAATGCCCAAATCCTTGAAGGACAGGAGTTAGCAGATCTCCTAATTGGGAGCTGCCACAACAGATGCCCTTCTTCTGTCAGTATGATTAAATGTATTGACAGTCAAAGATGTCAAAGAAGCAGCAACAGATGAACTCACTTTCTGCAGCAGGGAGTAAAAAAATCGATCTGCCATATGTCCAATAGCAGAATGCAAGCTCTCTGTCACTGTCTACTGTTTAGCCTGGGTTTCTTTCCACAGCAGGGCTCCTTGCTAATGGCACTGCTAGAGCATTTGCAAACTGTGTCTGTGTTTGGCTGGATTCAGTGACCTTCCCAGAGCCCAGCAGCTGAGATTTCACAAGTGGCCATGCAGCAACTATCTCATGCTTGCTGGTAGTGTGCACATGCTAACATAATCTCAGTGTTTAGCAACACTGAAAGAAAATCCACTTAGGCAGCAGGGATTCAGATCACAAACGTCTCCTGGAAGATTTAATCTAAGAACTCTAGTTTTAGAAGAAAAACAAATTGCTTTTCTCTGTAAGCATATATTGTAATATTAGTTGGAAATTTCTTCCTCCTGCTAGACACTACTTTTAAAAGTAATACATCCTGAATATTACATCAGGAAAAAACCCAGTGTACAAGTTTAAGATGCTCAGCAAATTCTTTACTGATTTGTATCAGCATTTCTTCAGAAAAAACCCAGGATTATATCCATGTACTACCAGCTGGGAAGTACAGCTTGGGCAGCATCCTCTCACACACACAAAATCCCTGAAATAGCTCTGCCATGTTTGCCTTGAAGTACCATCATGGATCACAGTCACTCAGAAACCCATTCTGTGAATATGCAGAGCATCAGTACCTATGGTATCTGGTATCTAAACACAAACAATACACTTGGTTTAGTGGAATCAGAACATACACAGACAGTAATACTGCATCTATTCAAATAATAAGTGATTTTTGTGCACATCTGTTTCCCCTCACCAAAAATAAAGCCTTACTTTTGTCCTGCTTCTCCTTGGCCAGCACAAGGTCCGTATTTGTAAGCATAAACAAGGCGAGGGATGAAATCTGATGTCACTGCTATAACAAATGCATTCGTGATAACCGAAAGAATTCCAATGCCTTCCAGGATCCCGTACCAGATGCCTGTTCAACAAGGACAGTATGTTTGCTCCAGGAAAAAACAGAACCAAAGTGCTTGAAATACTGCATGATCAGAAGTAGTTTTCCCCACTGCACAAGGTGTTTTTATGTAGTTGTTATACAAGAGTCACTGAGTAAAAATATATTTTCTTATTGAACAGCTCATCACTGTTCTTATAACTGTGAATCACACCAAAGGAAGGTTAAACATACCCACTGATTTAATGAGGCATTGAATTGCCGCTGAAACTTTGCTAGAATGCAATTTATTTTGAGAAATCACATCTGAATCAACATAAAAAGGTATTCTTCTGTGCTTCTATTAATTACATTATAGAACTGGTATTTTACAAATTATGTCTGTAGTGTACCCCATGTATGACTGTTGTCCAGGCTTGTGCCAGAACCCACATATTCACAGTGTTCTCATTCAAAGCTTTAATCAGACACAGACTTTGGGTACATATTAGAACATTCTAAGAGCACAAAGCCTGATCTTCTGCTATTTCTTGGTGTGGGCTATGGATTTTTGCAATGCAGTTGGTTAGTGATGTTTCCTATTTACCCCTCTGAAAACACCAGGGAGTCAGCGCTGGGCAGATGAATTTGTTTTTGAGCTCTTCCTAAAGGTGTTGTGCTTTTGCATACTGCAAGGACAGAAGAGATTTGTAGTCAAAATAAGTTCAGAGACTCTTTGCAATAGTGTGTGGCTGGATGACCTCAGAGTTATGTGGACCTTGTGTTTAGCAATGTAGGTGTGAGTCACTGAGAGCAAGTTGTCTGCTGGGATCCAGACCCACCCTGTCTGACCCACCAGGGACCCGGTGGGCACTTCCCCTGAGGGAAGCTTGGCTTTGGCCAGGTAAATATAAAACATAAAGGTTCCTTACAGCACGGTAGCCTCTTTAACTTGGCTTTCATGTGTCATCTGATTGATCTGTCTGGTTATTATATTTAAGTTGAGCAGCAACATGTGTTGGCACAGTGTGTCTGCCACAACAAAGCACCTGCAGAGAACACTGACCATTTTTCATCTTGGCTGTTAAGTCCCCCAGAAAAATCATTAAAAGATATTTTACAATATAGACTACTAATTGCATAAGTAGATTGGCATCAGATACTTGAAGTTTTTTTTTTAAAGTCAAGGGGTGTATTATTAATTGGGTAGATAACCGAAAATACCCTAATCTGCTCTTGTTAGAAGTGGTCAAATCTTTGACAAATAACACATATATATAACAAACACCATACAAAGAACTCACCTATATCTTTGGCTCTTGAAGCTAAAGGTCTTCTCCACTGAGTTACAAATTTGTAAGCATCAAGCCGAATTTCAATAATATTGTTTAGTAAGGCCAGAAGTGGTGCCAGTGGAAAAGCTGCCACAAAAATGGTTGTGAACCCAAACTGAAGAACTAGGGGGGAAAAAGAAGGAAATATCACAGAAAAACTCTTAGGATCCAATCCCAAGGTCTAAGATACCAAACCGTGTATGCAAATAAGCAGTATGTATAAGGTATACAGACAATTCTTATTATGTCATATTATATAATGGTCCAGTGGCAGTTGTACAGCAAGTCCTTGTCAAAAGTTAGAAGAAAGAATGAAAAAACCCTGGAATGGACAGCACCATCTAAATTTTCTAATTTGGAATGAAGTTCTGAGGTGGACAAACTGTGCTTTTAGAAAGGGACACTTTTACCTCAGTATCGACTGGGATCTCTCAATACTTGCAAAGATTAGGGATAAATACATTCCTTTTAATAATTCAGATGGGAAGCACTTTGAAATTCTGTTTAAGTTTCTAGAGGTAGGTTTTCAGAGTATCAGATTTCCCATTAATTTGAAAATAATTGTGTGAGGGAGAAAAGAAAAAAACCAATCATGACATATGCAGTTCAGTCACATAGGACAAAAGTTCATGTTTTTTAATATCTTTTTTTGAGCAGTTATTCTCCTCTCTCCTCTGGATAGAGCAGTGCCTTCTTGGCAGTAAATTACTTTGTAAATGTGAGGTAGTAAATGAGAGAGGATTTTAAACATAAACAAGCATGCTGTTCTGTACCATGCACTTCAAGGGAAAAACACAAGACAACTTTCTTTAGAAAAGAACAGCAAATTTCTTCAGAAATGTATGCAGATAAAGAACCGGGCTCTGGTTTGGAAAAACAAATCCAGAATGGGAAGTGTTTCATAGATGGGAGGTTAGCAAACTATGCTTAACTACATTGGTTTGGTTCTTAAAAACTGACTCCCATTCTTCACCTGACCTGTGAGAATGAAAACTTTTTTGCAGTCTCTTCAGCTTCATACTTATAATATGATAATTAAAATAATTCACCAGCTCATATCAACAAAAAACCCGAGAGCATTAAAATATAATGAAAGAGAGAGAATGAAGGTTAGACCCATACTCATTTCTAGGTATTCATCAAAGAGTCCATAAGCATTCATAGGCTGCAGATTATAGTCCTTTTCCCACTGTGGGAAGCTTGTTTTTCCCTGTGTGCCATACTCTTGCCGTAGTTTTCTCCTGGTCCACCAGTTTTGAATTAGCCTACATTTCAAATTAAATAAAAGAAACAAAGTAAAGCATATGAATGGCTATTTATCACAAAATTGGAAGATGTTAAGTGGGCACAACATATCCTGCAAAATTCATTTCCTGATGTACAGGAAAATAGAGCATTGGTAATACATGTGGATGATGACACAGCATAATAAGTATGAAAACAGATGCAGCTGATGAGCTGTAATCCCAGCCTATATGTTGTTAAAATGGTGAAAGGATCTTGACATATTTTCATTATTTATTTACTTATTTTTCTCTGCACAGAATGCCAGATCACTTCAGGGTTTGTTTATGAGGCAGAATGCAATGCTGTGTGGAGATAGCTGAGCTCAGTAAATAAGAGTGCTAATGCTGCTTGATTCTTTCCTCTGAGTGTGACCTGGCATCTCTGCATGGTTCTACAGCGTGCAGGGTAAGTCTCTGGGCAAATCCTGGAAGGGAAAAGGCAACCCTGAATGGTGCCTGTGGCCAAATATTCAGACGAGAAAGAAGCAGAAAGAAATGTCTGAACTACCATGGTGGCTGAGAGATGGGTGGCTGATATAGGAGCCACCTCCACCTCAAGAAATGGGGAACCTGTACTGGACATCGAGGGAAGATACTGCTCCCAAAGAAATGCATGTGTGAGACCACTGAGAAAGGCAGTGAGCCGAAAGTGAAATGAATTCTCACATCTGAGATAAACACTTTTTCAGGGAGTTGCACTGATTTGGCCAACAAAGGACACTAGTTAAGAGTTACCGTAGCGTGAATAAAAACCCCAAACCACAATGGCAGATTTTCTCTGAAGCTGTGGTTGGTCACTTTTTCTCAGTAAGAAAAAATGTGATAGATCACCCAAATAATTCAGTCCTTTTCCTGACAATGCTTCACTTTTTGCTCTCACAGTGGCCTGGTCTGGTCTGTGAATGGTGCAAAGTGACTGCAAATAGTAATTTGATTTGCATAAGGGTTTGGACAGCTGCTTGTTTTCTTGAATCTTAGAGATTATTTTTCCAATTATGTAATTTATCAGAAAGATTACAGCTTTTCCTGTCTTTCTTGAAGAAGTGTAGGTGAAATTGAGTGCAGTTCAACTGAATTCAGATACAGATTGCAGGGTTGCCTCCAAGCCCTCTGGCCATCCACATTGGGTTGGCTGCCATCAAGCTCTTAGCAGAAAGGTGTTTTTCACACAAAAAGGAAATGCACTTTCTTGCAGCATTTCAGGGCTGGAAGGTGAACTGAAGGGTCTGGAGAGCAAACACATCTCTCATCAGAATAAGTTAAGCATTTCACAATGTTGTGACTCTGTCTTTTATGTTGTGGTTTTCCTTGTGACTCTGATGTGAAGATTAATTTCACCTAAAGCAGTTTATTCCCATTAAACCACTTGTTCTTAAACAATCTCCTCCTATCTCTGTCAATTACTTTCTTTTATTTCTCTTCTGCCCTCTTTGTTAAGTTTCAAAATCTGTATTAATAGAAAGCAGAGAGTTCTAATGAAAACTGGCAAAAATGGTAGGGAATGGAAAGGGAAGGATCAATACTGCTGCTATTGTTCCCTCCTGCCCATCCCAACTAATCCCTGCAGCCCGAACAGCTGCAAAATACTGGCAAGGAGTGCTAGGCCCAGGAAAGATGGAGAAATAGCAAATCCCTCTGAACTTTGCAAGGGCAAACTTTCTGACAATGTCAGCTCTCTCTTAGATTTTCACTCTTGCTAATTTCCCTTGATGACCATCCACACTCTCTCTAGCATCAACTACACTGATCATGTTAAACCTATATTAATCATATTAAACATGCTCATTAAATACTAATCAATAAGGAATGAACCAATTGGAAATGAGTAATTGCTAACCTTTTAACGAGGGCACAGCTTCATGTTACCTTGAAGATCACAAGGGAACTTGTCTACATACCAGTCAGTACATTTTTTCTGTCTTTCAGAGTGCATGTGCCAACAGTGCATTTTTTCCAGCTTATATCTGCTCTTTCAGGCATCTTTTATCACCCAACAAAAACAGAACTTAGAACTTACTGGTATAGCTAAGAAATGACACATATAATATTTTTCATGTAAGCAACATAGTGGTCACACAGTTACTTTTAAGGAGTTTAGAACACAGAATAAAATTTAACAAAATTAAGTACTTCCCATGTATTACTTATTTGTTAATATTTATGTTACACTTTCACTTTTCCAAACTGTCCAATGTGGAAAAAAGCCCCAGGCATCATCTTTATGTCTGGAGTTCTTCATCCTTGGGGGGATTTTCTCTTGTAATGGCTACTGCATCTTGCTTTTATTAACTGGTGATAAGGAGAACATAAACTTAGTATTCTGTGACCTACAGAAGCACACAGGTATTATATTTACTTACGGATATCCCAGTTCCATGAAATTATTCCATGTCTGCTTTAACACCATTATAATACCCATTTGCATACAGAGGTCAATAAGGCATCCACTAGGGTGGCACTACAGGGGGAAAAAAAAGAAACAAAATGTTAAATAGGAAATATGCTGAGTTTTAAAGCATTTGTTAAATGCTATAAATGACACTGGATCATTTACTAAAAGAGAATTAAATGCATTCTCCTTATTTTTTAAAGAAGTATAACCTCATGGGAACAGATGACACTGTATCATACTGTCAGCATTTTAAGCTTATCACCTAATTCTCTGCAGAGGTCAGAGTCACCTGAAACCAAATGCAGTTTCCACAGCAGTGCTTCTAATGTGCTGTGCAACTGTGGGCAGGGCAGAGGCAAAGGCCACTAAGTTTCTCCATTGATCTGAATTGTTTTTGGGGAGGGTGGCTGTGCATCAAGTCAAAGAATGAAGAGAAAATTTCTCCTGGCTAAAAATCTCTTACTGCTGACCAACAGTTCTTAGTGTTTCTTGCTGAGTGCTTGCTTGCTTTAGCAGTGGCTCCAGACCCTGAAGCTGTGGTGCTTCTTTTGGGAGAGATATGCAGATAGTACAAATTCAGGTAATTTTTTATCTGTTATTGTAAAAAAAATGAAGGGATCAAAAGCTTTCAACCCTCAAACTGCACTTTGTGTAACTGGCTTTGCAGTTCCAAACAGTGTAGTTCAAGCTGTATTTTAAAATCTTGGGTATTACAGATAAGTCAAATGAATCATTGCCACAGAACTGGAATTATTTCTTTCTAACTTTTAGGGAGACCAAATAATTATGACCTGGAATAAAATGAGGCATTAATTTCTTATACATGATTCATTATCCAGCTCTCAGAATATGGATCACTGCTGAGGGTTCTGCTGACCTAATTTAGCACTATTGGGGTGACAGGGTTGGTTTTTTTGTTGTTTCTGGTAGGGGGAGGGGTTTCTGGTAGGTTTTTGGTTTTTTTTTTTTTACTTCTCTGTCATTATTACTAAATCGTCATCCTCCTGTTTTTAGGGATCGGTCACATGAATGAATGTACCCTGAGAGAGGTGGATGCAGTGTCAATGAAGTAGCAGCAATGTTACAACCATAACATCAATAATATGTAAACTGTGGTCTGAGCATGTCCATGGGCACTGGACTAGTGTTACTAAATGTCTTAGACTTGGCAAAATTTGACAGGCGAAGAGAGGGGTGTTGGAGGGATATCTGAACATCGTATTCTAAAGCAGGTTAGTTCTAATAAGACCTGGCAGAGATACAGTAAATAAAATCAAGACTTTTCTATTATTAGACTTTATTATTATTATTATTAAACTTTTTTTTCTCTGAGGAAAGCTAAATAGCTGTGGTCTGAGCATGTCCATGGGCACTGGACTAGTGTTACTAAATGTCTTAGACTTGGCAAAATTTGACAGGCGAAGAGAGGGGTGTTGGAGGGATATCTGAACATCGTATTCTAAAGCAGGTTAGTTCTAATAAGACCTGGCAGAGATACAGTAAATAAAATCAAGACTTTTCTATTATTAGACTTATTATTATTAAACTCTTTTTTTTTTCTCTGAGGAAAGCTAAATAAGGATTACTAAGAGTAGCTTCCACCAGCAACTGACCCAACCTGTAACACCTCATTGTTGCACTTTCCTCACAAACCTGGTTCTCTTCTCCTTCCATCCCTTCTCCTGCAGAAAGATGAGTTTCTTTCCATGTTCTCTGATCCCTCTGTGAAATTAATCAGCCCACTGAATCAGCAGAAGTCTATTCAGCCAGCAAAAGGAAGTTTACTGCTGATACAAGGAACAGAGTAGGCTCCTCACAGGCTTGGATGAGTGAGAGTCAATGCAGAGGAAGAGAAAGGAGCAAGCCTCAGGGTGAGGAAGGAAGATCAGAAATGTTTTCCTTTGACACCAGCAAGTTTTTAGGTCAGCTCAGTCACAGACAGATTTTGGAGGGATGTTAAGCAAAATTCTGTGGGCCCATTTATCAAGTATTCTTCCTTTAAATGAACAGAATTCTCTACAAAATTAAGATGGTTTTATTAAAATTCAAATCCTTTTGTTTGTTTTGCTAATATCTGAATGGCCTTTATTAACCAAAATATTTATGTATCCAGATATGTTTGAAAATTCAAGCTGGCAGGCATTTTCCACTTACCATTTGTCATTTATCTGCAAACTTGTTTCAATTATTCATCTGTGAAGCAGGAAAGAAACCACGGGATTTCAGTGTGCACATAGCAGCACTGGAAAGTAAATGACTGGTCCAGAAACTGCTGCTGTTCACCTCCTATAACTGTCAAATGGACTTTGAATTCTGAATGTATTTATTAAAAAAATAAATAAAATGGAATTGGTCCTTGAGTAATTTGAAAAGCCAAACTCTCATTGCTTTTCATATTAATTTGATTTTACAGAAATTAGACATTATGCCAGTAGATTCTTTGGGAAGTTTTTCAGTTGTTTTCAAATTTCACATACATTTTATGTGTCTGGATTTTTAATTTGTTATTTTATTATTTTAGCTCTCTGGTCTGCAAGGCTAGAAAAGCTGAGAAGAAAGGACTTTTTTTGAAGCAAAAAGTTGTCAGATTCATGTTTGATTTTGATTCATTCCAAGGATAAAATATTTCCAATGTAAGGAATCTTTGAACCATCTGATACCACTGTTTGAATGTGATGCAAACACTAGAGCTGCTAGCATTGAAAACGAAATACATATACATATACATATACATATACATATACATATATATATATATATATATATATGTAGATGCTTTTGTAGCAGGTGGTAGTGTCAATAGTGAGGATTAGACAGCAACTGAAAACCCGACAACACACTCAGAACTGCCTAGGCAGATTTATGTGTCTGCCTCTGCTTGCATCCTTGGCATTGTGGGCAGCAGCTAAATCAGCATGCAGTTATGGAACACTCACCTCTTCCAGCCTCCACCGGTTTATCAGCCTTAAGTAGGCACCAGGGTGTCCTGTAAATCTTTAACACAAGAATATAGATCAACTATGTTGTGTAAACAGTCTGTTCACAGCAGTATAAGAAAGCTCACACTCTTATTTTAATCTGGTGTTATCTTAATGTGGCTGGTATAACTATAAAATATGTTGTGCTGTAAAAAGTTTTATGAGTATTCCTGGAATAATCCTCATGAAGGACTACAGATAGTTTTATTTCAGTTTTATTTCAATACCAATACTCTGCTGTTGGATATTCAACATAGGCAGAGCAGAGGGAAAATCTGACTGAAACTGCTCATGAAAATGAGCTGTTTGGAAAATGGCTCTCAACTGCAAGTCCATTTCCTTATAACATGTGATGTCTGCCTTCCTGTGAAATCAGTGGAAAGTTTAGTTTTCAGTAAAAATAATAATTTTCTAACTATTCTTCCATGTTTTTTCCCAAAATTTTTCCCATATGTAAATAATCCACACTCATGGGTTCTTCTACTCAAACCTTCTCTATTAAAAAGGTCTTTTTTTTAGGAGACTGACAGAAAGAGATATACAAATAATATATATTTAGATAGATACATAAACGCACAAAAATACATGTAAATAAAATAAATATATAATATATATAATAAATATATATGTGGACCCCCCCCAAACGATTGCTCATAACTCACTCTTAACAATTCAGATAATGTAATCAGAGCAGGTCCCTTCCAACTGAACTATCCTATCCTATCCTATCCTATCCTATCCTATCCTATCCTGCATTTATCTGTTCAAATAACACACATAAAACCAGAGTGAAATGACCTGCATGTATAGTATTGTGACATGCATCTGTTTCCAATAGTGAAATTGTTAAGTTAATATTGAGACCATGTGGTGATAGGAAATGAAAGCTGCATCTGTTTCTGGGCTTTTGAAAGGAGTATAAAACTGCAATCTGTTCTGCTGGAATTTGCATTTTGATATGTGTGATAATATGCTCCATTTTGTTTCATTACAAACAATTTTATTTCTTCTCTCTACTTCATTTTGCACATATGAGTGTGCAGACATCAATCCTACCTTCCAAGGAAGAATGCTATATAAAAGGTAGAGCTGTTCAGATTGACAAACTGAAAAAGAAACATTTTCAGAGTGAAGCTGTTCTCCCACTCCGATTCGGTACGAGGCTGCTCTGTGAAGAAAATGACCAGAGTTTCAGAGGCTTATTCAGAATATCAATTTCCCTTGGCACAAAGGCTGCACACACCTGTAAGAGCTGGCAATATATTTTTAAATTAGCCTGCTGTTTTCAAAATATAACCTGGCAGAGGAAATTGTTTCCAGAAGCAGCACTCAGCAAGAGATCTTGTAGAGACAGAGAAATCTATTCTGGTGCCTGCATACATATGTATGTTCCCCTGAGACTGTAACAAAGTGGTCAAGGTAATGTGTATATTAAACATCCCACCGGTATTTAAGTGGTCTTTACGGGCTTGGGGTCTTGTTTCCTTTTCTGTACCCTACCACAATGACATTGCCATTCCACCAAAGCTATTTAAATGCCTTTTTTTTAGAGATGTCACACTGAACTGAAGAAAATCCTCCTGGTAATTCTGTTTCATGGATTTGCCCACATGTATCAGTGGAGTGCCACTGCATGACTCCCCTTCCTTGTCCTAGGGAGCTCGTCACAAAAATCCAAGAACAAATATTTTTCAGTGGATGGGCTAAGGCAAACAGGAAAGGGGAACACATATTCTTGCCTTTAGGTACTGTTCCCTTATTCTCCATCTCAAGAAATATCAAGACAGAAGTTAACAAAACAATGTCCATGCCAACACACCGGTTCCATATTCTGGAACTACTTTCCAGCTGTCAGGAGCTGATTGTAAGCTGACCATTGCTGTGAGCAGGAATAATCAGAGAAGTGGAGTTGCTAATTGTGATTCTGAGTATCATAATGATAGTAATCATATATTGCTTCCAAAACAGCCTCCAGTAAAGTACTAAAAGTACAAAAAAACAATAAACTTGATTCTCTTTACTTAGAGCTGCCCTTTCTTTAGATGCCAGTCTGCAGAAAGGGCAAGTTTGACTGTAACAAGGTTGCTTCAGCTGAAGCTTTGCTCACATGCCCATCAGAGACAATGGTGATGCTCTGGAGGAGCACAGATGTGAGTTCTGAAAAAGGTCATGTAAAAGATGAAGAAGGACATCCTCAATGTTCTCAATGTTGTTTTTCTGCCAGTCCTTCTTTGAGCTTATTACACTGATGAAGATAATTCAGATCAAATCAGTTCTTTAGGCCACCAGAATAAAAATTACAAAACTGTCTGAACAGGATTGAAAAAACTTGACCTGCTGAATTTTTATACAAGTGCTTTCGGCAAAAAGCAGACCTACCCTGATGACAACCTAAGAGAAAGTAATCAAGCTTCAAGGTCTCTAGAATATATCTTACTGTCTGTCCCCAGGCTGTCAGGACATAGCTTGTACAATTCACAAACTTGAAAGTTGTATTTCTCAACTGTAGCTAGCAGATATCTTCTCCATGGATACAGGATAGCAAAAATGTTTTAAAACTACAGCATAAAAATGAGGATTCTCAGTTTACTAAGAAACAAAATAATAAAATTCTATTGTACACAGATATGTTTTGAACACATTACCAATGACTTCTGGGATGTAGAAAAGTCCTGCGAGTAGCTAAAATAAATTGTTTCCTTTGAGCATCAAAGCATCAAAATCTGCCCATCTGGTCCAAAATAATTTACTGAGCATCACCAATGTACACAGATTTCCAGGAGCTCAAAATAACCTCCTCAAACCACTGGTATATGTGCAATAATACGGTTTGCTTAATAGGCCTTCAGCCAGAGTCTCATTTCAGGCTTCTTGACACTAAGGAGCCCTTGCCAATTGCCACCAACTGCTGCAATCTTCTAAATATATCAGGATCTCCACAGATCCTGTCTGAGCCATGGATATATGAATGACAGCCTGTTGCTAACCCATTGACAGTGGATGCTCTCCTTAGAAAACACAGGTTTCCTCGCTCTAGCATAAAGACTGCCTTTGCAAGTGAGCTGAAAGGATCACTGAAATTTAGGTGTAGGTACAGTTGATGATTCACCTAGTCATTTTCCCTCCTTACTGCCCTTCTTAAAGGCAAATGTTTGATAGGCAATCAGCACCTTAGTTTCAAGTTATGGATTTGTTTTCCAGAAGTGACTCCCCTTTTCCATGTTTACAGACTCTGGAGGTTGTGAGTGCTAAGTCTGTCTGAAAACTCATGCCTTTTCCTCCAAGGTAAAAATTTTACACGCACTTATATTAAACAATTTGTTTACATTCTTAGATGGTAGGAGGTGGAAACAAGAACAAAGATGGATGATTTTTGTCCCCCTGGTTGAATGGCATAGTAGTTTAGTTTATATACCTTCTTATTAGAAACTTCAGAAAAACATTAATTCCTATAGATTGCAAATTAGTTAAGATTTTTCATATTTATACAGACATTTTGAATTTTATTATGGTGTATGGACCAATAAATCAGTACAATATTATTTGATTTTATATTTAACATTACTCACCTAAATTTGTCAGGAAAAGGGCAACTTTTTCATACAGCTGTAACAGAGAAGAAACACCCTCTTAGTTACATGGCTGGCGCAAAAATGTAGAACTGCTTTCTAGGGAGAGAACATGTTAAATCTGACATGCAGATAATTTCTGTGATGTTCTGATAATGGCAATAAAACTACATAATAATACAGCAATGATATAATCAAACAAGGAAAAGTAAAGTTTTTATATCTAGTGCTCATCCATGATATATGGAGAGGAAATGCTGTCACTGTCCCTATTTTATATACAGAGTGAAAAAGTGTGAGGGGACTTTTCCAAAAAGAAAAGCAGAAACAACAGCACGACTGAGATTTTTGTTTTAGTTACTTATGGAACATTCACCTCACAAGGAAAAAAATCACCCTAGAAGAGCATGCTATGGTATGTTGGATATGATGGTTATTTGGGGCTTTTTGGTTTTGCTTGGCACTTTGGTGCTGAGAGGAAAGACACAGGGGGGACAGGGTTACTTCAGAGAAAATCTCCAGTAATCCCCACCACCAGACACATTTCTTACTCTGACCCACTGTCATTTTTCTAAATCCTAGGTGGTACTTTCTGCACTTTCAGGTACCATGCTCTCAAACTCTCCAGGAGACTCCAAACTTCATTAAAATTACAAAACTAACCTGGAGGGTTTTCACAATCAGTATATGCAAAGGAGTTTTGAACCTATTACCTACATCACCAACATCATCAGTATTTGAGTAAAGTAATACAATGATTTCAATTTGTTTTAAATGAGTCTGGAGCTTCTTCCTAAAAATTGCTAAATGCCCTTAACTCTCACTGATGCCTGCAGGAATACAAAGCTCTCATATTTCAGGCTCAAGTATTTACTTACTCCTACACTGCATATCAGCAGAGTTTCTTTTTATTTGCAGTTATGCTTAGAATCTCTTGCTTAAATTGAGTTATGTATTGTTTACAGATCCAACTGCCTGCTTAAGAGCTGAAGTCATCCTGAAATCTCTCATCCGTGTTAACAACCACTTCATGCTTAGAATAGCTTTCCACTGCCTTTGGAGTAAATGGTTTTGTTTCAAGTAATGAAAAAGTTAGTTTCTTCTGGGTTTAAAAACATCTCTTAAGGGCAACTGTAAACATGATAAATGTCTGGGTCATTTATATCCTGATCCCACCAGGGAGTGTGGTTTTTTTACAAATGTTCACTGCTCTACAAAAGGGTTTGTTAAAATTTCAATTTGTTGCTATTCCATTTGGAACAGTAAGATTATGTTAGAGATTCTGTTAGCAATGTTTGGATCTAATTTTCTGCTACTGTCGTTTATCACTACTACCCTCAAGGGGCCCTGTTTGGGATCATATTCTGTTCACTGTTCGTATTTTCCACAGGCAATATTACTGGAATTAACAATTTTTACATAGCCTAGGTAAAGCTAGTGATTATTTCCTGGTCAGGCTGCAAGATTGTCTAGGAGACATCATGCTTGAGGCTCACTTACTGTTGTCATGATGGATGTGTCAGAATAGGTACCTAGTGCTCAGAACGTCTGGTCTGGAATTTACTTGTGTTCTAGACCCTTCCCCTGATGCTTTGAGAGGCTGTCAACTTGTATCAGAATCACTGCTGGTTTTCAAGGTTTCTAGCAGTGAATTCTCTACTGCTATGCACCTCTTGGTCCATTCTGCTTTTATTACTGTATCTTTTCTTGCTCTTCTGACACTTTTCTTGAGTCACAGTACATGCAGGATTCTACTACCTGAATTGCTTCTGGGGATTTTTCTTCTCCCAAAAGAAATCCCAAGATTGCCCTTCAGTAAACTACATTAATCCATCATGGGAAGCAAGGGATTATGCTCCTAAAACCTTCCTTTGAAAAACTCCTGCAGTTTCATATTTGGGGATCTTTTTCTTCCATGAGCTATATCCAGATCTAAGGTTGTGATGTTTTTTGAATGGTGATGAGTATGAGGCTAGAGAAACCCATCTTAGCAGTGCTCCATTCATGTGATAATTTTATGAAATAAAACAAAGTTTCTCAAAAGGCACCTTCAAGCAACCTTCTATTATTTAAAATAAAAATCTCAAAGCTGTTAAATTCTTTGGGAATGAAAAAAAATCATTTGTGTAATGTTTCTTTGTTGCTGCATCACTGCATATACAAGGACACACTGAGAGCTTTAAAATGGATGTTGCACTGGCATAGATATATATATAGTTTTCAATTTTTTATTTTATGCTTATTGTATGCTCTAGGTGGAGTAAAGAAAATCCCCAAAAGCTAAAGACAAAACCCAATAAAATAAAAATAACGTAAAAGAAGAAAGCCTTCAGTACAATCTCAGACAGAAAACCAGGTTCCTCCTTTCTGTCCTTTCTCAGCCTATAGTCCCACCTAAGGGAAAACATAGGAAAAACAACAGTTCTGGATAGACTGTCTTAGTCACTAATCCAGTCTTGCCTTCTCCCTTCTTCAAAGGAAGAAGCAAAGTCCTGCAGCAAAGACTCTTGGAATTTCCTGCCATATAAAAAGGACCAGTCAAAAAGAATTTTTAGATTATGGAAATGCTTGGATATTGCATAGGAAAGAAAGAAGTCTCAAAGCCAGCCTTGGAAATGAGCAGACCTGAAATAACATCTCATCTTTTCCCTAGGAAGTAAATCAGCATATCTCCTGGAGTGAAGCCTAACAAGCTGTTTGCAGAAGATGCTTGCTATTGAGTAGGCAGAGATACACTCTGGCTCCAGTGCCTGTCTGGTTTGTAGCTAAATCCTTCTTCCCCTCAAAGTCATTTTTATAATGTCAGTTGACAAAACCTGACAGTGAAAGGCCATACACGTCTTGCCAAGAGCAACAAAGAGCAAACACATTGCTATCAGAGCAATATTCATAAGTATCAGCAGCTCAGTGGAAGGAGGGAACTCATTCCCCATCCACTCTCTTATTGGGACTGTTGCGACATAGAAATTCCATTTTTATCTTTGTCCCAAGTCTGGTTCCAAACCAGCCCACAACAATACCTGCCATCAGGCAGCCCCACTGCAGTGCACCCAGGCCATGTCTCTGGTGCACACTGGCAATGGTTTGGGCAGCTCTGGAACAAATCACATCTGCTCAAGCCTTGTGAAGCTTTCAGCTGAAGAGAGTTCTGCTTATGGACATTGTGTCTGTATATGCATATCCTCACTGGAAAACTACCATGACAGTTGAAATTGGAATTACTGAAAATAGTGTAAATAAGAATTTAGCTTTGTCACTATATTTAAAAAAAAAACCAAAGCATCAAAACACAATTAAAAAGAAGAGTATTAATGAAGTGGACTGAAAACTGCATACATATAAAAGGGAAATAAGTGGGAGAGGATAAAGCAGGGGTATGATCATGTGTCCCTAAAATATTTTTGGAATATTCAAACATAATTTACATAATATTTTGGCTTTGGAATTGCACGTTATATAAATAGTGAATGATGTCCATAAACAATAATTTCATGTCTGGCTTAGCAAGACACTCCACTCCTGCTCAAAAAGGAAATGAAAGTATTTGGTTGCCTGCTGACTGAGATATCTACTGTTCTGGTGACTTAGGTATAACATTGGATATGTTAATTTTACTCACCACATTCAGTAGCATGATGATGCAAAAGTTGATGCACACTGCAGTCCCTGTAGTTGCAACCTGAGAGTTATTCCTGATTAAAGCCCACTTAAAGGCAGCAAAAGTGCTGACAGTCACAACACGGTAAATAACAATGCCAAAAACAGCAGCAATCACCACACAGATCTAAAGGAAGAAAAAATCAGAGAGAAGAACCTGAAAACTTCCAGTGGAACAGGAGTTACTTTCCCCCTGAAACTCTCAAAATTAAATGAAATGAAAGACTTTAAAAGTGCATTCTTTTTGATTCCAGAGGAAGGTTTCAACATAATGATTTTTCTTCTTGTTAAGTTCTTTTTATTTCTCAAAATGAAAAAAATAATCGAAAAATATTAAAATAATTTTTAGTTTTAAACATTTTCTTGAAAATGTTCTCTTTCTTAGCATTCTTTCTCTTCCTTAGCATTAATGTGGGAAACAGTATTGCCAGCTCTGGGAATTAGAAATTTTCCTTATCTGCACATGATGTGCAAAGGCTAGCCTCAAACTGCTATTGTAGCTTGATGGTATCATACTTGGGATGGATTTTGTGATCTGATGGACTTCACACTTCACACTTATGTCTCCATTTGTAAGCACTGCCTCAAAAACAGCCCTGCCAAGCCAGCCTAGACAGGTGTTTCTTCCTACAGAAAGTTCTGGAAAGAAAGAAACAAAGTTCTGGACAGTTTCTATCTAGAGAAGGTAATCAGTTCAATTGCACTTGTGATTCTTCTCTGATTAAACTTTCAGCAAATGTGACACTTAGAATGAGAAAACCACAGCTGAGCCAGGCTGCTTAGTCACTTAATGTTCCTCATGTAACAGCTGAGCTGTATTATTTACTATACTGTGAGAGTCTATGCTGAGAAATTTTGAGAACTGCTCTAACTTGGAAGTTTGGTAAGTGTATATCTCCTGTTACAGCTGTGGTTAAAAAAAAATATTCTTATCTAAATGGTCAAAAAAAGTGTAGCTTTCTAACTTGCTGGAAGCCCATGCTGTGCCAACAATAAAAATAACTTCAGTGAAAATAATTTTTGTCCTGTTTTAAGGGCTGTTATGAGGACAAAAATTTGTGGTGCATGCAATTCAGAGAAAGGGTACTCTCTCTGGCGCTTTGAGTAAGATCTATCACTAGTCTAGGAAGATTAATGACAGAGTTTGCATAAGGTAAAATACCTCCACTCTTCAAGAAAAAAACACGGAGAAAATACACAAAATATCAGAACTGTAGTATCAATTCTGAGCAGAGACTGCTGTCCTGAGTACGTGTCCTCAAGGGCTGAGTAAGGGTGTCCATCCACCTGATGTACCAGAGCACAGATCATCTCAATAATGCTCTTGCCTTTCTTGACCTAGATTGTTTTGGACAATTTTGGAGCCATCAGTTTCTTACTGTCCTCTGCCCTGTTGCTGGGTTAGCTCACCTACCTGGCTCTCCACAGCTCCAGAGGCTGTGCACATCTATAATTTTCTTGTCTCCTGGAAAAGCCCCGGTAAATTCCGTGGCAGTCTGTTGATTCCAGACCATCACTGTGTTTTCAAGACCAGCACTACCATGCCTGTTGTCATGTGAATAACAGCCCACATCTGCTTCACTGAAATTAGAGGATGGGGGTGTTTCTGCAAAAGTGCATGCAGCTCCCTGTTAGGAGAGATTTTGCTGCTCCTTTTTGTTTTGCATAACTAAAGGGATAAATGCATCATTTTAGCCAAGGAACATTGGTTTCTCCATTTTGACTGCACTAGGAATATGAAGTCTCTTTCCTTATCTTCTCAACACACTGAGAAACTAGATTTTATTAACATCATAAAGCACTCTAGGCATCCTATTTATGTTCTCTGGGAAGTTTACAAAGAACAACTGCTTCTCCTATGGCAACTTTCCCCACCGCTCTGCACTGTGTACACAGGCAAGGCTGCCAGTGAGCTAATTCAGCCCACTGGAGCTGGTGCCTAAATGTGATAGCGTCACTATTCTGGCATGTGTCACTACATACAGTGTCACAGGTGTAGCCTTGAAGGAGGGAATTAGCTAGACAGAAATTCCAGTGATTTGCTGGCATGTGTCACTACATACAGTGTCACAGGTATAGCCTTGAAGGAGGGGATTAGCTATCTGTGAGACACAGTGAAGAGTGAACCAGTGTAGGACTTGACAGAAATTCCAGTGATTTGCTATGTAGATTTTCAACATGCATAGAGCTTATTCCACTTTCAAGCAGTCATATCCAATATTTACCTACTCTAGTAGCAGAGATAATGATATTTTTTTCATTTTCAACTGGTAAATAAATAAAAGTTTTCAAACCATAAAAAATATTCCAGATGCAGAAACGATGAGTCTGCTGCATTTATCTGCAAATGCTTGATAAGGCTCTGGCTTCCCAGATATGGGGTTCATTCGTTCTTTCTTGGAGTATTTGGCTTCAAACTGCGGGCGTATTTCCTCCTAAAGAGCAGACAGATAATGTTCACATACAGCACAGCTAGGAAAAGCTCTGTAGGAAACTTCAGATCTTTTATCAGATCACTGTTCTCGGGAATATCTTCGAATTCAGCAGCTGGCACAGCTACTATAAAAGCTGAGCTAGGAAATCAGGTCTCCGTCATGAGAACTAGAATAAATCACTGTACCCATAAAAGTAAGTACTGAAAGTATTTAGTAAAATCCCCAATTAGCTATTCCTCTAAATAATGCTCTTTCAAAACTATGTGGCTGCAAGACAAATCGTTTTAAGATTGATACTACAGATTTTTTCAGTCTGACATTATCCTATTGATACTGGAAATTTACAACTAAGGAAAAAAAAACAACCCAACAACCAAACTTCCTTTTCCCAAGCCTAATTGCTGATTGTTAGGCATTTGGTTACGCTTCCATTACTAACAAAATTTCTCAGCATTTGAAGAAGAATCCATGCCATCTAGTGCTGCTCAATTACTTCTTAACTTGGACAATAGTATTAGCAGGAACAACTTTCAGCAGCAGAAATGTCAAAGCCTGTTTTCCATCAAAAACCCCCTTGTGAAATGAAACCTGGGGATTACCTGGGGAGAGATTTGCTATAAAGATATCTGTGTATATCACTGCCAGAAGACAGGATCACCCCTGGTGCACCCTCTGCCCTAACATCACAAAGAGCCATGTGTCCGGTGCCACCTTGTTCCAGTCTGGCATCCAGGACACTGTCAGGGTGAGATAAAGCACCAGGTTGAGCAGATGGACTCTCACAAATGCTGGCAGATATGAGAGCACTGTTTGTAGTACTCTACTGTATACTGGAGAGCTGCTCCCTGGTACAGCTGGCTACAAGGGAGCAGACAAGAACCAGCTTACAAATTTCAGTCACTTCCAGCCCTTCAACTGCATGTAACTGAACTTTGACTGACTGAAATGCCCAGACCTTAAATGACTCCATGGAAATAGGTGAATGTTAACTGCTCACACAAGTCTTCAGAATGTGAATAAAGGTGAGATATCCTAAAATCATACATCCTTTTTTAAAAATTCCCCACAGAAGAAGGGGGGAAGAAGTCATGTCTCATTCTCCTCCTTCCAAGTTTTGAAGATGCTTTCTCAACACAGTTAATTTCCAAATTCAGGCAGCAACCTGTTAACAAGTTATAAAAACAAATGAAGAGGCATGTATGCCTAGCTGCAATGCCTCTGTAACTAATTATGTGCTTGAGGGAACCAACCCTACCTCAGCTATACAAAAAGGCTAAGCATGTTTCTGTGGAGGCAGAGTAAGTAATACCTTGCTCTTATTTTTGTTCAAGCTGTTCCTGCCATAGCAGGGTTGAAGGAAACTGAGCAGACCATAATCTGGCAGAAGGAACAATGTAAGGAGTATTCTTGTGTGCCCAGGGGCATGAAAAATGACAGAGTGTGATAGCAGTGAAGCAGGGTTCCTGAGAATTTTACCATGTAGATTGTGCAAGGGCTCTGCCAGCTGGCTTGTCATAGACAAGAAACCTTTACTTCTCTGCACCCCTCTCTGAGCCAAGGTTTGATTATTTTTTACAATCTGCAGTGTAGGGAAGTTGTTATCATATCCACATGTCTTAAAATCTCCAGCTGATGCAAGTAATGTAAATGCTATGTTTAGACATTCTCAAAAAAAAAATGGAAATCTGGCATGAAACTTTGTACCTGTTTAATGATACTGAGCAATGCCTGGGCAAGTAAACAGTACTGTGTCTGGCTGAGGTTAATGATACAAAGAAGGCGACACTGAAGAACCAGAAAAAACATGCTCCAAATAGCAACAGAAGCCAGATTTCATCTGGAAGTGCCAGGAACTGCACGCAGTTGGTTTCTGTGGAGTGCCCACCCAAGAGGCCATTGCTCTCCATGTCTCCCACCTTGCACCTGGTTTGCAAGAACAGGAAATCCAGATATGCAGGGCTGAAAGAGCCAGGACACTTTCAGCTCATATCCACAGACTGAGAGGCCTGAACATTGCAGGGGTTGTAGTATGCGTTTCTTGGATGAGAATCTAAAGTGGTGAGGAATTCACAAGGTTGCATATCTGAATAAGTGCAATTCTTCTTTCCATCATCTTCATTGTTTTAATTATTTGTCTCTTCATTTAGAACAGGCGAGTGATAACAAAAAGATAGGAAGCTTTATAAATGGTGGTTTTTCAGTGTATTGTTGCTAGGAATTAATAAAATTCCCTTTGTAAGAAAATCTTATTTTTCAATTTGACAATGGAAATTAAAGCAAGCAAAGGCTAGACACATATTGTTAATAAAATAACAATCTTCATGATCAAAAGCTTGAGATTGAAAATGTTAATTAGAACTCTTTAATGGATGTCTTTGAAATAACAAAAGCAGTCAGCTGATTTTGTCTAGTGATAACTGAATGGAAAGCAGAGAGGAAACTTAATTAGCAGTAAATTTACTAGAAAGTAGCACTTCTAGGAGAAAATTTTTCACCTTCTGGAGTCAAAATTCTTATTGACTTCTCACTGACATACAACTTCCCAATGAAACTCCACAGGATGAATAGTTTCCAATCTACATAAAACAGACTGTTCTCCTTCCTTCCTGTTTCTCACACATGGATAATTCCAGCTTTTTCATAAAGGAAACCCTATTGATTTCTGGAATATGAAATATGGAGTAATGTGAATTGCCTTAGACCAGGTATTTGTGCTCTAGAAGAACTACTATAAATTTCTTTGCAAAATATCTCCTTTTTCCCCCAAGAATTTTCTAATCCTTCAACAGGTACATTATTGAAATAGTCCCATCCTTCCTAATCCAAGCATATTGTCCTTTATAGCCCAGACGTATAAAAAGATTGTGTAGGTTGAAAATTTGAGTCTTGATCACTGGTACAAGTATAGCATCCCCAGAAGTAAGTTGGCAAAGTGAAGAGGTGGGCTTTGAACCACAGAGCAGGGAAATGATCTCCACACTTTTTCTCCACACTTCCATCTGGAGCACCTGCTTCCAAACCATGTCTTTCTCAGGGGGAGAGTGTAGTTCCAATGAAAAAGTGCAGCACTGGATACTCAAGCAGAGGAGGCAGTGTCCATTGGGCTGACCCTGAAGGTGGGACTTGCTTAGCTGTGCTGTAGGTGTGGGCACTGGGGCTGTAGCATCTTCTAAAAAGATATCTCTGGGAGGCAATCAGCTCCTACTCTTTGGATGCCACTGCATGATGAGAAAAGGAGGAACTGATGCCTCAAATGCCAAAGAGGTACTGATGTTCTAATTACTGGACACACAAATCTTTGAGAAGCAGCCTGCTGAGTTCCTATGAGAATCTTTAACATCTAATTTGAGAAAGGTAGAATCTGGCACACTGCTTCCAAAAAACCTTCTACCTCCTGCTGTAGAGATTTATAAGATTCCCTCTAGAACTGAAAGGAGGTGCACTGAATAGCTGTGGAACAGGTACAATCACCACTACTCCTGACAGAGGTCTTGTTGACATAGCTTCCTGGAAAAACTCTGGTGTGAGAATAAAAGACCAGCTGACATCAAAAGGGAGCAAGTATCCTCTGAAAATTACCAACATACAAACATCATCCTGCAGGCCAAACTGAAATAATCTGCCAGGGGAATATAAATATGTCTTATTAAAAAAAGAGAAAAAAAGAGAAAAAAAAAAAAAAAGAAAAACAAAGAAGAGGAAAAGAAAAAAGGGAAGTGTCACTTAAGGACAACCTTACCAGGAAATTCAATACTTGTAAGTTAACTGATCATAGAAGATTCAGGTGGATGGCTTTATAAATCAGCATAATCCCAAATCCAGGTAGGTTAAATGGTGAAAGATGAAGATATATAACATCCCAAACTATAAACATCTGCAAGACAAGGCTTCCTGGGAAAAACATAAAGAAGGTCTCATACTGTACTTTTGTATTTTGTTTGTTTAATGGCTCCTTCTCATTCCAAGGACACAGAGAAAACTTTAATTGTCACTTGGAAATTGCAACTTGTTACAGCTTTTTCTTAGCTGTCAGCATCGGTAGCAGTGGATTTTTTTGCAACTATCCATAAGAAGACATAGTCCCTGCAGCCAATCCTGACCACATGTGAGGACTGCCTCAATCCCTTTGTGACTTGCTAGCATTGGCAAGAGCAGTTTGCTAATCTCAGAAGAGTTGAATCACTATTACAGTATTTCCTATAAACAGGAAGATAGTCCTGGGGTATCACCCAGAACTGACTGCATATGTGCACAGATAACAACGTTCCTGTTGTTATAAAGAAATCAATTTCCAATTGTGTAAGTCATTTCATGTTATGTTCTTGGGTTGTTTTCTTCGATTTAAAAGAAAATCCTTCCAGCAATTCCACCATTTCATGGCCTCACTGAGCTACTTTGCCTCATACAGACAAAAATCCCATAACACAGAAGTCTGTTTCTCTGCTGGCAAGACCGATAAAAAAGAAAATTTTCCACCAAAGCAGCAATGTAGAGGTTCACCTTCACTGAGACCACTCCAGCAGCCTCTTACCAACACCCCAAGAGCTTCTGTAGAGTAAGGAAAGCAGATTTATAGACACCTGTATGTCCAAATCCCACTGGAGTAGCACTTTTTCTTCAACACTCGCTGAATCTTGCTTTTCTCCCACATAACAAAGCCTTCTAGTTCTATTTAGACCTGAATTCTCAGTCCCAAGAGCATGTGCTTTCTTTCTGGTGACCACCAGAGAGGGAAAGATTAAGGCTATTTTCTGAAGTTTAGTCTTCTCTAAGGGGATTTCTTGTTACAATACAGAATGAATTAAGTCCTCTCTGTCTCTCCCTCTCAGATAACCAGCACCTGCAGGTGCAGAAGCTGGTACAAGCCTCAAAAGGTCTTTCCTTCCATCGACACTTTCAGTGACAAACTAAAAGAATGGATAAAAGCTCATTTGCCAAAATTCACGGTACCCTGGGCTGTCAAGAATTTCCAGCTTTCAAAATAAAAATGCATTTCTCCCATAGTGCATTTCTTCCCCGAAATCTCGCAGATTAGTTTAGATTTACAAAAGTGTGAAAAAAGAGGACAGTTTGGCCTGGAGAAAGCTTCTTTACATTCCAGCTGAGGAGAAACATCTGATGAGAAAAATCCTTATTTCATGGTTTATAAAGATTTAAAGAATGAACTGAAAATAAATGCAAAATAAAACCATACATTTTCAACCAAATAATTTTGTATTAAAGATTAAGGAGTATATGTTTTTATACAAACCTCTTCTTCTTCCCAGTCTATCAAGTCCCAATCATAAGCAATTACTGCTCGCCTTCTTTTCCAAAACTCCAGAAAAACAGTGGCTAGAGAAAGTAGGAAAAAAGATGCAAAATTGTTTTTAAGTCAAGAAAACGTTAATGACTATCACAGAACTGTTGAATGAAGCTGTTACATTATTTTAATTTCTTTGCATAAATGGGTTTCTTTGAACAGCAAATCATGCTGATGATCAAAACTGCTTTCAAAAAGCATTGCTTTCTAAGGATTAGTTTGCTTGCTTCAAGTATGATTGAGGCTTTAGAGATTTCATTTAGCGCTAAATGAGAATGTTTAATTTCTAACCAACCAAGGGAGTGCTCTCAAAGAATAAAATCGTTCCTGTGAGTCATCACTGCTAGATAAAGCAGATTTCTGATGAAGCGAAAGGTTTCTTGGGGCCATTGCACATAATGGAGTAACTTTCTTTCTTTGAAGACCATTTACATTACACAGGAACCAGAACCCAGAGGAAGCACAGTCCAGTGCATTTGAGAATCTGTAGCGTACTACTGGGGAAATAGGAACTTCTGGTTCACACCTTTTTAATTCAACCCTTTTTTGTTTTTACAGTATGTGAGAGTTCATATATGTGGTGTGGTGTTTATGTCTGATAATTAAACATTGTGTACTACAGCCCTTATTGATAGAGTTCAAGATGGAGTAACAGACCTGCACATGCCTGCTGTGGGAAGATGACTGGGAGTAAAATTAGAGAAAGCTGGGAGGCTGTATTTAGATTCTGAACAGAAGTTCTAACAGTATGGAAATTATAGGGTAAAATACAGTTGCTGCTGCCTGGATGGAATGAAGCATGCCCAAAACCTATTCCACCATGACTCCCCATATACCCAGCCTGCAAATTTAAGCACATGGTAAGGGGAATGGAATGGAGGGTGGAGCAGAATGGAGACACAGAGGTCAGGCTCTGATGTAATCCTTGCAGAGAGGGGAACTTGATGGTCCTTTGCAGCTGATAAATGGCACAGCACCCGTCAGCCAGGGGAGACAGGAGAAGGTGTCTTGTTGAGCCAGCAGCTGTGGTGACATTGTTGTCCCTGGATGAACTGGGTTCATTAAAACCTAACTGTAATATTAACACACACCTCCATCCCAAAGTTACCCACCTTCAAGGTACGACCTCCCCTCACTGGGCATGCACTTTACATTTTATTTTTTTCCTGGTAGAACTGCTTCTCTTCTAACAGCTCATATTGAATTATTTTTTTCAGGCTAACAGGTAGTCCTGTACTGTTTGGAAACCTAGGAGGAAGAAGCCTGATTTATTTCTGTGACTTTGTTTCCATTCCAGAAAGCTGCTGGTAGCAGAACTCCAGTAGGTGTTTGAGTCCCGGCCCTAAACGTCTCAGATAAATCGTTGTTGAACAATACTTCTTTTCTTTCTTGTTTTTCCCACACCTGGAGTGAGAAATTTATACCTATTACATTTAGCACATTTAGCACCTGTCAGAGTAAGTATGGGAAGTTCCTGAAGCTTCTTTAGAGAGTTATTTTCTAATCATTAAGTAGTAAATATGATCTGTACAGTGCTGTTTTAGCTTTCATTCTGTTACACTTTTCTCCCTCTATTCAGGTCAGTATGCAGCTTTTCCTTGCTAGATATTTTAAAATGTTCTATAAATAACTATCTTTGATTGATTCACTGTGCTATTGAGGTCTTCTAAAAGCACAGCATTTTCAAATTTCTCTGCTTATTCTCAAATTGTAGTTTTAACTGCAAATAACCCTATACAAACTTCAGCATTCTTTTCTGACTTTGACATTCAAAAGGACACGTTGTATTTTCCCCTTTTGTGTAAATCAGATCCTGATTTTTCTCAAAAATTCCTGCTTGGAATTTTGCATCTTATTGGCCTTAGCTCCCAGATCTTTTACTAGCTTTTCCTATACTACATTTGTCCTACTTCAGAACTCAACCTTGCAGCTGGGTCCTCAATATCCACTTGTACAAGCAGCTGGCTTAACATAATTTCCTCAGATGCTTTTGTAACAAGTTGTGATCTTATCTCGTAATGCAAATGGCCTCTTGTAGGAAATAGCTTTAGTCTGACCTTCTCTCAGAAATCCTCTCTCTATTGTATTTCAGACCACCATTTAATATATCCATCCTGACTCCTAGAATATATTCTATATACCAGGAGTACTGCTGAAGAACATCCTTAAATTCTATCTCCTTGGAGAGCAGATTAATGTGAACATTTAATGCTAGAGGCAAGATTTGTAGAAAAGTAATATCTTTTATTAGACTAACAGATAGATACAGAAAAATTGTTTTATGTTGGCATTTCTTATTGCTTGAAAAAAGTGTTAAATTCTTCATGCCAGTCCTCTTTTTCCCCTCCCAGTTTTGCCTTTCAGCAAGTGTTCTAAAGCTACTTCCTTTATCAAAGAAAACATACTACACAGGAAAAAATTTCAAAAAGGATTTTTCTTGCATCCCTTAGCTCCCCAAAGATGTGCACAGAGAGAGAAACTACCACCAGCCTACCCTGTCTTCAGCATGGCTTTAGAAATGATAAATTGCTGGACTTTCCTTTTGAACAGTTACAGAATTTTTCTCCAGAGTTTCAGGAGACATCTAGGCAGCAACAGCTTTGCCATAGGTTTCCCCAGCACCTCCACTGGAAAAGCAAAATCTACAATTCCATCTGGCTTTACTGAAACAGGCTGGAGTCAAATGAGTGTCAAATTTACCTAGTTTTTTTAATAATAATTACTTTTTTCTTCACTTTAAATGTCAATATGTTTTTGAATGAACATGTTTCTCTCATTTTCTGTCTTTGGAAAGAATCTAATTTAGGCAGTAAAAAGAGAGGAGCTTTTCCTAGATATGGGAGTTGCTTTACCATCAAGCCAAACATTTCTCAAGGCATACATAAAGAACAAAGTGGAGGTGTTTCTCTCTAGCACAGAAACACAAAATACAATATTGCTTCACTACTTTTGAAAGCTTTGAACACCTGAATAATGTCATCAAGAAAAAATTATTTTCCAGCTTCTGAGATGATCACACATCTCAGTGAGCATCAATGGCAATCTGTTCACCGATGAAAACATTTTTTAAAAATGTTAGTGATTATAGTGACTCGCTTTTCCCCTATAAACCACAAAGATTTATAGCTTCAATCTGTTTGAAATGGTATTTCCTTTCAACAGAAGCTTCAATACAGAAAAAATTTATACAAACTGATAATGAATTCCTTACATGCACTGAAGGGAGACCTTTTGTCCTTTGATAAATCAGTTAAAAATTAGTTTCCTTAAGTCATATGGCCACACTTGCTTTTGAAACTCCCAAGCAAATGACTGAGGCTTCTCTCTCAAGATGGGAGTTTACTAATGGATCTAAAGACAATGAAAAAAATAGTTTAGATAATAAAACAGTAAACTTTGGCTAAAGAGGTAACACGGTCCTAGCTGCCTTTTCTTTTTACTTTCATTCTCTTTTTGTGAAAACACTGCCATAATTATTTAATATGTCAGTGTCTGTCAAATTGGATCATCTGGAAGGCTGAACTTTTCACAGCCAATATTTTATGAGCTTGCCAGTTGTTTCATGCTGACAGAAAAAACATTTCCCCAATCAAACTGCTATCATCGATTCTTCTTCTCTTCCTCTGCCATGATTTACTGCCATGATGGCAATGCCTGCAGCTGCCAGTAGACCTGCTGCAGACTGAAAACCCATTTAACACAGGCAGCAAGCCAGCTCCTAAATACAGTACCAGAAAATCCCTGGAAAGTGTGACTTCCCTTATTTGAATGTTGCTTTAGCCCTACCTGCATGGAAAATATCCCCACAATCTCACTGTTTTCTCTGCAAACTCTTCTTTAGGAAGTATGGTTGTTGTGGAGCCAGAGGATTGCCCTATTCCCCAAGCCACACCCAACATTCACAGCTCCTGCTGGTGCTGCCCCTCTCTCCCTCCTGGCAGCCAGCTCCCAAGCACAGTGTAAGGCAACAGAAGTGCTGGGGAAAGCTCTCACCCCAGCTGCTGTCCTATGGTCTCTTCTCCAGTAGCCAAATCATCTGGGGACAGCTTCTATTGTATTTTTGGACAATACTTCTATGTATTGTGGACTTAGGTGCTGTGGATGCATGGGTGGGCAGTGCATTGCTCAGTCCTGGCAGGCTGGTGTGGAGATTCCTGGAGGGAATCCAGTCTGGGAGTCTGACAGTGATGCTGAAAGAGGGGGAGGAAGGACAAACTAACCAGATGTGCTTCCTGTCGACTGGAGAGAGGAAAGAGAGGAAAGGGCCTACAACATTTTGTAGGCAGGCATGTTCAGCCTCCTCAGGCTTCTCAAAGGCAGTGACCACAAGGCAGGACTGGGCACGGTGACCTCTGTGAGGGACTGCCCTTACCTAGAGCTACTTTCCCTACAGCCCTGGATCTGGGGACGGCTGAGACACACAAACCATGCTGTGAGCACAGCTGTTTTCTGAAAGCACTGTTATTGTTAAGGAGAAACAAAAGTACTGGTGTAAAAATCTGCACTCTGAAGAAATGCTCACCAGCAGATAGGAACAATGCCATAAGTGTTCAGCAACGTTAACCCATCAGTTTTCCTAGGTAGAGATGTCCCTGGCTGTACATTGTCTTGGAAATTCTCAACGTCAGTGAACACATGGAGAAAGAGTTTGGAGAAGCTGAGTAAGCATCAAAAGAAATCTTTAAGGATTAGAAACTTTTGGTGATTCTTAGCTCTGTGTAGCTCTAAAACAAAGATGAAATATCAAGCAGAAACATAAAGACTGCATGACCTATGGGTTTTTCTTAAATGTGATTTGTAATATTTGAATATTTTCAATATTACGTGAAATGGCATAAATAGGTTTGATTGGTATATGACCGACTTTAATTGGAGGAAGGAACTGAGAGATAGTTAAGTTAATCCAGGTTGTTCTGGTGGCTCTCATGTTACCTCTTGAACATTTCTTGTGGTTCAGTAACGAGATTGCTGTTTAAAATTAAGATTATAAAAATTCCTTGGACATCTTTCCGAAGCAGTTGGAGATGTGTGAGTAAGAACAGGAGAACAGTGACTAAATCCAGATAGTGCAAGGACTTGGATGCTGTTGTTGAGTCCCCTTGTTGAGCCATTTTCTACAGCTGTTAACTTTCTCTCACAATGGCTTGGTAGCAGCTAAGAGCCTGGGTATGTTCAGGGATTGTTTGAAATAATTTTTTGTGCTGCCAGAAATTACTGGTTCCTCTTGCCTTCAATTCTGCCTACATGAAATACTAGGAAAAATAGTTGAGCCAAAAATAGAACATTTCTATGGGCAAAATTCAGCCTCCATGGCAACAGTTAGACCACACTCGGATCAATTTGCCATTCAATGAAATCTTTTATTTATTTCATCTAAGCTTTGCTTTCACTGCAACCAGCTTACATGGATTTAAGTTTTACTGCCTTTCTGCAAGGTGGGGGAAAAACATTACTCCATTTTAATGCTGGCACTAAACTGAGCTGCCCTAAGCTATGAGAAGCCCTGAGCAGTAATACAGAGATGATCTTAGTAACAGTGGATTTAAAATGGTTAGAAATTCCCACAGATATATCTATATATAAGCTACATAGACACTATATAACTGCATTCATGTTTTAATTAAAATTATTATTAAGTAAAAACTTGATTCAACCAATTGCATCTTTCTTTTGCAGAAACAGGAAAGTCTCAAGCCCATATTCTCTTTTTTAGTGTCAGATAAAAAGTGTGCTGGAAAATAAAACGGCATGTGTTGCATAATATTCTTTGAGAAAAAGATGGTGCAATTACTTAATATCAAAATGAAAACTTACCCCACACTGCCATGAAAACAGCAAAAAAGACAGTAGCTCCATTGTCAAAAAGGTGGGTTACCTGAGAGATATATTAATAATGTGATCAATTTGTGATAATAGGACTTTATTTTTGATTTTCATCTACTAAAATTAATGTGATCATGAGTTTAGCTGGCCTGACAATCCTGAGGGTACTTCCCTTGACAAGAGAAATCCACCTGTGAATTGACAGGACTATTTGCCAGCCTGGCCTGGGACTGACCTCTGCCAACACCAGATGTGAGCATCATTTCAGACCCAAAGCATTAATTTTACGGAGCCACTCAGAGAGGATGGATGAGAAGATAAAGGCCAATATCAAGGACACTGTAACACACAGCTCTAGAACATGACCTCTGACACTGCTGAATCTCTGAGTGCAAATTGCATTCAAATATTTTCTTACCAAATTAAACATTGATGAAAGACAATGTTAATGTTGGCTGAGCTTGCTCTGCCCCTTCAAGATTTCATCTACCCAGGCTCACTAAAGACCAATGCAAAAGGCAAAATTCATGCTTTTGCCGGGAAGTATCTCTATTTGCATAGCCTAAAACATACCTTGGCATAAATGCAGCTGTCCGACAACCTCATGAAGGGGCAGTATTTATCGCATATAGGACACATTATGATATCTGTAGCTTGGCAGACTTCTTTACTGGAAAAATAGAAAAAACAAAAATTAGTAGCTTGATTATTACAACAATCTGCACAACAATCTGTCTGGATTGATAAGCTTTGCTAATATTCAGTTACTTATTGAACAAAACTGGTCTGTAACTGAAGCCAAGATGTTCATAACTGCATGTGTATAATTAATATTTGCTGACTGCCTAAGACTACAGAGTTGACAGTCATAGCTGCAGAGTGCAGTTCTCCAGGGACAACCTAGTAGTATCTCTTCACCATTTCCAGCTTCTCCTTGAGTCACAATGACCATTGGTAGGAGGAGGGTGAGGATAACTTCAGACAAAGTTATTCTTGTGACTTAAGTGCACAAAAACTTAGAGATGCAGCACTCAGCAGAAGGTCCAGGGGTTTCTTCATCTGAGGAATGCCTCTCTGTGGTGGATCTTTGGGAAAGGCCTTGTAGAGAGTGAAAAGTCTCCACTCTTAGTCTGGCCTCTTAAAGAGTAATGGAGGAGTCTGCTTTTCCCTACTTCATTCTGAGTTGCCAGCACCATTAGCAACTGGAACTGGAAAAGAAGAATTTCCTTTCATCCCAATTCAGGAGCACAAAACATGGGAAGTTTGATACTGGGTACCTTAAGCAGCCTTTTCTTGACTGTTCATTCAACAGTTTAAAATGAAATAATTAACAGCTTGTGGGGAGATCTCTCAAATTATTCATCATAAGCCACAGTTGTAATTTCTTTTTAAAAGTTCCCACGTTACCTGACTTGGCAGTGGTTCAAAGTGGTGACTCCATACAAAAAGACAAACAATCCAATGAAGGCAGCTGGGAAGAGCATCCCTGTGTACCAGCCTAACCAGGCAAAGTACAACCCAATTTTCTCACCAAAGTACCGTCTGTTTTAAAACAAAACACAGCAAAGTTACCTGCTAATTAGAATAATCTACTTAATCTCACTCATTAGTAGAAAAAATATTTCTATCATATCTGAAGAGTAGATTAAAGAGGAGAAACAGCCTTCAACTAAGCTTCTAAATGCACACTGAGGGACCTGCCTCAGTAATGAATTTAAAACATTAATTTGAAAATTCAACAACCACAGTTTGCAGTTCGCTAAGTGGTGACCTTATGAAGAAAACACTGAGTTACTTTTAGAAAGCTAGTTCTTTGTATTTGGGAAATTGATGGTGTGCTTTTATTTTGGCTGTTTGACTTTACTGCCTGAATAACTGCATTGAAATAAATTTTATCCCTAAAGCTTGTATAACAGCAAAAATTATTTGAGCTCAAATTAGTTCTAAGAAATTAATTAACTAGCCTTCATTCTTGAATAAAGTTTATTTTCATTTGATTATTTATTTTCTTAGCTCAGTTCCTGCAAAACTAATTTCATGATTCTACTGCAGTGGAAAGTGAAGTGCAAGTAAGGTCCATCATCTTGCATTGGTTTGAGAAAAGCAGTCTGAATTGATCCTAATTTATTAGATATATTGCTCAAAAACTAGCAGCAAAGTAGCCAGAAAGTTTTATCTTGCTACATACATATTCATTAGCAACTTTCCTCCTCCTAAACACAACCAAACCTTTGTTTATATATTAGACAATACATCAAGCACACAAAAACCTGCTGAACTCATCAGCAGAGGAGGAGGCTCATGTACTGTTCTATTGATTTGTGCACAGTAGATTTTAGGGGACTATTTGCAAGATTGGTTTTAAAGAATGATGCAAGATGATATGCTCGTGTTTCAGACATTTTGTAGACAACTTATAGTTGCACATCCACTCAATTTGAAAATAGCTGCTACTGGAAACTCTCTTTTACCCTAATGATGGAACTTCTGATGAATCCAGAGTATAAGTGTAGTGAGCCAGCACTGCTGGATCCTCTACTCTACCAGAAAACGTAATTGGCCAAACTTTCTCAGTGAGAATGGAAAGCCCTAGGACTGTCTCTAGGGCTGGGTGCACTGGAGAACACTTCATTTGGACTGCATAAAATTAGTAGTTTTCCAGTTGCTGTTAAAAATTTCCAGTGTGGGAAATATCTCTCTGGCCTGAGCTCATGCTCTGATGGAAGATACTGATCTGCAGTGACTATCTTCATTTGAGTTTACCCACTCCGTACAGGACGCCAAGTATTGTCATTTTGTTTTTATTCTTCTGTCATTCAACAGAGACTCAAATTCACAGACTAAAGAGATGGTAAGCTAACACTAATATGCTCAGTTCTGACAAAGGCAACAGGACCGATTGTAGAAAACACACTGCAAACTGCTTTTTAAGACCTGACTTATGAGTGTAAATGAAACCTTTGGCCTGATGATTTTCCTGACACCTAGGACGTCAGTCTGCGCCTGCACCTCCAAAAATGCAAACTCACATTTGAGCTTATTTCCACTAAGTATGGATGACCTATTTTTCTCCATGTACATAGTTCAAAGTAGCGAAGTCCACCTCTTTCATCAAGCTTTATTTTTTACTTCATTCCCTACACTCAAGGATGAATGCTTCCTCGTTCCAACCCTCTCGCTAACAAGTATTAATGGCAAAAATAATCTCCTATCCTGTTGAGCCCTTCAATCTAACGGTGCAAATCATAGTATTCTTTTTGATCTAGAAATCAAACACCTTCATCCTAGATGAAGACCCAAGCAAAGTTCAGTGTGTGCATAAAGACTGTCCCTGATGAGGAGCAACTCATCTCTGAAAAGTAAGGAAAAGGCATATGAGCCAGGTTTTAAAAATAAATGAAGGAGGTTGGCATTACTTTGATACGTATTGGCTTAAATATGGATAAACAGCCTCGATATTCCATTATTGCCCTTTGCAACACAGCTGGTATTCTACAGGCACAGGCTGTACTACTGTAAATTGCATCCGGATCAACTTAATATATCAAGTCTTCTGGCCCCAGAGTTTGAAATTTCTCTTTTTAGTCTGTGCTACCACTCAGTTAAATGCTATGGAAACAAACTGTGCCAGTGAGAAGGTCTTTAGAGGCCTTCCTAGATGCCATATTCAGAGCAGTTCCACATTTATTCCAATATGTAATTCAGCTAGTCTGGACCATCACACCCTCAGGAGATGACAAACATGTAGACGCCTTTGTCACTCTCTTCAATTTTCCCCATGTATTTGTTTGAAGAACAAATTTGTTTCTTCTCTTCTTCTGTCACTGTGTAAAGAACAGAAATTTCACGTGGATTTCTTCAGTGATGGCAGTTCTCTCTGAGCTAGGGCTCAGCAATGTACGCAAAGAATTCCAGAGGTTTCTTTCCAGAATGCATCACTATGCATGACTTATACCTAAATTTCACCTGTTATCATTCTACACATTTCAAGGCCTCTTTGAAATTTTCCAGTGTTGATAACATCTTTGTGTTCTTGTTAACTTTGCTAATTTATTGCTATCCAGGTTTTCAGATTAATTATATGGACAGAAAAAAATTGTTTGAATCTTTAACAGAAAATTTTCTCCACAATTAACCTAAAAAGTGGAGACATAAAAAACCCCCAAGCACCCAATAGACCAATCAATCTCTCCTATCCTCATATATTCTGTACCATCAAAATAATAATAAAAATGTAATTTCAGCTTCTCAGTTGTAAGCTAGCCTATATACTAGCCCTTCAATACCAGTTGCCTTAATGGTGAACTGTATATCCCCTCTACCCATTCCAGTGGTAGAGCTATGACTTAATTGGGTCAAGATTTCAATATCCATATTTATCAATAAGGCACATTTTTGGAAATTATTAAGCTACAAAGTCTAATTTCCAACCTATGAAATGTGATATTGGATTATCCTATGTTTAATGATCCTCACTACAAAATATTTTGCTTTCCACATGCCTAGGAGGAAGTAATGGATCTAGAATGTAGACATATCAGGGCTCAAGCCAAGGACCTATCTATTTTCATTAACTCTTTTGCAGGTAAGAATGAAATTCTGTACAGAACTTTCTACATCACAGAAACTCGAGCTTTCCAGCAGTGTTTTGGACATATGAAGCTCTCATGTCAGAAACAATGGGGTGGGTAGGAAGGCTTGACAGGAGAGACTGAAGGGGAGTAGTCAGCCTGCAGTCAAGACATTTAATGGAGACATGGAGCAAAATGCAGGTTGCTCAGGCATCAGTTTTTGCTTCCAAGTTCATTTAGATACATTTACAATAACTTAAAAACCAGTTTTCTCCCTGCATTTTTGTCCTGTCAATTACATGCACAAGCAGCAGCAGGAGCAATTTGTGCACAATCAGGAGAGACGCAGTAAGGCACAGAAGAGTGAAGGAGGTGATCCAAAGTCCCCAGGAATCACTGCAACTGTTGCTGTTGATTTACATGGTCCCAGAGCACATAAATATAATGAGACCTGTTTCTTTCCAATTATAATAAATTCTAAGGGTCATAAATTATTATTGTAAAGTATCTATGGACACTAAATTCCAAGAGATGTATAATTGAAGTCATGGTACCACATCTGTTGACTAATAGGAGTGGCTTTGTAAATTATGCCAACTCAGTGCCATCGAATTGCCACATGTTTCAAAGCAGAGTGGAAGCAGAATCATGCAATTTCCCTCAAATGACTTTTTCTCATTTATTTTTAGTGACTAGTATCTCCATAACAGCCAGCTGATGAGATGAAATGTAATCTGGGAGTTGCCAAACTGGCAGCACAGGAGGAAAAAACCTCACTTTAACATCTAAGGAAAAAATAAAACAGCACTGGAGTATGAACATTTTCACTTACCATTGTGGTAACTTGACTTTAAGGTAGAAATAGCACATCTATTGATGGCATAAATGTACTATCTACATCTAATTTATTTCTTAGCCTTTCTAAAGCATAATGTCAACTAGCAGTGTAAGTTCTGAGCCATGTCTGTGGAAGAATCAACATCCAGCCACTTCTTTTGGACAGATGACCACGCTACAAGCTTCAAGCACAATCCCACATAACTCTTATTGTGGTGGGGGGAAAGATTTTCTTGCTGTAGAACTGGCACTGAAAAAAGCTTTTTTTTAAAGTATGCCCACTGAGATACTTCCAAGTGAAGTGAACGGCAGGTCTTGCTGGTGTCATCAGCTCTGCAAGGAAAAGTCTCCAGCTCAATAAACGTGTGAACTGCTGAGAGTGGCTGTACACGTGGAAGATTCATTCACAAATGCTGGATTACTCACATTTCCTTAGCTCCTCCCAAATCTTCAAATCCTCTGAAAACTCAGCAGGAGCTGAGGAAATGTGAGTAATCCAGCATCTGTGAAGTGAGAAGGAAAAGGCATTCCTTTCTCTTTGTTGTTACCCTTCTTCAGTGAATTCACCACAGCTGTGGATGTGTTCCAGGCAGCACACGGCAGCTGAGCTGGGGCTGCAGCTTTGGACCTGCTGAGTTTGGTGGCTTGTGACTCAGGCTGCTGCCAATGCTCAGGGAATCTCACAACCCCCCCCTGCCCCTCTCCTCTTTGGGTAAACACCTACTCAACAACACCAGGCCACTCCTGACTTCAGCTAGGGAGCCTATAGCCTTTTTTTTTTTTTAATAGATTTTGAAAAATCTGTCTGATGAAAAATAAACTTTCTTAAAAAATCTTTAAATCCAGGCTATGAAAGAAGGCTTCTATAAAGGTCTAGAATAATCATACCTCTAACATTGATCATTCTGTAACCATTTATTCTTGTATTTTAAAAAACCTTTCAGATGCCTGATCATCAAATTAAACCGATCACCAGATATTGCCTCAAGAGTACTTCCACAAACAAGAATTGATGAAGAGCATAGCCTTGACCACTATGGGAAAATGATTATAAAACTCTATAGAGATAAGTTGTTTGTACTGTGATAATAATATATTTTTGTGTACTGGGAAATTAAAAGCCAAAAACCCCTTCAGTATAACTGTTGGCTCTTCCATAAATCAGCGATTTCTATTGTGTAATTTGACAAAAAATTCCAAATTTTATCCAGTGTATTAAAAAAAGAAATAAAATTGGATTAAATGATGAGATTTTATAAATTATTTTGTAAAGCATTAAAAAAATTACATGACTCAGTAAAACTTTTTATTGTATTTCTTAGTTAGCTTTTTATCCATGGAAATGAAACTCTATGTTTTATGAAATGGATGGGTTTTTTATGGCCTTAATCAGTAACACTGTCTGTCTCCAGAACTACCCTCTACAAATCTTTCATCTGGAAACAATTTTAAGAATAAATAAAAGCAAAGTTTTCTATTAGTTACAGGACTTAGGAAAGAGGCAATTAATAAGCTGGACCAATTGCATGTTGTGGATGACCCTTCCTGATGGCTGATCTATCTTCAGTGCTCCTGATATATCTGAGGACTTTATTAATAGGCTTTTGTAGCTCCATGTTCCCCTCTCTTCAAGTAGAAAAATCCCATTAAGGTCCAATATTAGTTCTGCCATCATGATCAGTAAAGGCTCTGGCTCTCTATATGTGTAAGAAATATGTAATCCTCTATTAGTGCACGCAAGACTATTAGAAAACATTATTTAAAAGGACTGTAAGAATTTGGAATCACATCTCAGCTTTCTCAGCATTTTTTTCTTTGCAGACTGCTTCCAAGATGAATAAAAATCTGGACAGTGGTGATGTGGCTGGTCTGAGTTAGAGGGTAGTGGTACAGAGGAGACTTCCACCACCAGTGTTGTGAACACAGTAGCACACTCAGCAACTGTAAGCTCTGCTCTGTGGCATTTGTAAGCATGACGAAACTTCATCCAGAGCTCATTCTGTGGTTGTTTTTTTGGAAAAAGATCTAGTTGGTGAGAGCCTATCTTTCACCAAAGCCATGCTCCAAGGAGGAAGAACTCCTCCTGTAGACAGATGTCTAATCAAGTATATCCAGCCTCCATAGATTTCTCTCTTCCTTTTTTACTTTCTTAAACATCCTGTAAACACTTCATTACAAATTATGGTGTCAGGAAACTCTGGAAGGAAACTTCTTTCACTTTCATGTCCTTCTACAAACTCCTCTATAAATATTTCTTTGGATGTAGTGTCACAATGAACTAAATTATTTCCCATGACTTCAGGACCAGTTTTTAAAAAACACATAAAGTAAATAGCTATTCATGGTTTTGTCAGAAGTAAAACAACCTGCGCTCAAAGCAACTATAATGGGACATAGCAAAAGCAGGTAAGTCTTACCTTACAAGATCCAGTGGCTGGTATTTATACCACACTCCCCAGGAAGCCCAGCACTCATAGAGCAGGTGTCTGTGGTTTTCTGCTCCATGGGTTTTTATTGAATTCTTACTTCTGTAACTTCCCTAAAATAAAAATCTGGACATTAATGAATAACAGCAGCAAAAACGAATATTTAAGAAATCTCTTTTACTAGCAGCATGGATAACACAATTTATGCAAACTACATACTTGTGCTCCAAAAGCTAAATATGGCATTAAAAAAATCAACAGATGTCACTAAGATTTGAGAATATTTTTCCTAAGACTTTTATAATAAATTATATCCAAGTCATAGCCTATAAATGCTAACAAAATCTTTGGAGAATCTCAAAAAGCCCCCCAGAGTGTGATGTTTTTCCTCTCTGAAAACATATTGATATATCAACTCAAAGAGTTTTTACCAAACAGATCCAGAACAACTCTCTTTACTAATCTCTTTTTGCAAGAAATGCCCCTAATTTTTCCCCAAGGAAAAAAGCATTCCTAAATGGAAGCATGTCAGAGGCAGACATTAATAATTTAAGGATAAATAATTACATGACTAAGAATTCATTTTGTGGGAAATGTCTGTTCAAAAAGGAAAAAAAAAAAGAGGAAAATACCTCATGCAGAGGAAATGCAGCTTCATAGGAGCCATTACTGAGCAATCGATTCAGACCTGAGAATCAACAGTATTCAATTATTTACCAACAGGAGCAGAAAAATGGCTAAGTAAAAAGCAAGATACATTTTCATAAACTGGCTAAATGAAGAAGGAAGCCAACTGACAGTACATGATGCATGTAGAAAAATTAATCTTCTATACATTTTGATAACTAAGAAATAATACAGAGAAAGACTTGTTCAAATATTAATCAGAATCTATAATTTATTATGCTAGAGGCTTAAAGATTCATTTGCCAAATCCATCTTCAGTGTAACTAGAGTGACATTAGAGACTTTACACCAGGTTTAAACTTTGACCTTATAAAACACGGTCTAACAAAGCTATTTAGATGAAAGGCTGCATATCTTGAGAGCTAAAAACTTCAGGGTAGGTCTTGATATTTTTGAATTGCAGACCACTAAAGCAACAGGAACTAATAATTTCCATATGGTAACAAATTTTTAAAATGTGTTCAGCTTGTGTCTTATGAAAGTTGCTGAACAGGCAGAAAGGAACAAGACAAACTGCAACATTACAAGACCAGAAAATAAAATCATTCCTATGTGGCACAAAAAAGTAATCATACAACCCACTCACTCAGGCCATGTGCCCCTTTAATGAGAGCCTGGAGAAATAATATTTGCTGAGATGTCAGTGCTTTTCATTTGGAAGATCATGAAAATAGGACTGTACTGTTACCAGGCAATGTGAAACCAAATATCCACACTAAGAACCTGAAGGTATTTGATCCCTATTGATCAGGAGGCATAGAGTCTTGATTCCTTTCCTAATTCACAGGGGACAGACAGCAGCAAGAACACAGCAATGAGAAGCAATAAGTCAACATGAATAACACTTTCAGTGGTAGTATCAGCATCTGCCTGACAAAATATATTTTCTTCTAATCTCTCTGTCAGAAAAGTAAAACTCGTACAGCTGAGCTGGGCTTTGCTCTGCTCAGTGATCAGTGCAAGGTTGTGTTCACTACAGGTACAGCACATGTGAGGGAGATTGGGATCTTGAGGTAGGCAGGGATTGCAGGGCAAGATGCAACATCAGCTCTGCTCAGGGCTATTGCTGCCCTCCGCCCAGCAGCTGAGAAAGAAAGAAGTTCTGGGACATTTCTCTTCCTCTTCAGGAAAGGTGAGGTTTAAACAGCAGGAAAATGAAACAGACTGCTGAGTTTTGTGGAGATTGTCTCTACATTTGTCTCTGTGTGGTACTCAAGCTGTATGAGCTCTGTGTGATTTGGCAGAAGGTGACCACTGTTTCATGTTCTATCTCTCCTCTGTGACTGCCTGCTCTCCTGGACCTGCATGTGTGCCACTCCAAATTTCCACTCCACTCACTAATTGAAAATGAAGCCACAGTTATGCATAGCATTCTTTGTACTGAGGACCTCAATGATGAACTCCCTTTGACTTACAGCAACACCAGAGGTACAGAGTCCTCCATCTCCTTTAGGGATGGAGAGGTGTCCAGGGAGAAGCCTGGTAGCCTGAGATGTAGAGCAGCACAAATGTTGCCATCCTTCCAAGCACATTTTTGTGAAAGAATAAAGGTTTCCCTGCATGAGTCTCTCTGCTTCACTGTTTGTAATCTGTTAATATTTCATGTTTAAATCATCTCTTCTCTTGCAGAGATGGTAAATCCCATGTGGTGACATGCCTGTGAAAGCTGACTGATATTACAGGGAGATGATCACATCTTCCAGGCAAAGCCCCTACCACAGCAGTGGGTGAGATGTAAACAGTCAAAACCAAGGTGATTAAAAAGGAAGGAAAAGAGTCGGTTATGAGGCCAGGCAGATCTCTCCTTTCTTTTTTTTAAGGACACATTTAAAAGCACATTGCTTAATACTTACCAATTTTGTTTTTGCCTTCTTCATATTTCACTCTTTGTAAGATATGGTGTACAATTCTACTTCTTGTAGCATTATTGAAGAAAGTATCTTTGTTGTGTATTATGAAGCTACATAAAAATAAAAAAACAAGGGCATCTCAGAAATATGTAATAACACATTTAAGGCAAATATTTAGTTACATTATTTTTGTAGCACTCTAAAAATCTACAGTATGTAAGCACGTGCAGGGAGGATAAAATACACTTGATTAAGAGATGCCAGGTGAGATGCTGTCAGTAAATGTATTCATTCTCTTACAAAGAATTACATGGAGAAATCTGGAGAAAGATAGAAGATATTTAAGTACTCATTATCATATGCATCACTTTTAGATAATCCACTGAAAACTACAAAATTCTTGCACAAAAAATTGCAAAAGTGTATCTTTGTAAGTGCAGCAGTAGAATTTCACATCTGTTCCAGGATTTTTGTTATGCTTTACCACTAAGAGCCAGTTGTAAACATTTACTTGGTAAACCATTCTTACTGAAAACTGTTACTGAATACAATGTTAGAAATTTAAAGTATCATATACTTCTACATTTGGTCCTGGAAGCTAAAATACAGTAGAAAATTAGCTCTCAGAGGCCACTTATCAAGTTAAGTATGAATACAGGTTCTGTGTTCAATAGGTTAGATGGAATAAATTTTAAAAAACCCAACAAACCCTGCGGATAGGAGGCAACATTGATTTCCTCATCTGTGTTTTTGAAGAGCTGCAGAATTGAATAAACTACCAAATAAAATGTTAAGGTCACAGAGATGTGATAGAGAGATGAGTCTGTAGGAGAGCACACTAGACAAATATGACCTTAAATGAGATCATCTTAATCAAGAGCTTGGCATGGCTTCACTTCACCTTCTCTTTTGCACAATGTGAGATTCACTGCTCAGTTTTCCCCTCAGGTAATTTTACCCAAATGAAATTTTTTTTTTCCAGAATCAATCTTTACCCATGGGAAATAATATACAGCTTTGCACCTCCACAGTAATTTTGAAAAATGAGGAGTCCAACTTCTGGACTTTGAGAACTTCGTGTTCTCCCTCTTTATTATCAAAATTCTCAGCTGAATTTTCAATACAATGCAATGTGTACATAAGATCCTCACGTTCTTCTTCAAAGGCTGACAGTAAAAAAAAATTCCTAAAGTAAAGGTATGTAAAGACAAATTGCTCCAAGAACACCAGAAGTAATAAAACCTGGTTTTCTAGAGATTACTATCTCATGTCTCCTTTGCCACTTCACCCAGATACTCACAGGCCATTTCTGTGTCTACAATCGTCTCACTACTGTACTCAGTACTTCTGGCTTCCTCTCGTTTCCCTGCTGTTCCCAAAGTCCTACTCATGCCCTGCAGTACCTACCAAAGGCAATTAGGTTTATGCATATTGCTGACTACCATGTGCATGCTGATTTACCAGTGGGCTGGTACCAAACAGCAAATGCAATTGGTATCCACTGGCCACTGCCTTTTCTGTATAGGAACAGTTTTGGGCCACTATTCCATTTCAAGCTGCTAATACTCAAAAGGTAGGTAAGACTGAGCTTATCGTTCAGATACAGAAAGATATGTGGAAATAAAGATGTATCTTTACCACTACACCAGTATCAAATTCAGCTGAAAGTAATCAGTATGTGAAATAATAACTACCAAAAGTATTTTGAGGGAAAAAATATTACTCTATTGATGTAAATCTTAATGCTGATAGAAATTATATTTTATAAATTCCAAACTGTGAAGCAAGTAGAACAGTGTTGTTTTCAGCTGAAGCTGGAACTCTGTATTAGGCTGGTTGTGTAGCAGCAGAAACAAATTAAAAGACAGGAGTAAAACAGAAACGAATAGTTAAGAGATTTCTGCTCTTTATTTAATTTTATTTTATTGCCTGACTATCCAAGACCTCACCTCCCAGACAGTTAAAGAACTATGAAGATAACTTCACAGATATCAAAACAGCACAGTAATTCTCATTCTGACTTAGCTTAACTCGTCATTCTGATGAGTTCGTGTAGGATTCAGCTGTGAATTGGATCACCTTATCTGGGAAACCTGCAGCATGGAACCAGATAACACCTTAATCTATTTTCCTTGTAATACGAGGTTATTTTGCCCATCTGTTATCACAACTGTCTCATACTGCAACTAGAGATAGCCATTTCAACATCTTTTCTGAAGAACTTGTTTAATAGTTTTGTTTGTATTTAAGAATTTCTTTTTTCACGAGCCATGAATGCAAAAGGACAAAAATCAGAGATTACGGGAACTCTAAAAAACAAAGAAATAATCACTTGTTTAAAGAAACACTTTAGTCATTTGCATTCATTTGCAAACTTAGTAATTGTCTTATTATAGCTTTTGATCTCACATGGGCAAGAAGAGATAACCAGACGTGTCTGTGAAGCAGTTGTAAACTCCTCAGTATGATAACTGCCATGAAGAACTCTGCCTATTCCAGAATAGCTGAAGCAGTCCTAAAATACTTGTGAGACTATGAGCTGCAGAGGTTCTGCCCTGCCCAGTCTTGTGCCAGAAGGGCAGGAGGGGGAGAGGAGAGGAAGGACTCACCATGATCAAACAGGGTCAAAAAAATGCCCTTGAGTGTTTTCCAAAGTTATTAATGAAGACACAGATAAATAAGAGATGTTAAGAGTTCAGCAAAGGTGAAGAAATAGTGCCAAAAATGAGTCCTCTGGATGTCCTGGACAATCCCTAACAATATCATTATTATGGGATAGAATTGCATGTGGTAACATTTAAAAAATAATCCTCACTTATTTTTGAAATTATATGTATATATTTAACTTATATATAATTTTGAACTTATAAGTGAATCCTCACTTATTTTGAAGTCATATGGTTTTGAAAATCTGCTTAACTCAAACAATCTTTTTTTTTTTCTGTGAAATTTTCTGTAAAGTAGACCCAGAAAGAGCAGCATCACCATAATCAATGGGGCAGGGATCTGTGGCACAGAAAACAAAAAGAGGCAGACATGAGTGGAAGGCCTTTAAACATTGGGAATATCTCAGGTACTTGTATCTGTGTTACAACATCCTGGTTAGACATTGACATAAATTAGGACAATGTCAGGCAGGCTTCAATTTATCTCAAAAGCCACAGGAGCTGCTCTTGTCAGGTGAGAATGAGGCAGCTCAGTGTAGGGCTTACCCCTTTCAGCCACCACCCCTTCTTCCCAGGCTTCATGGACGTTTCTTCCCCCCAAATTTTTGTGCTTCAGTTTGTCTTATTTCTGAGTGTGGGTGGCAAATCCATATTCATAGGATAACCATCAAAGCTATTCCATGTTCTACAGCATCCAATGAAGAATTCAGAGGAGAAAGATTTTCTCAGTCTGTGAAGAATCCCACACTTCAAATTTCAGTTCACAGGGGAGAGAGCTGAAGACAATTTCAAACTAGGTACACATAAACATTTATCAGACATTACTGAGCTATGAACCATATAAAGCAGAGGCTTTCTAGTGAATTTCTTAACCCTTGCTGCTTTTAGGTGGAAGAATTTCCTCAGCTGTTCTGTTTCTGCTGCCCTTGTTAGATTTTTAACACGCACAAGGATTTGAATATTCATAAGAGCAATACAGCTTGTTTTCAGGCTCAGTAAGGGTTTACTCTTTATTTATTAGACTCTTCACTGATGGTTTTCAGCATTTTGTTGCCTCATTTGTAAGACAAAAAACAAGTAAGGACTAATATATTATAATTTTTTTACCTGTGAAGTTAATGTATAGGTAGATAAAGACAGTGATTTGTTCCACAACTGCTATAATCATTAACTTGGTCCTGTAAGTCTTATTTGTGCGAGCTATCCTTACTCAAAAGGCAAATCCCAATGAAGATAATGAGAGTACTTTTGGAAGGAAAGCTTCCAGAGTAGATCCTTAATTAAAGTCCCTTTCAAAAATGTCCTTCTGGAAATATTGCTTTACATTTATGTTGTAAGAGACATGAAGAGTCAGTGAAGGTTAATTGCTTTGAAGCTGTATTTGTAGCCTTTTAACTAAACTGTGAACTAGAAATTTCAAACTATCTTTCTGTGGGTAGCAAAGCACAGCAAAGCTAGCTGTTGTCTAAAGAAAAAACCCAAATTAGTGCAAATTAAACCAAGAAAAAAATTACCAATTAATTCCTGTTCATACATTGTCTTTGGTAATTTTGCAGGTTGTACAAACCCTTAAAGGGTAAATTTAGCTCTTGAATCTTTGAATACACATTTGAAAAAAAGTGGGTTTACTTTTCTTGCTTTATTTTACTTTTTATATTTTGGGAATGCAAAAGGCGGGAAAAGACTGTTTTTTGCTTTAGTGGCAAGATAAACAAGCTGAAATCTGAACACCTGTGGCCTGGTGAAAAGGTACAAAGGGAGGACGGATGAATGTGCAGATCCATGTGTATCTTTGCACTGTGGGATCCAGAGACACTGAAACATTTGATGTCTGACACTCACCATATCTAAAATTGCTTTCTGCTGGAAGCAGTACAAACTAAGAGCACAGATGTCTTTGGAAGGAGTGACCTCTATGTGAGTAGTGTATTCCTTAGCACAGGAAAAGTGCCCAACCTTCTGTACTCCCAGGTAAATCACAGAGCCAAGAGCCAACCTGTTGTTGGCTGAGGTAATAGCTCATTTAACATAAAGTAAGTAAATCATCAGCTGTAGCAAAAGCAGCAATGTGAGTCTGCAGTATTCTCCTGAGAATAATACCACACATTTCTCTACTTTATTTGTTTGAGAATGGCTATGTTATTAGCACTTGCTGATTTTCATTTTGCTTGATTTTTAAGGCTGTAGCTAATTGTCTTGTTTATGTAAAAGGACATTTTTATTAATGGTTAGCAGGGGGTTTTCATACCATACAGGGCCTAAAACAGGGTCACTTTGGGATGAAGAATGTTGTAGTGGCTCTCTCTGTTTCCACTTTGGCACCACAGCCTCAAAACTGCCAAAGTAAAATACAAAGTCATGAAAGAGCTGAATCTCTCCTCCACCTTCCTCTGCCTTTGCCCCAAATCCGTCTTCCCCTCAGACTGCTTCTTAATTTAAATTAGTTCACTTAGAAATATTCACCTGAGATAGAAGGAGGGAGCCTTTTGTATTTTTCAGGGGTGCCCTCCTTCCTTCTATTTTTCATGCACTTAAAACTTCCAAAATCAGAGGGAGTCAAAAAAACCATTGCAGGGCATGTCCAAGTTTGGCAGCACAAAGATTTGTCTGAGAGCAGGATTTACAAAATTGTGATTCCCCATTTATAAAAAGCCATTTAAAAACGTATAGTTATTATAGTGTGGATGTATTGGAGCACCAGAATGACCATCCTGGTTCAAAACAAGTAAGTGTCCAAGCAGCCCTGTGCCATGTCTCCATTTGCAGCAGCTCCATGATCTATCCATGATTTTGGGGTGAGGGGGCTCAAGGGAACATGGGCACAGATCACCTTGGTAGAGATGGGGTTTGTTAAGACCAATTTGAACATCAGAAAAAGGTTGAAAAAACAAGCTGTCTTTGAGAGACACATATCTTGGAAATCTGGAAAAAAATACAAGACTCGTGTACACAAGGGGACATAATACAAGTGAGAAGAACTCCATTAACCTCTGCTATGCAGGGACCTTTTTTGCTTAATTAATCAAGTTACTATCCTAGTCCTCCTAATTGAGTAAATTTTAAATCTTATTTTCACTAAGTAATAAATATTTATTTTAAGTGGTTATTCAATTATATATTAGATTAATATTTAATCAGGGAGTTTATTGCCTTTGAAAGAAAAAACAAAGAGGAAATAGCTCCTGATATAGTTTGATATCTCTAAACAGCAATTAACATATTTTCCTAGCTAGTGTACAGTTATCTCAGAATTTGCAGCTAATTGCTGCTGTTACTATTCCCAAGTGATTAGCAGCTGACTACATGAAATAAATAAGATGTAGTAGAAGAACATCTAAGTGTGTCTAATGGTAAACATTTTTCATATCTTGTGCATTCCTGTAACAGATAATTTTCAGAAGAAATACTTTGGTATAAGCATGACCTTTTCCAAGCTGTGGCTGCAAAAAAGAGACACTACTCAGAAGTCTATCTTGAAAATAATAATTTTGTATTCCAAACAATTTAAAAAATAAAGTGCTTGGCAGAACTTCTTTCCTCCAAAAAGAGATTTTCTATTACTTAAGGAATAAGATGAATTTTGGTCTTCTCTTGTACTGACAGTTTTGAGATATACCCTATGAAGTATGCCATAATGCTTTTAAAAGAAAACCTGAAGCTGTGCTGCAAAAGTTATTAGGCACATCTCACAAATGTCATTCTTGTGTTTTCTTCTTTGGAGGAAGGACAAATGGCTGGCTGTGCCTCTTAAAACAAACTTAATTTTTTTGGAAAGCTGAATTTATCCACATCTGTTTTTTTTCCATCTGAATGGGAAAAAAAATGCAAGAAATAAAAAGTCTATTGATATGATCTACTAAAATTGCACACACTCCTTGTATAACAATATTTTTAAAATACTATTTCCTATGGAAATAAGGTCTGGTCAGGTTTTTTCTAAATTATTTTCCTTCCCAGACATCGAATTGTAAGTATGGTGAGTTTTCTTTCCATGCTTTTAAAAGAAACTATCGCAAATGAAGTTTCTACTCAGATCATGTTATAAAATCTGTATGAGACTAGAGCCCTCTGTGTGGAAAGTGTGGCTAGATCACAAAAGATAAACTGCCTGTTCTTTGGTGACATGAAAGACATCTGATGCTATGAAGAAAGGAAGAAATAAGGAATTTTAGACCCAAATTGCAATATTTCAAATGCAGCCAAGCTCATATGAATATTTAAGGCATAATATTTTAGAAAATGAAAAGTATATAAACCCAGGAAAAAAGGAAGACTTTGGCAGCCTCCAGGTAGGATATGTGGTAAAATCTACTGTGAGGCCATGGAGATCTTATCTGAAAACTAAGGATATGGAGTTTTATGCTTTCATATGGTTGGAATTGTGAGTGATTTACTTGATGGTCTTTATTGAGCATGTTTTAGAAAACAACGATTTATGGCAACACAGAAATCCAAAATATTTTCAACTGCCAAAAGTACATATCTTGTTCTCCAGAAATACTTGTACAATAGCCAGAAAAATCCTCATCAGTGTAATTAAAAGACTGATTTTATATTTTAGGCTCCTGTGATTATTTCTCAAAGAACAGTTGAATGTACTTCCCACTCATCTCTTCCCCTCACTTAGGATTCTAGATTTGCAGGAAAATTTTATGGCTTCTACTACAAACTTAAAACTCAAAATCTGTACATAAGTTCTGACAAAAAGCTGACAATAGTGGCATTTTTCAGCTACCACCTTAATACAGTGCAAAAGGACTAAAAAACTTGCATTTATTCTGCATTCTCTGAGGACTTTGAGAACTGAACATTACAAAACTGAGTTACAAACATTTACTTTGCTCAAAAAATGGCTATATATTCAATGAAAAGTCTTAAACAACACTCAGGTCAGCCAGCTGAGCACTGGTGTGGTACTGGGACCCCTCCTGTCCTGTACCTGTTCTCTCTGAATCAGTTTTGGCTCTACTGCCTGATGGAAGAGGAGGCAGAGTCTCAGCTAAAGGCCCAAGAGTAGGAAAGAGATTGTTGCTGTTCTTCTAGGCTATGGATGGATGATGTGCTTGTGGAACACTGAACTCCACAAGTAATTACCCATGACAATTTCCAGTATAATTACATTGTACTGCTAATATGGTATGGTGAGAGTACTATAGCAAAACCTTAACCATCCCAAATATCAATATGTATGAACTTTTCTTACCACTGACAAAACGCAAGCTAAATTATCATAAAATTATTTTAGATGGTAATTCTTCTTTTCAGCATCTCAAGAATTTCAGTGATTATTTACTTCACATTCCTAAAACAATATTGTGGGTTTCTGGGTTAAAAAACTGAAATACCTGCATGCGACTCAGTAGAAAAATATTGAACAAGTCACTGTATTTCAAAATTCTAGTGAAACAAAACCAACCAAACACAGGAAACAGGCTGAAGCATCATAGGAACACCATTGCTGTCAGAGCCAGCATCTTTTGAGAGATGCAGGCCAGCTCAGCCAACATTTTATAAACTCCCACACAAAAGGATAGGAAGACTACACACAGAAAGCTAAGCAGAAAATGTCAGGTCTGCCTGGGAGTAAAGTTTCCAAGCCTGCAATGACGTAGAAGGTGCATCAAACAACAGCAGGAGTGTTAATGAAACTAACACTACTTAATAAACTCTCCTGCCAGTTTACCAACATGAACATGAGCAAGGCAGAAGAATTAAAAAAAATACTCTGGGTTCATATATGTCAATTCTTCTTTCAGCCACAAAAAAAAAAAATCTCTCAGAATAAACCATCAACTCCTTTCCTATGTGCAGTAATTTTAAAGGAAGTTAGCAGTTAATATTACTGCTAATAAAAACACTGATGCTGACATCCCAATTTATTAGTTTTTTAGTATCACTGCTCTATTCTCAAGCTAATTTGCACCTACTCTTCCTCTTGCCGGGCACAATAACCAACCCATCTCGGTATCAAACAGACTTCTATTGAAATTTCCCTGGAGTTTTCCACCTGTTCTTGTTTTTCTGCTGTATTTGGAAAGATGCCATTTGTGGCAGAGGTTTATTTTACTCATTTTTATTGCAGCTAGTAAATCAAATCCCTGAAAAATTATTCATTCAAAATGAGGTATTTCAGAGCTTTATCAGCTTGGATTCTCCCTGAATAAAACCACATATTTCAGAATTTTGAGAGACCTATAATTCATTCTGTGTCTTCTTTTAGTACCCTCAACATTGCTGCCTAATCTTTGTGCTTTTGCTCTCAGTCAATGACTGATCCCCATATCACAAACACTGTAACTACCCATAAGACTTAAAAAAAATTACGTCCCTTAACTTCCATATGAGTTCTGAAAGTTATGTGGGGCTTTTTCTCTTCTGCATTTTGCAAGGGAATAAAGGCTTCTTGTAGCCAAGTGATTTCTCTGACATTCGTCCAACACTGGTGCTATTGGTGGAAAAGTGTCACTGCTAGGTTTAAACACTGTCTGAACACTGCTATTTTTCAAGGAGTTTTGCTTCCATAAAATTGAAAGGGAAATGCAATCAAATTGACATTGTCTGTTTTCTTTAGAGTTTTGTTTGTTCTACAGTCATAACTGTAGAATGAAATGCAAGTATCAGTATTACAACCACCAGTGATGAAGGATTAGTTTTGATTATGCTAAAGACATAAGGAATCCTGAGAAAAGTTTCAATCACATCTTTAACTGAAAAAAGAACAACTGCAATTCTGACCTGAAAGAAAATAGCCATTTGATCCCTTTAAAGATGTAATTGAAATTCCAGTGAACTAAAAGGCACTTTCCCATTGATTACCTTAGCTTTGAGCTGAATTTTTAATTAATAGAAACCTAGACTAGCTCTCTGTCCCTTTTTGTGAAAAAGGGCTAATATGAAGGCACTAGTCCTTAAGACATGAACAAAGAAATCAATTTTTTCCAAGGTGAATCCAGAAGGAAAAGTTTTTACCTTGCAACTGAGATATGATAGAATACTCACTGGTGGATCCTTTGTTGGCTGAATGGAGCAGTATAGCAGTCATTCTCCTCCAGATCTGGCAGTGTTTCCTTGTCCAGTTTCATTGGCTTTCTGGGCAACCATCCTCGGAACCTGCTTATCTGTTTCTCGATCCTGCAGCACATGATAAGTATGAGCATTTGTGATAATGGGTTTTTTCACTACACTATAAAGTACAGGGCACTGAATATTTACAACCAGGAAAGGTGCAATGTTTTTTTACTTTTGTTGAGGCAGACCACATTACATATGCTGAACTCGATTACTCATAACCAGCTTTCTGCAGAGGAGCATTTATTTTGTCTCATCAGAAAAGCAATGCTGATGTTACATGCTGTCATAAATCTTATTAAGCCCAGTGAGTACTTGGCATGTCTCTAAATGCTTATTTCTCACATTTACAGTTAGTTTAAAATTCAGGCTTAACCAACATTAGATTTTAGCCATCTAAACATTAGAACAGTGGAGATTGTGAGAAAGATCTTTGGCAGCTAAACCCAGCAAGTTACATTACTGCTCTCTGTATGGATTCTTACCTTGCAATTGATGCTATTAAAAAATATGCTAGTTTGTTCATTTCGTTGTTTCTTTCAACACTACAACCTCCATGAAACAAGAACTCGGGGTGTATAGGCTAACAGGTGACTGCTATGCAGATTCTTACATTAAGAAGGTGAAAGCAAACAATGATTGAGCTGGAGAAAGGGCAGATTTAACTACAGGTGCATTCATGCAAAGATACACAGTGAAATGAAGGGAAGAATCACAGCTCATTGGAGAAGACAATCTAAACCAAATTCAAATCCATACTAGAATATTATAATGAAAAGCACCTAGGAAAGTCATGTTTAGCACAGTAAGCCCTGCTGCAAGTCCTAACCACTGAGTCCTGCAAGAATCATGGACTACAAAATATGGAGTGTGCCCATATTTCAGTCACTGTCTGAATGTTTCCAGAAGTGGAGCTAAAAGACAAGAATTTATTTCCTTTACTTCCTTTGAACTTAAAGCTCAGTTCTGAAAGAAGCTCAAGTAGTGGAAATCTGGAAATTTGGTTGAGGGGGTTGTTTGTTTTGGTTTGGTTTTTTTGTATTTGTTCTTTTTTTTGAAACAGCCAACATAAGAACTCTTAAGACCAGCAAATGCTGGTACCTCTGCACAGTCCGTTTGAGGGAGGACAACCCATATCCAGGCAGCTGAATATATAGGGAAGTGATGTGAAAATGCTACATATTTTAATTTAAAATTCATACAGTTTTTCCTGGAATATTCAGCCTTCTTCCACCAGGTTTTTCATCTTGGATAGGGAAGCTAATGGCAAATTTTAAACATGGGCACATTTCAAAATTGTAAATAAATAAGCTGTACCTGTTTTAGTCTCAATTTTGGACTTCCAATCTGGAATAGCATGATGGGGTGAGGGGTTTTGGATGTTGCATATGTGTGCAAATTTATCATCAGGACTGTTTGAGAAAACTGGAATATATATGTAAGCTTATTATAATATTTAATTACTTAATTAGTCATAACCTCTCCATGGGCAGTGTTTGCACTGACCCAGCAGCTCGAGCACAAGAGGAGGCAGTTTGCAAATATCTGTGCTGAATGCAGGTGAGATGTCAGATCCCAGGGCTCTAAAGGCCTGATCCATTGTAACTCTCCAGCTGCAGCATCCTGACAGCCTTGAGCTAGTCTGTGTAGGCAGACAGAAATGCCAGGGGAAATCAAGTTCTCTACGGGGGAAATCCCTGTCTTTTGGCCTCTGGTTTTTCTCCTGTAAATTCAGTAAGCCCTGTGTATATCCAACAGGCTTAGTGTGTCTGGGTACGGAAACGGGAGGAGGAATTAAGAAGAGGGTTTTTCTAAATATCCTGTCCCATTCTTGTTAATTAAACTCGTTAGAATTCTCGAAGCTATTAACACCCCTGCCCCTCTGCAATCCTTTCCCATTCATGCTGCAAGTCAATGTGCACATTTGAGATACTGCCTGCTGCAGGTTTATCACACCACACAAGCACAGCGCAAAGGGACCCAGTGCTTTCCCCACTTAACAGCAATGCATTATTCATGCTGGCTTCTCACTGAGTGTACCCAGAATTTGAGTGCTTTGCCATTCCCAAGACTCAGATTACTTGGCATGCTCAGTCAGCCTGCTGGCAAACGGGTCTGAGAAGGTTGCAAAACCTTACTGCAAAGCACAGAACATGCAGTACAGCCTTCTGCAGGGAAAGCAAGCCCCCCTAGTTATCTCCTTGGAAAAGAAAAATGACCAATTTTTTTAATTCCCTCCAGCTCATTCCAACAGTGCCGTCAGTCAGCAGTGCAGGTTTTGTACTCTACAGGATCATCTTGCAAAAGGAAAAAGCTGAAAGAGTGGTGTTGGTGCTAACAAATACACACACAGTGTTAAAAATCTATTTTTTTAATCATTCCTTCAAGACTAATCTATGCCTCACTTTCCGCACACCCAGCTGAATAGGGGAACGATGTTTGGAAAGCAGTGTGACCTACGCAGGAACAATGGGGTGATGGAGTGATACAGGTAGTGGCTTCACACACTGCCTCAGAGTGTCTACCACTTTAATCTTGGCCCTACTCTCCAAGTCTAGTCCTTACTCAGCATCCCCTTTCTAAAGATACATACTGTGCTTAACTCACTCAGAGTTTCTCAAAAAATTTAAAAGAAACTGTTTTCTCACCATAAAGTAGGGTAGGGATAGAAATGTTTTTCAAAGGAAAGTTAAGAAAAGAAAAATGGTTTTGAATTGAGACTGATTTTTATGAGTGGGTTAGCTTTCATAGAATTTTATTTATATTGTGGCATTAGCTATTTTATTAGTTCAGTTTTTAACCATGATGCAGGTGCTATAAGGTGTCTGATATCCCTCCTTTCCTTTAAAGTATGGAAGTTTTGTAATTTGAAGTGCTGAGATCACTAGTCCTTTTCAGAGAGAAAATTCAAGTCAGGTTCACAAGTTGCAAGAGACCTGCTCTGGGCTTTGCCTTGTGACGAAACTCCTCTCTAAAATAAATTTTGCCAAATGTCGACATAATATTTGTATTAATTCAAAAAATGAAGAAAGTCTTTGGGTACTTGTAATCTGCACTGAATTATGAGTAGAGGAAATAGATACTTTTATTGAAGCTATATATCTAAGTTTCACATAAGTGAAAATAAAGCTGAATATATTTTATTTTTCCCTTCTGGGGCCATTCAGTTACAGCTTTTCTCCCTCAAGCAGCTATTTATAGACCTGAACATAAAAACTGAATCTAGTGTTCTCATCACTCAGAAACTAAATACCAGAAAAAGATCATACCTCTTCCCATACTGACTTCAAATTGCATCCTGACTCATAAGAAAGTGAAGCAAAACTTTGTACAACACATATAAATGATGGAACCTCCACCTTCTCCTTCCTATCTATTGCTTTAGTCAAAGCAGCTGTTCTGCAAAACCAATTCCAAAGCTAATAGCTGCTATAGTATCTATTGTAAGGTGGGAATGGAAAGTGGGGCAGCATGAACAAGTTTTAGATTTGTGTGCATTTATTACTGTGTGCCAAAGAGGGATAAAATGTCTCAAGTCTGCAAAGGGCTCATTTGGTTCTTACTAATATGAAAAGGCAAATTCCATAATGTGATATCATGCTGTCAAGTTACCAGTACACTGTGACATAACTTAATATCCAAAAAGCTTTTTAATATGCTCATACTGCAGAGTGATCATCCCATGGATGTAAATGTATTGACATTATGTGCAAAATGGTATGGCTGTTTACTCCAAAATGCAGATTTTCCAAATTTAATTTTTCTCTCTTAGAGGTTCTTGGGAATATTTCACTGACCTCAGTAATTAGGAGTTAGACCCCTTTGAAAACTTCATCAAGAGTACCATGGCATTAAATGCCACATACAGTGAGAGAGATAATTGAGAAAGATAATTGTAGATATATAAATGGTCTGTTTTTTGCCAAGTCTGCATAGTTTTTTGGCATTTTGGAGATATTTTATTCATTTCATTTTCCAAGGTATCAAAAAGAAAATGCAAACTGCTGCAGAAAAAGAGTTTCATTGCTTGAAGTCAGACATAACCTGGGTAGCAAGCATAACCTTAAAGGTATTTAATAATTGAGTGAAAGCACTTCAAAGATTCTTGGAAAATATACATCTCTTGGTTTATTGGCTTCCTATCCACCATCTTTCTAAATATCCCCATGGAGGAAGCAATAAATAAATAATGCCATCAGTATTACAAGTGAGCAAGGCTCATGAAAATTAAAAAACCCTGTAATTGTGGTACTCTAACCCCAAGAAACTCCCTAATAAGCTACATGGAAAGAAGGAGATACAGCATTTGCACTAACATACTGCTATTTGTTTAAATACTCCATCAGTTGAAAAATATTTTCTTATTCCTAAAAAAGGCAAAACTGATTAAATTAATTGCTTCTTTCACAGTGCAGATGACTTAAAAATGCAACTTCTGTTTGTTTTTTTTCTTGCGGATGTCTTAGTGTGTAACCACTCTCTTTATCATTTCTACAAACACAACTGATTAACTTTTCCTTCCAGCTTGACTTTAATCATTATTTTTTGTAATTGGGTCCACATGAGCATAAACTGCCATGGGAACTGTACTCACCTATTCATGAACTTGTATCGGCGATGCAGGTAATAGATTTTTCTCCTGGAAGAACAGCAAAAATGAAGCCAGTCGAGAAGAAAACCCATCGTCAGTTACAGTATGAACTAGCAAGGAAGGAAAGGAGATTGAAGACAGAAGCCTGTAAGAGGTGGAGGAAGAGACTAAAAGAGAGATTAACAGAACCGTCACAGGAAGCCACACAGACACTGGTGGCATTTGAATTGCCAGAAGGTTATAGTTTTCCCATTGTCTCCTCCTTTTCTGCTATTTGTCATGTGTGGAACTTGGGGACCCGAAGATGTTTCTATTTCAGAGTTCATAAACTGCTGCAGGAATTCCACAGGGCTGACACAAGTATGGATAAATTATATGACATCTACTAGTGAGTTATTAAAGCTCCATTTGGTGAAACACAAGGGGGAATCACTTAGAAAAGCCAGGAAAGCTGTACCTTATGCTGCAATATGCTGTAACACATGCAGTACCAAGCGGGGTCTGTGTTTCCTGTTGGGATAACATCCCTTGAAACAAAATACAGGCTGCACAAGCAAATGCACATGTGCTCAGCACCCTGCCAAGTGTGCAGCCATTCCCTCTGCCCCTCATTCAGGCTGGTTTCTGTTGTCAGTGCAATAAGCCATGTGTGAGAGCAAACAATGAGCAAGTGAGCAGACAAGAGGACATGAGCAGACACATGCTGAACCCGCTCCCAACCTGCCTCCTGACCAGCTCTGCGGTGCAGAGCAGCCCCTAACCATCATGTGTAGATCCAGGACTGGGGGTCCACATCCTGGGCCACTCCCCTGCTGGCCGCTCTGGTTCTTCTCATAAATGCCTATCATACCACAGCTGTCAGGATCTGACACACTGCCTTCAGCACAGAGATCGCATCTTCACAAGAGTTAAGAAAATCTGAGGGCTCTTGAGCATGGATTTGGGATGCATAGTCCTTTCTGGAAAATTTGGGTGCCTGACCAAACTCTGATTTCCTCCTCCAGAGGCTGGCTTTGTCTTCCACTGAGGGTGATTGCTAAATTGAGGTGGTTTCTGTGTATTCTGAGAGGTTCCATTGTGTAATGCAGAACTGCACCACTTCTGGAAAATGAAAGCTTACACCACACATGTTCTAAATACTGTAGTAGATATAGTATAGGAATGCAGTTAGTGCCTTGGAAGCAAATCCTCTAAAATAAGACAACACTAATGCATTATAAATTATTTAAAATTCCAGGTTAATTTTCAGAACTTTTGAACATTGTTGTTATTAGAGTCCATATCATGCTGGTGGAGTGAAATTTTTTAAACTATTTCATGTTGGCCAGCCTTCTTTGGATAGTGTTATTTATCTTGCTCTTCTCAATATTCTCAATATCTTACTCTGCTTGACCTTTCTCAGCTGAGAATGGTCAAAGCTAAGTGTTTCTGAAGATGCCATCCACTTCTTGGTTTTGCTTCCAATATTCAGAGGTATCCACCACTTTTTCCCTCCTGCTTTGAAACAACAAGGATTTTATTCAGTGATGCATGGATCTTGCACAATTCCAGCCTGAATAAGCAGGAGCAATAAGCAATCAGCAGCTCTTAAAACAAGGGCTTAGACAAAGGCATCTGGGAATACACCATCTAGACTTGTGGACACTTTGTAATATATTTTTGTAATGGCAATCTGTACTGTTGCTTTTAAGAAAAAATTAAAGAGTCTGCCCAGCAGTCACTAGTGAATTATCATGATTTCCACTTAACAATGCTGTAGTAATTCTCTCTCCATGGATGTGGAAAGAATGAAGCCATGATCCTGAAGCAGGTCAAGAAAACCGCAGCATTTTCAAAGCTTTCTATATAATCTGTATGACACCTACTTTACTATCTGCTGCGAGATCAGAAAAGAACAAGCTGCCCCATTACTAAATTCAGAATTCCTGGTGTATTTCTAATTCATGAAACCTCACTCTACTGCCAGAGCGGGTCCATCTCATGGAATGGCACAGAAGTCAAAGAGGGCACAATTTTGGTCTAATCCATCGTTTCTACGGCTGAAACACTTCAAAAAAAGAATATTACTATCCTGCAATGATTTGTGATTGTTTTTAGGATTTTCTCTTTAATAATAAAATCATAAGGAAGAACAGTTGAAGATTTGCTGTGAAAATGAAAATAAAATAAATACAAAATAAGCCTGCAATTTTGTCCTTCATACATATCCATTTATCCTTATGAGTTCTCTACTGCTACAGGGTGTCATACCAGAGGCATTTTTCATACTTAGGTAAGAAAAAAACATAAGGAATCCTACAAAGGCACCAGCTCACTAGTTGCATATTCTCAGTCTGATTCTTTTCTTATTCAGGAGTAATTCCATTAAAATCAATGGAGCTTTATATTGCAAACCCTGCTAACTGAAAGAAGAGTCAAGGCCTCTCAGTTCATGGGTTGTGGTCAGTTCCAGTGGAAGTCTTTATGCTACTTTAAAAGTTCTGATAACCAGCAGAGTAAAAGCAATATTTTACATAGTAAATTTCATAACCCAACGTGCAAATAATAGTTAATCAGTTATAAAAATAATCTGAATTTCAATGTGGAATTAATCTGGTTATCAGTAGCATTTAATATAAGTTCTCTATTTTCTCCAGTGAAGAAGTGCATTCATAGCTTAAATTGTTTTCCTATTAGATGAGATACATATTTACACTTATTTATGGGATACTAACTACATACTATACAAGCAATTTGCAGGTGCATACCAGATACGTCAAACAGACATGCACTTTCTGTGCTGCCTTACGTACCTGGATCTTCTTGACCTCCCATTGATTTCAATGAAATGTCCATTTAAAAAACAGCAGCGCACAAGTATGCAGGGGGCTCCAGCACTGAAGGGGTTAAAGGGCCTAAGGACAGAATACCCCATGAAAACAGCTGCACTGCTACAGCCCACCATCATCTCAAACCAGTATTGTACCAAAATTGTAGGCTTTAACAAGAAACAGCAATGCAAGTGGTATCTAAGGAACTCCATTTATGCTTCCTAAAGATGTGTAATATCTTATAGAAGAGCTTTTCTACAGGCTTTTTGGTGTAATTATCACATTAACTTTACAGTACAGTGTGGCTTTGGAGGTTGAGACAAAATACAGCTACACCTACCTGAAAGGCATTCTTACATTCATTAGTTCAGCATATTTGCCCAGGACCTCCCAAGGGGCATGCAGTTTCACAAAGATGATGTCACTGTTTGTTAGGGATGACTGCAAAAGAGAAACAAAACAGCCACCAGAGCTTACTTTTTCAAGTAAAAAAAGAAAGAAACCGTAGTCAGTGACCAATGTGATGTGTCACAATCCCTTATTCTTCTTGAAATGTTGTATCAGTATTTTGTCATCCCATTTTTCTTCTGCTGTCCTGAAAGCCATGCTGTGATTCCCTTCTGCCCTCCATGTCCTCTTTTCCATGTGCACCTCCTTTACATGGAAAAGAGGACATGGAGGGCATCTGTGGGTTAGCTGTGTGTACATCTCATGAAGAGAACTTCATGCAGGGTGTGCACATCAGCATGGATGCTACCTAACAGAAAGCTGTCTGGCAAAGACCAGAGGATGTGCAGCAAAGAGGAGAAGAGGAGGAATTTAGCTCTGTTTGCACTCAGGAGGAGACACAGAGCTTTGCAAGAAAGCTACAGCAGGTTTGGCTGAAGCTGATGTGAAAACACAGAGAGCCACATGGTAATACTGGAAGATTAAATGTTCAAATTCTAATGAATATTAATTAAATTTTCATGAAGTTACATCCAATACAATTTTAGACAATCAGGTGGATGGCATTCCAAGAAATAGGTAAAAGTGTACTTAGTATGAGGAAAAGAAAATATGATGACAGCAAACCAGGCAAGAATTTTGTTAGTTAGCTTTGGGGATGATTTCCTGTTTTTTTAGATGTTGCCCAATATTCAATGTTTCTTACACAGATACAACTTACTATGAGTTCTTAAATCTAGTATTGTTTATCTGGAGACTACTGTGACTACATGGGTGGGAAGCTGACATTTATACTTTTTACACTCTCCCTCCGCTATCCTGGTAGATGCTGAAATTATTGAATTTGCATGTCCATGTCCTTAGAGTGGCTAAAATTCTATTACTACTTTGTGACATGATAGGAGTGAAAACTCCGACATTTAAGATAGAAATATATATTTTTTTTAGCACATCAAAAAACTCCAAATAAACAAATAAACAAATAAAAAAACACAACAAAAACTAAGGAAAAAACTCTACCTTACCCAATCACTCTAGAGTTAACATTTTATAAACAACTACAGTATTGGACCATAATGGACACAGAGAGATATTTGTACTAAAAATATTACTGGGGTGCAAATATGGATTTACCATATAAAAGAATGAGTAACCTTATAGTGCTAAAAAACGGCAGGGAAAAATGTTCTTCTTTGCTGATGAATTTTTGAAAAACATTTCAATAAAAAATGACACAACAGCAACAAAATGCCCCCAAGAGACTTGCTTCCAAGACAATGAATTCACTTGCAGTCTTTCCCTGACTTTTATGGATTCTAAATCAGGCTTTAATTATGTTTTTCTTTATAGGTACATTTCACAAATTAGCTTTTATTTTCCCATGAGAATTTAGCAGGGAGATACCACAAAACCAAAACTGAATTCTGCCACTGTAAAAATCTCCTGCAAACTGCTCTCTCAAAGGTGAGGTTAAGTCAGCAGTGGATTGGCAATTTTGCCCTAAATAGCTTGGATTAAAAACCAAAACAAAACAGAACAAAATCCACCAGACCTCAAAAGAACTATCTAAGAAGGCCGACATACAGAAAGAAACTACAGTACTGTTACACCAATAAAACTGAGAAATGGAGGAAATTTGTTAAAAACAGCTTTTAAACTTAGTGATGGTTGTTAAACAGGAAGTTTATAGGTATTTTCCAGCATATTGTAGTTTGAGCCTTACTTGATATGGGAGCCAAACATGACTTGTGAAGATGCTGTTTCACAAGTGAACACTATCTAAATTTGGTATCTTATGTGTTACATATTTTCATGCATAAACATGGAAAACTTCCGAATACAGATGTTTAAAGAATATTTTTTTACTCTGTATCTTGCAATGTTGGCACATTAAAATGTTTTTAAAATGACAATCAGCTTTGCCAACAGAAGATCTAACCAATAGGAAATCTAATCAAAATACACTTGACAGGTTTGGTTATATTCAGAAAAAAAAGAAATAATGCTAAATTATTATTATAAAAATCCATTTCTCTTGGGTTTGCTCATGTTAAGTGCTCACAAAGGAAAGCAGTAGGCAAGGCTGAGAAAATCAAGGCTGGAAAAAGCAAGACTGGAAAGAGAATAATAAATCCAGATGTAGGACGAATTGAATGAGATGTCACACTGACCTAATATAAGGAGTAAATAGCTAACCAAAATATCTGGAAAAACAATAGAATGAAAACCATCTTCATTACAAAAATACTTTAGTGAATTGAATCTCCTAAACTGTCTTGGTTAGATTAGTATTTAGACTCAGTATCTTTCATCTTATAAATGTTTCAACTGAGAATAGAGGAACATTCTTCTGTTGTAATTGACTTTCAAGGGTTGGCTCCTTAAATGATTTGGAGAAGTAAACTCAATTTCACATTATGGGAACATGCAAACAAAAATCAATGCAACATTACTCCCCCTGGAAACTTAAATAAGACAAGTATTGACATGAGCAATCTGCTATAAAGTGATGTCCAGATAAAGAAGAAAGAAAAACAGGAATTAAGGGGGCAGACCAATGAGATAAAACACTTTAGCAAACACAGAAATGGAATAAATGTTTGGAATTGACCTCTAGCACCTATCACAATGCAATAGTTTTCAGGCCACCAATATTCTAATAAATTGGTTGTTTTGAACTGATTTATTGAGGAGGAATATCCATTAAAAAAACTGATTTTCTTCTGGTTACTAACAAACATTCTCAGCGGTCTTCAGAACATTGTAAAGCCAGGGTGACAAGAGACTTACCAGAATCAGACAACTGCAGACTCATCTGGGGTGGAAGGGACCCCTAGGGTTCGTCTGGGCTAAGCCTCTGGCTAAAGCAGGGCTAACTTAGATCAGCCTGCTTGGACAGGAGCTTGTCCCATTGAGTACTGAATATCTCTACAGGCAGAGATACAGTCAGCCTTTAGGCAATCCACTGACTGAAACTGGCTGGAGCAAAGAATATTTTCTGTAGAAGAACTGCTCTCTTCCATAGAGAAATGTTGGCTTAAAACTATCACTTTCTATATCTGTTTTTCTTTAAAAACACCCTTATTTATTATAAGAACTCTACTTAATTGCTATTCTCATTGAGAAGCAATAGCAAGTTTTATTTAGTTTAATTGACCTGATCTTTAAAATAGATTTGTATGGTAGAATTCAGATCACCAGGGTCTGGGTTACGGATAGTCAATACACATTTTGACTTCACTGTCAAGCATCATTAGTACCAGATCATTGCTGCCAGTCCTAGAATACAGGCAGTACTATAGGTCCACATATTATAGACTTCCCCTTCTGGCAAGGCTACCTGTCTATTTTAGCATTAAGTTTGTAAAAACATTGCTATTTCCCAAAGAAATCCAATCAAGTGCAAACACATTTAGAAACAAAGCCATATTTTCTTCTCCAGTGTCACTATGTAAGGAGTGAAAGAGACTAAAGCATGGGCCATTTATGTAACTCCAAAAGCAGAAACACCTGCTGTGGTGAGTTACTGCCATCAACTAAGTCAAGGAAAGCTTGTAAAAGGTCTTGTTCTTCTAAAGCAGGCACAGAGTGGTGTCATCTGATGGTTAAGTTGTGGCTACTAAACTCCCTGCAAGCATTCTAATGTCTTTTGATAGCAGGATTTAAATTTATCTGTATTTGCTATTGACCTGACTCTGCTCATTCTGCACTTATCATTGTGAGTCTGAATAGAAGCAGAGTTATGCTGACATGGAATGTCTCTTGAAAAGCCCATATTTTGCTGCATTTGCAGGCTGCCTTCCAGGATCAAGGCTAAAGATTAGTATATTTTGTCAAATATCTGCTTGAACATTCTCCTCCTTGCTAATTTTAGTTCACTATCAAAAATATTGTCCAGCCATTTCAAGACAAAAGTAGCTGTAGGTACTGACCTTGATATAAGCATTTCTTGGGTCTAAAAGTTAAGAAAGTTAAGAAAACCTATTCACAGGATATAACCTTGCAGAAGGTTAAAATTACAGTGGCTCCAATTGAATGGTGCCAATGTTTATTTGCCTTGAGGCTACTAGGCAGATTTTCATTCATGTATGCAAAACAATAGGGTAAGAAAAAAAAGAAATCATGATTTACCATAAAGGTGTTTCGCCTATCACCATTTAAGAGAAAAATTCTCAAGGCTGAGTTCTCTCTTCACCTTTAAAAGCATTCCTCATGAAGGTAAAATGAGATAAGTAAGATTTTGAAACAATTTTAAGATTGGTTGTTAAGATTTAACAAGTATAATTAATGTCATTGACTTTAGGAAGGTCCTACAAGGCAAGTTAAAAAGCCAGAACAAAAACAGTTTACATTTTGGCAAGGTTCTGGTAAGATCATAATGCAGGGAAAAACAGAAAAGGAGACAAAATCAATATGCTTCCAGTAACAATTCTCTCTGTAAACTAGCTCTGTATGATGTCTGAGTGCAGAGTAGTAAATAGTCACTACTACATTTTCCACTGTTTTTAAGAATTACTTAACAGCACAGATTGATTTGCCATGTGGAGTGAATTAAGTGGAAAAACAAAACCCAGCAAATTTTAGTTGATTAAACTGTTCTTCCTCTGCAAAACCAAAGTAAATGTAAATTCACATGGGCAATTCCATGGAGCTGGAAAAACAGAAAGTATATTCTGCCAATACTTTTCCAGTGCATACATTACTACTGGGCAATTATTTAGATACTGTCAATATATGTCTGGTTTCATGGAAAATATTGCATACTCACAAACATTAGCCTCCATGTTCATGCTTCTGAGGACCCTAACGAATAACAGTGTCAATATCTTTCACACATGTACCTTCAACAAAAGCATGGGTTTAGTGAAAAAAGAGGACTATATTGTTCACATTTTCATTTGGATATTAAGAAGCCTTTGACTTGCAAGAAACTGTAGAGCAAAAGCAGCAAGGATGAAAATAAGAATAAAAAGATAGCCCTATGTAAAAAATAG